AACCATTCAAAAGGCAAGATCATTCATCATAGTATGCTTATAGAATGCCCAGTTTTTTGAGTTGACCTTCACCAGAACCCCAAGCATGATGTATAATGGAGCCTCCTTGCCTGACTTCCCTCTTCCGAATGTTTTCCCTAGAGTCGGAGTGTCGGGGTGAGGCCGTGCGAGACTTCCACCAGGTCCAGCGAGGCTATGCCATTTGCCAGACAACCCGGCCTGTCTCCTGGGTGGAGTGCCGGGGATCATGCCCAGGGCCAGGATGCTGTGCAGGACTGCGCCTCAAGCGAAGGAAATACACCTTTGAGTGCAGTGATGGTTCTTCCTTTGTGGAGGAGGTGGAAAAACCCAGCAAATGCGGCTGTTCCCAGTGCATGTAGCCTCCAGCAAGGGACAGGCCAGAGCCAGAGACAAGTGGGCCAGGCCTGCCCTGACAGAGGCCTTGGGAACACCCTTGCCATCTCCTCTTGCCCCTGTTGCTGCTTGGAAGAGGGGTGGGGCAGGGCTCTCAGTTTGGCAACGGAGCATCTCCTTTGGCATGGTGACAATGGCTCTTCTGGATGGACCAGACAAAGGTGTAGATAGAAGACTTTTGCTGGGAAATCCAGCCCAACAGATGTATTTATATCCAGCACAGACTCTATCTGGGGCCACTACTTGTGCACAATACGGATTCTTAGCAAGCCTGGCCATGCCTGTTTGTTTTGCCCAGTGTGGTGCCCTGAGAGGCCATGTCCACAGCTCATGCCTAGACACGGGATCCTGCCATTTCATATCTTGTCATTTTACCTGATGTTAGACCCTGCTATCCTGCACCATGTCTGTCTTTTTTCTCCTTTTCTTTTGGCAGTTTTGTTTTTTCTCTTGTTGAATACCCACCTGTTCCTATTCCTACTGGCTGCTCGTTGCAACCTCATCTTCTGTTTATAGGACTAAATTGCAAGTAATGCAGAGGCAGTACCCGGGGCAAAGGCAGGAGGATTGTGTGCTGCAGAATTAGCAAAGTTAAAATCCCTTAGGTGAATGGGAAGCGTTTGTATGAACAGTTGCCTCCTATACCGGATGGTTGCAAGGTAATGGTATTTAAAAACAGCTTAACCTTGGAGCTGCAGTCTGGTCTCAACTAATAGCAAAAAGGAGCCACACTTGCTCCATGTTGAATGATCCACCAGCATTAACAGGACTTACCACCACTTCCCTAATTTTGAAATCCTATACTCACTTAGCTGGGAGTAAGCACCATTGAACACAATGAGACTTAACTGCCAAGTAAGCATGTGTAGGATCTTGTTGCATGAGGGCTGGAGAAACCTTGGCTAGCAGTCTTCCTGTTGTACCTCTGCTGGATGGGACAGGGAGACTTTCATGTCCCCAGTTATAAAGCCAGCCATCTCATTGATTGAGGGCAGCAACAAGGACAGACATAGTTTTCTCTGGTTCTGCCTAGATCACTGCCTTTCTACACCGCAAAATCTGTCTTCTGCCCAAATGCCATCTGGTTTGCTGTAATTAAAAGTCTGGATATTTTCAGAGTGGTGCCTGTTCTGCAACTCAACGTCTGTGAACTCGAGAATAATCATTTTCATACCCATCATGCTCACTTTCACCTGCCTTTTAGAACGGGAGGGGGGGGATGAATTGCATGTGTCTCTTGCACTCAGTTTACTGTAGCATTACTCTTCATACGCCAGGCCCACCCACGAAGTACCGTTGCCCTCTTGTAATGGGTTGTGGGGTTGGGTATATCAGCCACCGCCTGCAATAAAAGCTGAAGCACAGGCTTCCAAAGCAAGTGCTATAGATTATTTGCTCAGGTGGGGTTAGGCCTGGGCCACAGCATCAGAAGAAATAAGATGGCTCTTTAAGATAAACTAAGCTGACAGTACCTTCTTTTGCTATGTTTCCAAATCCCTGTTTGATAGAGTTTTTATGCTAGACCCTGGAGAATAGAGCTGCAAATTGTTCAAAGACACTTTTGATCTAACTTATTCTTGCAGAGAAAAAGTAGTTTGCACTTATCACCACTAGCTACTGACCAATAATTAGAAGTAAAACCATTAGAGTTGCGGGGGGTGGGGTGGGGGGAGAAACACCAAGCCAGATTCCTTCAAATTCTGCACATGAAAAGTTATTATCTCTGATCTATATGCACTATGTTAATTAAGCAAATCTGAAGATTATTTGCAGAGTTTGCTCTGCTTCTCTTGGTTGGGAGGAGAAAAGAAATAGCACACAGAAGCTGCCATGTCCCAACCACTGGAAATGCTACTTTTGAGACTTCCATCAGACAGAGGCTTTAAAGTGTGTAGGAGACACTTGAAGTCTTGAAACAACTTTGTTCAAAAAAAATCGAGATGATATTCTCAGGATGCAGAATTTTCACCCAGTAGTCATGCCAGAATCCAGTTGCTGAGAAACAACGCGCTCTCCAGTACAAGCCTGGAGGCCTTGGCTGTACATGTGTTCTTGTTTCCAGGGCAACCTCAGCCAGATGCTTGTTCCCTGAAACTTATGGATCATGTTTCCTATGGTGGGGGGAAGTTTCCCTCCTAAAAGGTAGAGCTACTTGCCTGGAAGCATCTGGTACATGTAATCTCAAGGTTGCAGGTTTCTAGGAGGTACATTGGATATGGGAGAAATAAAAGGGTAGCATCTCGGGATACCCCCTAGTATAAAACAATTGGTTATTAGAAGCACAGGTTTTCAACTATACACTATATTATGGGTAAAACCAGCAGCAAGGAGGCTATCCTTTGCTCCTGCAGAGAATCAAATGGATGGCTAGTTGCAGGGGCTTCTACAGGGGCTCCCACTTTGTATCTCTCTGTGTGCGCTAGTCATGCAGAACCTGCTAACTCTTCCATTGCTGCAGGTTAAGAGACAGAAACTACATGACAGCAGGGCATAAGTTGCCTTGCTAGTACTAAAAGCCTTGACTGGTGACTTTTGCAGACAGGTACAGCATGAAACTCTGTTAACATAACAGGATCTGCGGGGCCATTTAAATCTGCAGCCATTCTTTCATATTCTGGTTTTGCCATCTTAAGTATTTTTCATTTCTATTTATTATAGAAACCTCAAGAATGTTAAATGTATTTTTCTTCACACTGAGAATGTGCAGCTTTTAAACTTCCATTTGTAAGGTTCCTAAACAAGTTCAATTACACAAAATAAACTAATTAGGGTTTTTGGAATTTCTTATGACTTCACATTTCCGATTATAGCCATTACACGTATCAAACGGAAAGTATCTTATGTCAGATTTTTTTTAAACTGTGCCTGCCACTGCAGTCCATACTTTGGTAATAAAGTAGATTATATTGGGTATTGTTTGGTAGCCATATGCTGCAGAGGGCACTGCTTGATGTTCACTGTTCATTTTGTCCGTCATGTACCAAAGTAAGTTCACACTTGCAATGTTATCTCAACCAAGTGGCAACACCTTCCACTTATCACCATACTTGAATGAAGATTGTACCAAGCTTTTGCTTGTTTACTGCTGGCTTTGAACCTCCCAGTGATCAGAACAAAGTGTTTTGGTGCCTACAGGGAGGGTAGCATCAAAAACCCAATTGGTGCAACCTTCAGGGGCAGCTCATGGAAAGGGTACTCGGCAATTGTGTGAAATGATGTCTTTTGTCACCTGTTGTAAGCTAACAGCTGAAGTAGGTTTTTATACATAATACTTAGATTCTTATATATATTAATATATTTGTATTTGGTATAGTATTTTTCTATGCTGTAAGGATGTCAGACAGCATTTCTCTGTTCTTGGCAGGTGCTTCTCTGTCAGATGAAAACTGGCATCATTGGTTTTAGTAACCGAGGTTTGTGATTCTTGCCACGCTTTTAATGATCCAAGTTTATGATGACTCAAGTGAGGGAACTCAAAATTGTCCCTCCTTTAGAAACAGCAGAATTGATTTAGTTGTTTTTTAAAAAAACTACCAGTGTTGTCATCCATGTGAACATGACATTAATTTAGCCACGTGGATTGTCTTTTCTTTCCCCATAGAAAAATAGAATAGGCTTGTCTCCCTCTCCCAGAACAATGGCCCAAATTAAACCTGCTGTTATTCAGTTTTCTCAGAAAAGAAAATTAGAGGGTCACTTCAATACAGGTCATGGCACTTTTCTTTTTTTCAACAATCACACTTGAGAAGGGGGCAGTCATCTCCTTTAGTTCTGTACTCTAGGAAAGTACTTGGTCCACAGCTTAAACACACCAAATTTTGCTCCTTAAGCAGCACTTGGACATAAAACAAACCACTAACTTGCAACTGGGTTTTAAAAGCCCCACTTCTGACAGGCTTAAACAACCCTTGGACCTTAGGCATGTAAGAGGAAGTGTGGCACTGACATGGGATTGGTAGTCTATTTCTGAGGTAGCTGGACCTGTTTCAGACTTGTACTTGAGCATCTAGGTGCTGCTCCCACCAACTGATTTTATCCAAATTCTCCCGCACCTCACAAATGAGAGACTGGGTAGTAGCTTGTTCAGGAGAAGTGGGACACATTGAGCTACACCTTTGCTCTTGTATAGCCAGTGTGTGGCAATTAGGTAGGTGCAACCACACCTGGCTGGCAATAGTGCCAAAATAGCGCCTCCTCACACACACTGACAATGTGGTATCGAACCCAGCCTAAGCACGAAGAGCCAAGCACAGAGAAATGGGTCAACTAGGAGAGGAAGACTGGTGTCAAAAACAGTGCAGTGCCTACCTCTGCTGAAGCTAGGGCAATGACCAGGCTCTGAAGTTCCTACCCAAACTTACTGGTTTCTTTTGGAGAGCCAGCCTGCTGTAGACCAGGTCAAAGACAACACCCACATGGGAGTGGTAGCTAACAAGGCAATCTTTCCATCTTCCAACAGTTCATTGTTTGGTGACATCCTTCACAATTGTGTATATGTCCTGATAACTTCCAAAAGCAGCAATTGAGATGGCTCATCAACATGTCTCGTCTTTGCACATCAAACTATATCACACCACACCAGTACTGATATAAAAGAAATGTTTAATAAGCGGCAATAAAGTAAGACTCCTTAGGGCACGCAGAGTACATACACAATGCATAAAGAGGAAGAAGAAACATGGAAAGAGGCAGAGGTCTAAGCCTCACCTGCAGCCCCACAGTCTGTAACAAGAATGCGTTCTCTTCCACTGGTGAGTTAATAAAGCACACAGAAAAATCATGGAGCTGTCACAAAAGTAATGGCAAAGATTCAATACAATTTCCATGGTAAAGTAGCCCTAAGTGTTGTAGGTGTGTCAAACGGGTAGGAAGCCACTGAACAGAACCTTTATTTTTATATACATTTTCAAATGTTACTCAGGTGAGGTATATAAATATTACCTAATGACACATTTTACCAACAATTCACAGCAGACACGCTCTTCTTCTAAAGTCACAGCATTTCCCAGGGCCCTGAAGGGAATGAGGCTCCAACTTAAGCCTTCAAATACCCAACTCATGATCACACACTGGGTTTGGGTGATGTGCACAGTACCAGACCTGAGGGAAGGGGAATAGAGAGAATAGACCCCCCAAGACACACATTTGGTTCATCATATGGGGAAGATAGGAGTCTCTTAGACACAGCAAGTAAAAATACCTGTGCAACACAGAGTGAAGAATGAACTGACTATAAATCAACACAGGAAGTGCAGAACACACCTGCAGTCTTGTTGAGTGCTGTGCAACACACTGATAGAGGTTCATTCAACTGGGCAGGAGGTTATCCTAAACTTCAAGAATGCCCTTGTGGAAAGGTTGCAAGTCTACCCCCCCCCACCTCATTTAACAACTTCATCTGAGAATTGAGGACTTTTACAATGGATATAGGCAGGGCTGAAGCTTTTCAGATGGCAGAAGAAGGGTGCAAGCAAAGCAACAATTTTTCTGGAGCTACATTAGGAAGCTGCATTGCCATGTTTTCCATAGAAAGAAGAGAGGGGTGATGGGTGGGAATTCTGAATGGCCATGACAAACAACAAGAAACAAACCCTTAGGAACTTCCACACAAGCCTAACTTTAAAAAATATGAGATAATCGCAAAAGAGACATTCAAAATAAGACTAATACAACACAGGAGGGAGCAGAGAGCATAGAAATACTTAATGGTCCAAAGTAATAAAATAAAATAAATTCAGGGAGGCAGAGAGAGTAAAAAATGGGGCCCTGGACTCTTCACAGCAGCTGGAAACATGGGAAGTGATGAATGATTGGCTTAATCTAAAAAAAAGGGGGGGGTGAGCACAGGAAACATCAAACACGCAACACAAGAGGGGTTAGATTACAAGAGTCAGCTATAAATGATGCTTGGAGGGCACCATCACTTCCTCCATGTATGCCGTTGGCATTTCTCCCATCCTATCCCCACCAAGAGCTCCCCTTAATTCAGTATCCCTGAGTCCACCTGCCCAGGTGAATAAGCATGCAGAGATGTCGAAGCAAAATATGTCTCTTTCTCTATGTGGCAAGGCCAGTGAAGAAGGGCAGTCTTCAATGAGATGTGCACACACATTTACAAAATTTCCCCATAAGGACTTAAACATTAATTTGTCACTGAAAACATTATTACTAAAAATTCTTATTGCTCACATGTACTGTCCCCAAAGATGCACGTGACAAAGCGGGCTGCCCAGAACTGTACTTTGACTCGCTTCCACAGAAAATGAGATTTTAGATAACCCATGTAATGCTTTTACTCGGTTTAGGCCCAGTTCTAAGCCAGGGCCTGGGCTGTTTGACTTCGGATTGCAGGCGAGAGATCACATGACTGAACACTCCGTCATATGAAAACATTCTCCCACATGCAAAAGCTAGCATATCGGGGAGGACAGGCTAAAACAATTCGCCCCGATAGCTTGCTTTCTATGTGAAAGGGCTTTTAAATATGGAGTATTCAATTATGTAAGTGTCATTAATATTTATTTGTCTATTCTGGGTATAGCCCAAATGCAACTTCAATGGGAACTAAGCCCTTGATTTTGCAGCATAAACTCCAGACCAGATGCCAGTCCTTGTCCCCCCCGCCCATGTCCAATTAATTTTGCAGTAGGAACCCCCCACCCACCCAAAAAACCACACTACCAGTACATTGCAAACCAACAGCACACCCAAGACTTATTAGCACAAAGTACAGGAAATAAATATTTTAAAACTATTTACAGTATTCTTCTAGTTTTTGTGACCACCCAGGAAGAAAAGGCAGCAATTACCCTGCACCTAGGAAAGCATTACAACCGCTAGCTGGATGCTATGTTAACACAGCACCTACTATATATATTTATATATAAACACACATATACATATATGTATATATTCACATTGCATTTTAAAGTCACACACAAAAAGCAGATCCTTAAAAAACCTTTGATAAGCATTACAGTGTAAAAAGACCCACTTAGGTAAAAGGTCACACACGGGTAACAAAACCCATTCAGACTCCACTCATTTCCACTATTTCTGTGAGAAACAATTCTTAGGGCGACACTTCAAGAGGGAAGGGTTTTTAAGAAGAGGTCAGAGTCTCCTCTACCTGCAAACCAGAGCTCCTGAGTTCATCTTAGACTAGATAGGGAATTTTTCAGCGACTTAGCTAAATGGGGGCGGTTTGGAAATACAAAAGAAACTAACTGAGAACAGGAGAGCAAGAAGAAGGCTTAGGGAAGAACATACAAGTGTCTTTTCATTGAGATTATCTGTGCCAGGAACATGCCGCATGGAGATTATCTCTGTGCAGGAAAATAGCATGCATGAAATGGCCCAAGGCGGTTTAACCCCTTGAAACAAGCTATGATCACATATGGGACCTTTCAGGAACACGGGGACCTCGCCCAGACAGCTCAATTCCATGAAATTCAAGAGCTAGGCAGAGCTAGATCAGGTGTGCATGTAGCAGGGAAGGGAGCAATGCCAGATGAAGTCCAAGCAAGGACAGAGGTGGGGTGTGTGAAAGACTAGGGAGGCACTGGTTTGTAGGCCATTGCATAGCATCATCAAATATCTCTTATCTGCATATTTGTTTCTATTTGGTGGGCATGTGGGAACTGAGTGAAGAGAGTTATATTTATAGCAACATTTCCAGAGGCACTCACAGATTTAATGAAGTCCCTTTTCAATTTGTGGAGGAATTCAACGTAGCACTAAGGAGATTATTCTGTCAACACAAGCATTTCAGTTTTCCAGAAGGAACAATCGCCCTTCTCCCTCCTCCGCTTGCTGTCAATTACCCTGACACACAGCCCCGAGCCAATTTGGGAGGCAGGGAGGAGAGGGGCTAAAAACTCTGTTGCACTCACAGAAGACCTTGTGCTGGCTCCTGCTAGTGGGACTCAATGGTTGAATCCAGCCCAATACTTTGCATTTCCCTTTGGCGCAAGTTAATTCCCCATTGCTCTGCTGTGCTTCCTGGTGATGAGGAAGAGTGGTACCAACACTGATTTCTGCAACAAAAAGAGAAGCGAGGTACTGGCTACCACCTTTAAAGAGGACAAAGGCAGAAGACTGTCTTATCAAAGCCTCTGCCAAGCTAGTGTCATCTAGATGTTTTGGCTAGGGCAGATAGGAGCTGCAGTCCAAAAAATTTGGTGGGCAGCAGGCTGGCAAAGGCTGCCTTATCACAGGAGCCTACAAATGGAACAAGGAAATGACTCTGGAGAGAAAAAGATCTTTTCAGCAGCTTCTGGTTTAGAAGATGAATAGGAATAATTGGCCAGGATGTTGCAGCTCATAATAATAATAAAAAATGATTAGTGATAAGCCTCAGTAACAGTTTTGTGCAGCTTAAATATTCCCCAGACATAGAATGGGAAAAGGGAGATATCATCATTATTCTTACTACTACAAAGCAAAATCCTAAGCATAGTGACAGTACTTATGTCGGGAGGAAAGAGCCATAAATAGCATTCCTGCAGAAGCCACCCAGAAGCTATGACAGAGGAACTGTCCAGAGCTAAAGTTGCTACAAAAGTTTCTCTAAGCATTGTGTGCCCTGCACCATCAATCCTTAATAATGTGCACAGAAGTTGGGGCTTTCCCTTAAATACAAGATAACAGCCTTCATTGAAAATTACTGAAAGTAGTAATACTCTCAACCACAGGGAAAGAAAAGCACTGCACACTTGACCAAGAAAAAGGCTGTTGGGAGAAAATGGAAGACAACTAATGGAAGATCTTTTTGTGAAGAACGTCTAGTTTGTCTCAATGAGAAGGGACGGCAAAGGGCCAGATTTAAGGAGATGAGATATAAAGAGATGAGCAACAGGGCAAGTTATGGGGAATTCTCCACCATACCATCGGGGGGAAGAGGGTCCCTTTTCAAACACAGTGTGTGCTACAGGAGAGGCTAGGATTCATGATGGTCCATTGCATCTGATGGAAAGAAAACAGTACAGAGGATGGTTTTATCCAATAAGCAAAGCCATCCACTCTCTTCTAGGAATGCCCAGGTAGCATGGAAACAGGAAGGTGCAAACCATCCCAGTTTGACTATACTTGTGAACAGGGGTTTTGTGACAGTACTCACAGGTATCATCACCTCTTTTTTTGCTGCCCATGGCAGCCATCTTGTGCTGACACCTACCCCACTTTTATCAAGACATGATACTTCATTTTTAACCCCCACAAAAAGCACTGCCTTTAGACCGTTTTGGCAATGGGGCCCAAGATGCTTAAGCAGTAGAACCTGCCAAGCACGTAGAGAGGAGCAGAAACAGAGCCACAGTTAGAGGAACGGAAAAGCCTTTCTTGTCACTATACTGAGTAAGGCTATTACAGTCGCAACCCCAGGCTTCTCCCCTTACTCTCGCAATTCTTTTGCTAGAGAGCAGTACCAGGTTAGACCAAGTTTATAACATCACCAGGCCATAGCAACTGTACTACTGCAGATAACCACTGATTCTGGAAAGAGCACCTATTTTTGAGGCAGAAACCAACAAAGCAAGATTGCATTTAACAGATGACACACACTCCTTGCAAAAAAAGAAAAGAAAAAGAAAGACAAATGCTGAAGAAGTGGACGGATGGGAAACAGTGCACAGGAATTAAACCCCTGCAAAGAGAAGAGCCCAACCCAAGAAGGCTGGTTTCCAAAGTTATATCTACTGGAAGAATTAAGAGTCAAGTTCTCACTATCACAAAAGTGGGTTACAGGGCATCAAAGGGAGAGGAAATGGCCTCTTTGCAACTTACTTAGCGGACAGCATATCAACCTGGCATGTTGGTGACATAGTGTCACTTGCATGACATAAGGACTGATGCACAGAGCACAGTCTGAAGAATGCCTCCCAACCAGAAGGTAGCTTTGCTTCAATATAAATCATACTAAACTATCACCATCAGAATTTATTTTTAAAAAAACAACTCTAAATTGCTTTAAACTACTTGGCTCACTTCTCCCCCCCCCCCCCACAAGCTTACACTAGTCTATTGGCTACATGGCAAAGGCTTGCCTTGCCTTGCCAGAAGCCACTGGTGCTAGAACCTGGGATAAATCAACCACTGGACCAAACTCTCTCCAGACCTCACCAAAACACTGCAAGGCCTGGTCACTGTATTCCAATTTCTCATAGGCAACCTTGCAGGAAAGGTGGGAGGGGAGGGGCAACTGTGAAGCTCTCAAATGCTACACAGGGCTTATAAAGGGATTCTCTTAAGTTACAGACCACACAAGAAATGGGAAAGCAGAAAGGTGTAGAAATATTTTATTAGCAGTGTCGGGATCAGAATCAGTAGCCAAAAGTACCACAAGGTGCTCAGCCACCCAGCAGAGTGTTAGGAAGCAGCCCTGGGTTGAGGGAGCAGGAAGATTTTACACCTTTCTGGATGGAGGCATTTGAAGTTGGAGAAAAGTAGAGGTGAAAAACCTGACATACTCACCCTTTCCTCTCACTCACACATACATGCTCACGCACCACACTTCCTTAAATACCTTTTAATACTCCTGGTGGAATGTCTAGCACATTTTATATGTGCAGTTCAAATAGCAATCAGACAAATACGTATCAATCTTTACAGAGAATGCTAGGCCTGACTTAATGCTTACAACAATTCATTTTATACAGCATGATTTACATCAAAAGACAGAAGTTAAAAATCAATGATTCAAAAGTATTCATACAAAAAAAGTCCACCCTGATGTGTCTTATAGCTTTAGTGCACCCTCTCAAGACACAGACTTGGGTAAGCAGGTGAGCAGGAGGGCTTGGCAGTTCCAGGCGCTGCCTCCCAAATCTCTTTGATCAATGGAACAAATTATACAGCTAGTTATTTGTGTTCTGCCTGCAGTAATGAGCTTTGGTATAGGAGTGCCAATGCTAACGCACCCTCCCTCCTTTAAAAAACGAAATAAAACCAATTTCCTTGCACCTAAGCCTTGTTCTTGCTCCCTAAAGAGTTTGCCTTTCCTTTTATTCTACAAATCCCTCACCAACTGGAAAGACTGGTTCCAGCCAGTTAATATAATAATGTGTAAAGATGTGTTTGAGTACGTCGATCTCAGATGGTATCCATGGAAAGCTATTCTGAAAGGTCAAGCCATTCGAAGGCCTTCGCGGGAAGCTCCTGGGTGCCACGCACAGCAAGCGAGAGGAAGTTTGCACAAGTTTCTAAGCAAATACCTCTGCCTTTGTTGTGATTTAAAGGAAAACTATGGAAATAAATAAAAGGCTGCTTTTCTCTCCAAGCCCAGAGTAGCAGCAACCACTGTCTGTCACCCAGCAGATGGGTAGCACAAAGTACAAGGGGCAGGGAGTTTCCTCTGAGAAAAAGGCTGCTTCCAAATGCTGTCAGATCCAAAACAAATGTTTGCACTGAGAAGGGGACTGTTTGCCTTTCTAATAGGTGTTCGTAGAAATACCTTGTCTGAAGACAGATACTTCTTGACCTTTACATAATGCATTGATTAAACTTGCAAGGTGAGGCCTTGCAAGGGAGAGAGAAGCTTGCTTACTCTCAAGCTGGAACCAAACCACACTTGCAAAAGCGCCAGATATTTCTAGTTGCTTCCTTGTTTGCAGCCAGCATTGCCTCCTTCTTATTTTAATAACAATAATTTTTAAAATCTTTTTGACATACGGCAAACAGGGAAAGTTGAAAAAGGAACTTGCAGCAACTGCATAGAAATCATATAAGTTTACAGCAGAGAAGAACCTCTGACTACGGGCGCTTTCCAACATTACTTTTTACAGACTCACAAGATGGATGCAAGCTTCACTTTGGAATGGTTTTTTGTCCGTCTATTTCACTGCTAAGATGTGCTTTCAAGTACCCATATTTCAGGGGCGTTCAGGCCTCACAGTAAAATGGACAGGAATACCACCATTCTGAAATGCATCCAGGCTTCATTTGAGGACACAGGCCCCAAGGCGCCCGCCTGTAAACAACCATGTCAGAAGTGGCAGGCAGTGTGCATGTACTTAATAGGGAAGGGCTCTCTATCCAAACAAGCAGTCCAGTTCCTTTCTTGGCTAAGTACAAAGTTGGCCGAGCATGGCTGCCAATCACTGATGCTTTGGAATCAGCATCTTTTTGACACGAGAGCAAGGCTACATTACAGCCAAGCCCCAGTTACACAAGATAGTCCAACTGTTCATACCTTAACAACAACACACACCATTCTGACTGACTGACTGACAGGATTAAAGGATGCAAATGCTTTGGGTTTTGGCTTTATAATGCCCTGCTTGGTTTAAACAGTGCCAGGATGCTACAATGCACAAAAGGAAGAAAATGCTCCTGTGTGAACCCCAGCAGGTGGGCTGCCAAGGTCTATGGGATGTGCATGAAAGCTGGTTCTCTTTCCATTACAGTTCAAGTGCTTGTGCATTAACTATAAACTGCCAGCCTTTAAATCACACAGATTAATTTATTCAGTTCCTAAAAGGATAAATAAGGCACTGTACTTCGAACTGAAACTGCCAAACTCCTAGTTCCACTCAAGGAGCTTTCAGAAGCAGCAACTTTCCTTCTCAAGGGCAGAGAATAATAGCTTCTCCTTCTGGCTGCAACACAGCTAGGGGGCTCCTCGTCATCTGAGAGCGGGGGGTTGGCCTTCGGCTAAACACTTGCCACCCTCCCCACAATGTTCAGAAGTGGATCTGTTTAATGTATTAGGAAGTATTTCCGTGACCCACCTCCTACCCACCCCCAACCCCAGCCAGTTACTTTGCATCCAGACATCTGCGTTTGCTGGGTGAAGAGTCTTTGCTTGCCCTCAGCTTCCTCTTGCCCTGGGCTCTGCTGCTCTCCTGAATTCGCTTCATTGACCTAGTCAAGGCTTTGCCACTGCTTGCCTTTTGGGCAGCCACTTTGGGAGGTCGGCTGCTGGAGTCTTGCACCGCTTTCTGCTTGGGAGGCTTAGCAAGCCCTTCTTGCCTGGAAGGCAGACTTGCCTTTTGACCGGCCTTGGCTTTCCCCTTCTGGACGGAGGGCTTCCTTTTCCCAGGTCGCAAGTCATTCAGCTTCTTTGCCTTCTCGTTCCCAGACACAGGCTTATGACTCTTGTCAGCAGCCGCCTGCTTCCTGGTAGCAGGAGGCCCTGCAGGCTTCGGTTTACTGGCTTTCTTAAGAGGAAGCCTTTCTTTGCTCGAGGTACTCAACAGCCTCTGTGACCTGCTGCTCTCGGTCGGCGACTTCTTCCTGGTTTGCTGAAGGTGGCCTTTGGATGAGGTGTCCTCCTGTATCTTGCCTTTCGCCTTTCGCCCCTTCCCTCCTCTTTCAACCAGGCTTGTCTTAGTCGCAAGTGGGGGGGCTTGGACCTGCTGGGCCAGTTTCGGAGACACCAGGGGCTTAATGCACAGGCTCTTCCCGCTCGGCTTGCTTTCAGCAGAGGGGTGCTTGGTCACGCCGTCGTTCTTGTCCTGCTTGGCCACCTTGCGTATGGCGTTGAGTTTGCCTCGCAAGTTGGAGTACTTCCTCAGGATGCGAGAGCTGGTTTGCACAGGCGTGCTGGGAGGCTGGGTGCTCTTGGCTTCGGCTTTGTGCTCCACACTTACTTCGGAGGGAGGCATCTGCTTCGAACTGGCAGCCTGCTCGGGCTCTTTGTCCTCAGAGCCATCTCGAAGCTTAGCCCACAGCCTCTGAATCTTGATGGTGTTTTTGGCCGGGGTCATAGCAGCAAACTTCTTCAAGTGTTTCTTCAGGCGCTCAGCTTGAAGGGAGCTAGGGTAGCTGCCGGAATAACAGCCCTTCTGGAGTGGAAGCTTGATGAGGGGGATGTCCCCCGGGAGACGGGTGTTCATCTTCTTCACAATGACCAGAGACTTGGTTTCAGTGGTCTCCATAAACCACTTGCAGATGTTGGACATGTCAAACCCCTTCATGAACAGCATCTGAACCGGGGAGAGCTTCTGGCCTTCCGTGGGCCCTTTTAATTTGCGGGTCCTCTTCTTGCTTTTCCAGATCTCTTTCAGTTTGTCGGATTTATTCTTGACCTTTGGAGCTGGCTGAGCCTCTTTCTCCAGCTGAATCCACCCTTTCTGGACCTTCATGTACTGAGTGTTAAAGTTAGTGATGAGTTCTTGGTTCTCTTCCTCAGCACACCATTCCACAAAACTGGGCTTGTTGTCAGAGAGCACTTCCATGCTACTGAAGCCAACGGTGTCTTCACTCTGTGCATTTTCTTGGTCTGTGACATTACAGCCTGCTTGTATAGTCACAGCATTAGAATCTCCTTGTACGGTTTCTTTTCCGGAAGTGTTTTTGGAGGCAGTGGCCACAGGGGTTGGGGCAGGGGTGTGCCTCAGGTTGTAGAACTGGAGAGCTGGCTTCTTAGATTTTACTGATCTCTCTGATGGCACAAGCTTGCTTTCACTCCTGCTAACAGAACTGGGCCCATGCTGGGTGTGCAACTCCTCTGTAACCTCCATCATACTGTCAAAGTTATCTGGAGTGCCTGATGTCAAATCTGACTGCTTTTCACCCTTATCAGAGGTCTCTGCTGGGACGTGAACACTTCTCCTATCAGAATCACCCTCTAAGCAAATTTCAAGCATTGCCCCTGCCTTGTCCTTGTTTCCTTCTCCATTCTGGTCTTCCTCTACTATGGTCTTTTTCGCTAACTGTGTCTGAGAGGCCTGTCCCATTGTGATGTCATTTCTGTCACCTGGCTGCTGCTCAGAAGAATTCCCAATGTTGTTTAGCAGTGTTTCCTGGAACCCATCATTTGGGAAACACAGCGATGCTGCACCGTCAAGTTGCACCTCCCTCTTGAAACGCTTAGCACCAGGGCTTTTAGAAAGCTTGATCTGAACTTGAGGAGGCTGTAGAGACATGGAAGAAGTTGATTGCTCAGGACTATCCTCTGCAGATGACAGGGATTGCTGGCTTCGAAGACAGCGATCGGATACAACCTGAGGTTTTTTCTCCCGCTTTCGTTTTTTGTCCGGGCTTGTTTTGGAAGAAGCTCCCTCCTTGTTGTCCACTTCTGATGTTTGGGGCACTGCTGGAGCTTCGCTATCAAGTTCCTTTCCATCATCCACCTTGCTTGTTTCACTTGTATCTTTTACTGTTCCCTCTCCCCAATCTTCATCATTATCTGCAACAGGCAACACAGTCTCACTTTCCCCAGAGTGGATTCCACCTGAGTCCAGAATCCCTTCAATGCTATTTTGAGTATTAATACTTTCATGTGCATCTGCACCCTGCAAGCTGCCAGGGAGCTCTGCAGCATCCAAGTCAGAAAGTGGCTGTGAGAGCTCCGTATCTAACTTGCCAGGTCCCACCACTGGAGATTCTATAGAAGGAGCCCCTGAAGGAGCCTCTAGGTCAATATGGGCAGGAGGCTCAGACACCACAATGCCAGGAGACACTGCCCTTGAACTGGCAACAGGTTCCCCTGGACACATATGCTCTGTGATAGGAGGGAGTTCACCAGGGAAGGCTATGGAAGGCTCCAGACGGACAAGGGCAGGAGGTTCTGCCAGGTCTATAGGGGAAAGAAGTGGGGGTTCCACATCAGAAGGTAGTTCTACAAATGGTGGCAAGTGTTCAACAGGGGCAGGCTCCTCCAGTGGAGGCATCAAGTCCATTCCAGGGGAAAGGTCTTCAGGGGGCTGAAGGGCCATGCTGTCAGGAGGCACCTGGTCTGGAAGAATGGAAGGCTCAGGGATAGCCTCGGTCTCTGAGAACATGGCACTTTCCTCACCATTGGCAACCTCTGAAGCAGACAACACCACAGATTCTCCTGTGTTGCCACTGTCTTCATTGGGTCTGCTACTCTTACAAGAGTCTGTGCCATTGCCAGCCTTCTGCACAGTGTCCATGTCCATTTCGTCCTGTGGCTCCCCTTTGCTCAGTTGGCAGGGAGAGACAAGAGTGGTCTGCAGTGAAGTATTGGACAGGCTGCCTTTCTCTACACGCAAAACAAGGCTGGGTAGCGGGGAGAGAGCAATTGTGGATGCTTCAGCAGAACTGTCTTCTCTCTCCTTCACAAAACTTACCTCAGGAGCGGCCTTCTCAGCCGGAAGTATCTCATCTCCCTCCTGAGTACTGTTGTTGGAGGCATCTCCTTGAGGGACGGCCACAGCAGGTCTTTTGTCACCATCACCACTCATGGCCTGGGCTGCTGCTAAGCAGCTATCACTCGGAAGAGAAGCTCCCTGGCTAGGGCTTGTCAGCACCTCAGGCCTTGATGCCAGTGTGTTCCCACTCTCCTGTACATGGGAAGTCTTGGCCAAGGTGCGAACTGTGGGAATCTCACAGCACTCACCGTTGTAGTAGTATCCACGAGTGCTCTTCCTTGCCGTCTTCCTAGAGGAGACCACCCTCTTGCTCTCAAAGTGGCACTCTGTAATTGGCTGGCTGATATAAACAACATCGCATTGGTTGTCATAGTCATTAATTCGCAACCCTGAAGGCCTTTTGCTCTTACGTGTGCTTTTGGTGGAGGATGAGTTACTCTTGGTCCTGGAGTGTCCACTGGTGGTTTTGTGGTGAACCACTGGCACAGGGCTATTGGATAGCCAGCCGTCCTTGGCATTCTCCACATGGGTCTTGTCAACAGGTTGCATGTTATAGCTCCCCTTGCTTTTCCCTGAAGCCTGGAGGTGGTTCTCTGCCTTCAGTCTTGCTTCTTGGTCATTCATTTCAGTATCCGGGTGCAAAGAGGCTTTGGAGCTGCACTGCAAGGCATTCTCTTTGTCTGCTCTCCTAGGGGAGTTGGTGGTGAAGCCTGGCTCTCGTGTTTCCTCTGGGAAAGCTTTAAAAGTGTTCTTCTGGGAGCCCACCAGACCGTCTTCACTCATGTGTATGTTTGTTGCTTTCACAGCATTGTAGCCTCCCAGCAAAGCTCTATTTTGCACCTGGTCTTTGTCATCCTCACCTTTCCTACCCCCCATCTCTTGGTCACTACCAAGGGCTTGGCCTTCCATACTTTTAGCAGAGTGATGGGAATTGGAGGCAGTGAGGTATCCTTGAGAGGGACTGTCCCTGGGACTTGCAGAACTTGTTCTAACGCTAGGAAGCTCAGGGAAGTCTCTTCGGACAACTGGGCTGCAGTTTTCCCTTCTATCTGTAGATTTCAGATCCACAGCCTGCTTCAGGGCATGGCAAAGTTTGCGCAGAGAGCCATGAGACCCTGATTGCTCTGTGTCCAGGGAAGAAGGGAGCTTTGATTCAGAGCAAGAAGTTCCAAGCTCCTGGTTCTCAGTGCGATACTGGCTGCAGCCAGAGCTACAAGTGGACACATCCATGTTTTCTGCTCCAGGTAACTGCTGTCCCTCACAGCCTGTCTGTACTTCAGTGCAAATGTCGTTTAAGACACGGACGAAGTGCTTCTGATGGTACGTGCACAGTCTGACCATAAATTTTTCCAATGGAGATTTCGGCTGGCCAAGACAATCTGCAGCGTCCTCACTAGAGAGAGGGAGAGAGAAAGAATCAGTAAAGTTGGGTAGCAAATCATTTTACACTGCAAATCTTCACAACTCTCTCTCTCCTTTCTGCTCCCCTACATTGCATGCTCTACGAAGATGGCAGCTCCAATTGTCTACCTAAAATGAGCAGGCAACTAAAGCAAAAGCTCAAGATTATGTTTGTCATTTCTCCCTTTTCTCCTCATGGCTCACCTATAGCCTCAGTATATTAAACACTGAATAGTTATTGGGACAAACCTTGCTTTATCCGTTCACATTTGTCCCTTAGAAAAATTGGTTCTAGGGGAAACCAATCTGAACTAGCTGGAAAACAACTACAGTCATAACTTGGCTTTCGAACGTCTTGTGAGTCGAACGTTTTCGGCTCCCGAATGTTGCAAACCCAGAAGTGACTGTTCCAGTTTGCAAACTATTTTTGGAACCCGAATGTTCGACAAGGCTTCCATGGCTTCTGATTGGCTGCAGGAGCTTCCTGCAGCCAATCAGAAGCCACACTTTGGTTTTCGAACGTTTTGGAAGTCGAACGAACTTCCAGAAGAGATTCCGTTCGACTTCCAAGGTACGACTGTACCAGATTCCCCATTTCCCTGCAGACATTTCCCCATTTCAGGCAATGAACAGACTGCCATCACTGCTCTGGGAATCTGGCCGAAGGGAAGGCCAAATATCTCTGTAAGTGATAAAATAAATATTCTCTTCCCAAATTTGGTGCAAGTCCTCAACAGCTTCACAGGGGCAGGAGTTTAGGAAGAGACAGACACCCAAAATGAATAGTCTTTATAACAGCTATATATACAAGATCCTTAACATACTTAGACTGAATAGCCAACCTATAGACAATAGCATTTGCCCTCTCTGCATCAGCCACCACAATTCCATAAACATGAAGATTTGAAAGAGCTGTTTTGAATAATAATTAACTCAACAGGTGTGGAAGGAGGTGGCAGCCCTGAGGACAGCAAGGGGCTGGGGGATGGCAGCTGGAGTGTTTGAGAACAGCAAAGCATCAATAAACATCCCTATCAATCTTTTCCCTCCTGCCCCCAAAGTAGGTAGCCAGGTTCTGATTTATATATAACTTATATAATTCAGTGGCTAGGCTGCTGGTAGAGAAGATACATCATCCTAGAGAGTGAGCAGTATTATCTCTTGACAGCTACTGAATAAAACGATCAACCTTTCTGTCTTTGGGAAGTGCATGAAAAATTATTCACTCTCATTATTGAACTCAGGAGCTGCACTACTGAAGCGGTTCATATGTTAATGGCAACCTGGGTGACATGGCCTTGTGCTCATGTTTTCCTCCTCCTTGTGCCCCACGTCAGTTAGTTACTTCCTCTTTAGGACAAATCACAGTTTGCCATCACATCTAATCTGGCAAACTGTGGTTCACACCTATCCTCCAAGCAGGAATACAAACAAGTTTTGAACCATAGTGTACAATCTTGGAGAGCAAGCACAGAAACTATAGTTTGTACTCTGATGAAATGGCATCTGAACAGAGGAGAGCTATGGACTATCGTGTGTGCTAAAGAGAAGGAAACTAACTGAACCTGAGTATGGGAGGGAATAGAGTTGTGTGTGAACACAAAGCTTGTTCAAATACAGTCAAACCCCGTTTGTCGAATGTAATCCGTTCCAGAAGCCCATTTGGCTTCTGAAATATTCGACAACCAAGGCTTCCGATTGGTTGCAGGAGCTTCCTGCACTCAAGTGGAAGCCGCGCCGGATGTTTGGCTTCCGAAAAACGTTAAAAAACCAGAGCATTTACTTCTGGGTTTTCGGTGTTCAGGAGCCAAAACGTTCCAAAATGGAGGTGTTCAGGATCCGAGGTTTGACTATAGTACCAAACCATGTCTGAACAGAGCCGCTATTAGAAGCTGGCTACTGATTCCAAAGAAAAAGCATTCACATTAGTTTCTTAGCAGGATTGGTCAGGCCTATCTCTCACAAATGAGGGAATACTCCTGTTTCTCAGCTGTACCATTGCAGATTTCTGTTAGGGGCTCGACAATATTGAATGCTCCTCCATTTAAAAAAATGTATAGAAAACTAGATGGCTAGGAGAAGGATGCTTGCCTTTCTCTCTAACATGTTAGTTTTCTATGTGCATTTCTTTTGAATGGAGGAGCATTCAATTACTTTAAATCTCTAACCATTTACTGAAGTGGTACAGTCCAAAGACAGGTTTGCCACATGAGACAACTAGAGCTCAGATTGCCTGAAGTAGAACCTTATACTCTTATTTTGTAGCTTCTCTTTACCTGAGCTCTAATTCTTGGGTACATAAACCTCGTATCTGAATATTTTGCAAGCCCACATAATCCATGGAAACTTACTCTCCAGCTCATTCATAAATAGTGTTTGCCAATCTCTGAATCAGAATGGTATGAAGTATCTTAAGTAAATATATAATTGTTCAGTCCAATACATATACAAATGCATGCATAGGACATCATCCTAGAAAACAGTTTTTTTTCAATCTAGTTTACTAATTATACTGAGATGTCAAATCAACATTCAATTACAATGTCAATCAAGCAGTTCCACAGAAACTGAAGAAAGAATCAATGGAAAAAGTGACCGAACTAATGATGTAAACCAAGCTTTCCATTCGGTTATCTGAACTATCCTTGAGAAAGTCAGGCAAACTTAACAACTATCATCAGTAAGCTAAAATGATAGAACCTCGGCCTAACTGAAACCCTGTCACAGTCCAAAGCAAGGGTAACCAATGTGGTACCTGTTGTTGAACTATAACTCCCATCAACTTCAGCCAGCATGAGCAGTTGTCAGGACAGCAGCCATATTTAAGTACTTAAACTGGGCTATAAAGATCCTGGATAGAGTATGGCTTCTCAACAGCATTTCCCTGGGTTCTGTTCAATCACTGTTGGGCTTTCTTTCATTTGTTAAACTAGAAGAATACTGGAAACTTAAAGGACTAACACACCAGCATATTTAACTGAGAGTCACATTGATTTTAATGGAACTTGCTTCCAATTAAGTATGCTTAGGATTGCAGTCTCAAGAGGCCAAATAAAAGGTGAACTGTGCTTATTAAGGTCACTTCTTAGACCTGTTTATTGAGCATTCATCCTATTTTTTGTTAGCAAAAAGCTTGCAAGGAGGTTAGACAACATCATTCTGATTTGTTTGAAGGGAGTTTACACAATATTACATCAAGCAATGGTTACCCCCCATTTTCACAGTACTTTCCTCATCACAAAAGGTCTAGTTTTGTGGAAAACACATTTAATAATAATAATAATAATAATAATAATAATAATAATAAATTTTATTTATACCCTGCCCTCCCCAGCCAAGACTGGATTCAGGGCGGCTAAAACCAGGTAAAAACAATTGATTAAAATACAACTTAAAAACAAGATTAAGTAATTTGATGTACAAGAGCATCAAATCAACCACATTTGTGTTCCTTGATTTGGCAGTATGTGACTGAACCCCATCTGAAAATAGCAATAGTCTAGCAGCACCTCAAGATCATTTAATAGTTTTTAAAATGAACAAGGGATGTACTCATGACATTTCACTGAGTCTGGTCCAGACACTGCAGTCAAAAGGTTTCTTAGCAACAATTAGGATACAGGTAGGGTTCCCCACTAGGTCACAACCTGCAGAACCTTCTCATCTCTTGGGTAGAGCCACAGCCATTAAACAGGATTCAGCTGTGGCTTTTCCTGTTTCTCCTCCTAGGCCTCTTACGCACCCTCCACCCCCAGCTGCTGTGTGTCAAAACAAGAGTTTCTCTGGCTGCAGCAGGTGGGGGAAGTGTGAGTGTGGAAACTGAAGCTGCATCCTCCTTCAGAGCTGCAGTAATATTAAAGCAACAAAAGGATTCTCATGGTTGTTGCCTGGCAAGCCTTGATGCATGTAGGGATGTCGAATCTGGATCTTGATCAGCTAAGCTCACACACTGCAGAAGAACTCCCATTTGTGTAAGAACAAAAGAACATCCAAAATGGTGGTTGTTGCATATGCTTGTTTGCAGATAAAGTAACTCTTTGCAGGATCCACTTTTCCAAAACTCTTGAGAGCCTCCAGCTTGCATAGATTTTCCTGCACATTTTTAAAAATACTAACTTTTAAAAATCCCAGTATAAACACATCTTTCATTGGAAATTGAGGGTGGTTTATTTCTGCTATCCTTTTTTATTACTTTACCTTGTTGATCTGACACATCTTAGCCCCTATAAAGCCCCCCCCCAATTCATCAAGGAGCTCCATTCCTCTTCTGTTGTGCATGTAATTTTAAGAGCCTAAAGGTCACCCGCAACAGATTTCACCTCTCTGCCTCCTGACTTTGGGGCTCTTATAGCACCTGCCACAGCTTTCCCCAGGGCAGCCATCATTGCTTCTTATTCCAGTTTGTCACTAAGTACGAGAGAGAGAAATCAAGGGGCAGTAGCTGTCATTTGTTCAAACACAACTGTTGCCATGCAACAGTCACAGTGCCACAATTAATGCTTTTCAGATTTTGCTCTGCAGTGCAGCTATTTGCATAGCTGGATGCTGAAACATGTCTATTTGCACAGAGCTGTCACTGGCTGGTGTTCTGTTCTCAATTAGTATGTGTGCACAAATCCCTACATGCACATATACAGTCTGTTTTTTGTTGTTGTTGTTTTGTTTTCTTCTGAAGGATGCACACAGGCTGCTAAAGAACATTTTAAAATTTCTGAGCAATGCTGGTGATTTTTAGGGTGGGGGCAGAAGATTAGCTACAATAGCAAACAACAGTAATCTTCAGTTTGTAGGGATTTGGAGGGTTTACCTGAGAAATGTCGTTCTTGAAGTTCAGGCCATTCAGTTTGGCCCCTGTTTGTATAACCACCAAAATCTTCTACTGAACACACAAAACACCCCCCTATTTCCCACTTCCTTAATATGACCAAAACGGATGCATCTTCCCCAGCTACAGAACAGACTGTTTGGAATCCATCTAACTGAGCTGCTGTATATCCAAATAAGAGGGGTGTGTGTGTCCCAATTAATCACCCACTGCCTCCCAAGTTTCCTTTCCATCTCCATTTAGCCCCCTGGTAAATCAGTTTGACAGAGTATAAGTTTACAGGTATGTTTTGTACCTCAGAGGCACAAGAAGAAGCAGCAGAACAAAAGTTCAAGGCTAAGTGTTTCTGTTCCTTTCAGATCACTCTAAGCACCACGATTATAGCTCTGTAAAAAAAACAAGACATAGCTATAAACTTATAAAACCCAGCCCTGGTTTTTTTTTTTTTAATACATCAAGAGGGAGACAGTTCTCTCCCTCTCCCTTATGCTTTTCAGCAGCCAACTCACAAAACAGATTATCAGCAGCAGAAGTCCCAGCACCCAGCTGTAGCAGAACTTCCTCTCCCCTTCAGGCTGAGGGGGCAACAGAAACCTCGGTCGGAACATGAAACAGAGTTTGAATTTGTCACAAGATGGACATGGTTTTGAGCCTGGGCTGCAGAGGCTTTAGAAAGGTCAGTGAAGAAGTGACACATCGCCTCTGTGCAGAAACACCCCTTATGAACAGTGGTCCAGACCTCCTCATAGCAACCCAAAAAACACAGGTGGTTAGTTTGAAAAACTGCAGTCCACACCTAGATGGGCTGAGGAAGAAGAAAAACACACTAGTTTCACCCTTAAATGCATTTTCAGAACACCAATAATGTCTTTTATTCCTGAATGAATCTCTTGCCGATGATTTTTTAAAAAGGGGGAGACCCACTTCAAACTGAATAAAATTTTCCATCAATGTGTTTTTTTTCATGCAGAAAATGCAACAAACAAAACAAACTAAGGCCAGTTTGTATTGCCTGTGTTGTTTCAGGCTGGCTAGTTTATGAATCAGAACAACAAAAGCATTGGCCATAATATGGAACAAGTCTCGTGCTTCCCCCCATTTGTCACCCAAGTGCAGGGTGGTTGGCAGAAATTAGTCTACTCTGAACCCACAGGGAAATCTGAGCCAGAAAAAAATAGTTTATGAATCAAGGGGCCCGTAAAGAGGAGGGGTGGATTTTGTACACAATTATAAAAAAGCCAAATACATAGGCAATCCAACCTACAAGTCCCTTGATTTTCTTTGTTTTTGATGATGTCTTTTGGACTAATATACTCTATATGGGAGAGCAAGGCAGAATTTTAGCCCTTCAGAGTATGGAATTTTGGAAGTACCTTACATTTTTTAAAAGCAACCTTCTTCACTATCTGAATCCAATCAAGTTAGGTAAGGAAGCCTCTGCAACCTATATCAAGGGATCTGTGCATTTTATTTCTTTCCAGAGCGTTCTGCTCTCCTTCCCACCCACTTTCCCCCATACAACATTTTAATCACCAGCTGTGACGCATCTAACAACCTTCTTGTGGCTAATTGAAAAACGTTATCATTCAGTCCATCCCTTTTAAACCAGGGGAGATTTATCATGCTGAAACATTAACCCACGTACTGCTTTCATTTCAAGGGCTTTTCACAATGGTCCTTGCTAATTTTTCTGATTATCAAGGACGTTGGGGAGCTTTTCTTCCTCTCCCCCCCCCCCCGGGTGAATGCATGGTGTTCCTGCCGCTGATAGTACAAACACCACTCACTCACTTAACAGCTGGGCGTCGTGGCAGCCACCACGGCCACCTTTATAAAATAAAAACACAAATAAGAGATTGCAAACTTATGAATTGATGAAAGGCTTTAAACATGAAACTCAAACCCAGAACAAAAATCTTCTAATCTAACAATTCCAGGGCTCTGAGAATGATCTCTGTAGCTAGGAATAGAAGCCCCAAGCTACAGAGGGCTACCTGACCCAAGGCCACTTCTACTACATTAAAAGGTTAGTACTGTGCAGGTTTATATAAGTCTCGATTTTACTACACTCTATGAACAAAAGATACCATTCATTCGCTTAGCACAAGTTCATACATCAAATCCACCGAGTTATCTTAAAAACTTCAGGTGAGGATGTCAACCAATCATTAGAAAATGGATGAGCATCTTTAAAACATCACATGATGCCCGTATCCTGTGCAAATAGAAGTTTTTAAGAGAAGATAAATATATGGATGGGACGCGGGTGGCGCTGTGGGTAAAACCTCAGCACCTAGGACTTGCCGATCTCATGGTTGGCGGTTCGAATCCCCGCGGCGGGGTGCGCTCCCGTTGCTCGGTCCCAGCGCCTGCCAACCTAGCAGTTCGAAAGCACCCCCGGGTGCAAGTAGATAAATAGGGACCGCTTTATAGCGGGAAGGTAAACGGCATTCCGTGTGCTGCTCTGGTGCCGGTTCGCCAGAGCAGCTTCGTCACGCTGGCCACGTGACCCGGAAGTGTCTGCGGACAGCGCTGGCTCCCGGCCTCTAGAGTGAGATGAGCGCACAACCCTAGAGTCTGTCAAGACTGGCCTGTACGGGCAGGGGTACCTTTACCTTTACCTAAATATATGGATAACATAATGAATTGCTGTTATGTGAGTAAAGCATTTGTTATTTATATAGATTTATATGCTAGCCTCATATTACTTATTATAACCCAGCCTAGAACTATGGCAAACAAAGCGGATAAGAAATACAAATAAATAAAATCATACAGTAGCTAAAGGTATAACCTGGGGTTCTGAGTGCAAAACAATGGGCAAGACAGCACTCTCAGGCACCTGACTTGGTGCCCCCCAATCCTCCTGCCCTCTTAATTTTTTTAAATTTAGTTTTTTAGCTTCTTAGAGAATGTTGACTGTGTTTTTTTCTGTGTTTTATTTGCTTGGGGTGTACAGTGTTATGTCTGTGTTTTTGGGAAGGGGGATTCACAGCATCTCCAGTTTTTTCTTGTGTGAAACTGGCACTTTATAGCGGCTACAACAGTTTATTCAATTTCCAAACGTGCCCCTTGACAAATAAAAGTTGAGGACTCCTACAAATGCCTTGAGTTATCTCTCATGATTAAGGCTACCCACACTAGACAAAAGGCACCATCAGTGCAGTGGCATAGGAAGGGGGTGCAGTGGGTGTGGGCCGCCCTGAGTGTCATCACTGAGGGGGTGACAAAGTGGCAAAAATATGTGTTTCTGGGTCACTATTGGGTGTGCCGCAATGCTCAGTCGTGCACATATTGAACGTGTGTAAATGGGGGCTGCCTGTACTGTACACACACAGCCACAGCCCCCCCCCAACACCAGTATCTACTTACTTCTGCATAGAATAGGATCTTAAGACCACTGCCATGGTTGCCAGTTCATTTCCGGGCCTAATTCAATGTGTTCATGTTAGTGTTTAAAACTGTAAACAACACAGCCCCCAATTTTCTGAAAGACTGCCTCATTCCCTATAGACTACGGGTAGGCCAACTAAAGCCTGCGGACCAGATCAGGCCCAACTGCCTTCTGGATCCGGCCTGCAGATGGTCTGGGAATCGCCGCGTGGATTGCCAGCACGTGCATTCTTTCCCTCTCCCTCACACGGCGGCGCCGGCAGCGCCTCCTCCCTCTCTCCTCCTGGCTTCTCCCCACCCTGCCTAGAGGAGGAAGGGGGCTGGGCTTTGTTAGTGCCAGCAGCAGCAGCGCTTGAGCGGCCGCCATTTTAAGCAGCCCCTCTCCGGAGCCCTTTGGCGCGCTGCTCATCGCCCCCCCGTTGCTGCCAGCCCCTGCCACTCACAAGACACAGTTAAGCAGCCACCGGGGCTCGTGGTGCTCTTGCATCATTCCCCTCTCTAAAAAAAAATATAGTCTGGCCCCCCACAAAGTCTGAGGGACAGTGGACTGGCCCCCTGCTGAAAAAGTTTGCTGACCCCTGCTATAAACCGTCTCAGGTGCAGCAACTTGTGGGCGGTGTAGCAGCCTCAGAGAGGACCTTCTCTGTGGTGGCCCCTAAGTACTTCTTCCTCACAGAGGTGTGTCTGGCACCTCTTTACCCTGACTTTTGACACTTGAGGTATATATCTTAAGATGGACCTTATTTTGTCTTAAACCATCTTTAATATGTTTTAACCCACCCTGGGATCTTAGATGAAGTGCAAGAATCCATCCATCCATCCATCCATCCATCCATGAGAGTATCAATAGACATGACTGCAGCAGAACCAAGCAGGACAGAGTTCTGCTTTCCTTCCACAAATTGAAACCAGTGCCAATAGGGGCTAATGGAATCCTTATTACTGGGACTATGCTAGAGTTGACTGAATTGTCTCAGAGAAAAACGCACTATTCAAATCTCGTCCTGGAAATTAGCACCATTTTCAGTGTTGTGTTGCTGAGTAAATTTTATGTTAAAGTTTATTTACATGCCTGAAACCTCACAATGCTATTTCAAAAGGATTGTGTGTGTGTGTGTGTGTGTGTGTGCATGTGAGTAAAACTAAAGAATTAAAGACAAAGTTATAATAAAAGGGAAAAGTCACAGCAAGATGCCTTAGCCAAAGGTAACAGCATGGCATGAAAATCATGCAGAGCCCTCCCTCCTCAGTTGACAGGGCCGTGAGGAAGGAAAATCCAGCCTTGACTTACCACCTGTATTATGTTATGTTGAAAGAAGTATATAGAGTTTCTCTACTGCTGTGCGATGAATTGAATGCAAATTACGCTCCTTGCAGCAGATGGAAGGGGGGGGGAGCATAGAAGTTGTTTTTTGCTACCTGAAATAATAGCCACCTGAATTTTCTACTGCCTGTATTGCTCTTCCCCCTCTTCTCACCCACAGCACAGGAAGCTTTGCTAGTGAAATGAGCTGTTGTTGGGTCTTAAAATATTTCCAATTAGTTGAATCAAATATCTGGAGTCTACAGGCAAACACAGAGCTTAGCAATACAGTGAACAGAATGAAGTGCTGCCAGTTACTCTTGTTATGCAGAAATAAGTAGCTATAAGCATTTTTAACAAAATCACATTATTTGGGCTCGTATACAGGCATTTCAGGCATAGGTAGTACTAGGCCTGCTGTCAGGCTAGTTATTAATACTAACATCAAATCTTCAGCCTATGTGGCATATGAATCACAAAAGAAAATGGGTCCTCTGCTTGTTCTGCAGCCAGCAGCACCCACGCATGACTCACTAATAACAGCACACATATTGGGAAGTGAAATCCCACTAAACTCAGTCAGACTTCCTTCCCAGTAAAGGTGTTTAGATTCAGGCTGCTACCGTCAGCACCTCCAGCTAAACCTATCGTGAGGGCTGCTACACTGAAAGGATTGGAAGGTTGTCATTCAAACAGAAATCCACTGGGCAAAGATTATTTTTTTGCCAAAATCCCATTTGATTTGCAAATAATAATTTTAAAAAATCAATGAATTGTTTGGTGATCCAAGGACGCTGGAGGATGTTTGTGCAGGCAAACATGTTTCTTGCTTATTCTGACTAAAATAGAAAGGATGAATTGTACACCACATCTCTTGGTTCAGCCACTACCTAACTGGGTTCAGTGCTGATTCGATAAGCTTGAAAGAAAACAGCCTAATTAACACACGGATGAATCCAGACTTCACTCCTGTTGACATGCACATCCTCTGAGCAGAGTCCCACATCAGAGAACACTTTCTCTAGCAGAGTAACTTCTGCAGATTCCCTCTCCCTCTGCAGCCCCCAGTGCCACTGCCTACACTCTGCCGGAGTACTGGTGGGTACTCCAGAACGACATGGGAAGTGGTACTGGGAGCTCCAGGTGATGGAGAAATCCGCCAAGTTGGTTCATCCCATTCACCAGTAGAATCCCTCTGCTGAATCAAAACCCTTCCATGGATTGAGTCAGTCTCTCCGTCAACAGAAGTTAAAGACAAATTTGCCTATTCCTAGTATGGATTACTTAGCTAAAATACACTGTATAGATAATTAATTGCACCTGGCCCACCAAGGCTTTAATTGTACTGTAGTAGCTTTTACCTATATGGATGCCCATATACATGGAAAGCCTGGCATTCCCCAGATGTGTATACAAAGGCACATACTGGCATATTTTTGCTTCCAAAATTCAGACTATTCCTGCAGTAAAGATGGGTAGAAGATCAGAATTTCATCCAGCAATTGAGAGCACAGATTGTTAGCCAAAGTAGGTCAGTTTACTTGAACACTAATTGGTCAGAACTTCCCAGGAAACAAGTGCCCCCCATGTTATTTAGTTGAAAGGTAGAGCTGTTGGCAGTTCTTGTGCATTTGTTCTTGTGCATTTGGGAAACAACCTGCCCAGACAACCCTCCTGAAAAGAGTCTAAGCCTGTGGGAGAGGAATCAATAGGTTTCCAATCCCTCTCCTAAAACAAAGTTTGGGAAGGGAAGAAAAGAATACTATGCTTCCAGGTGTTAAGTGCAATGTTTAGGTGAAAGGAAGAATGTCCTTACTCCCCCCCCCAAAAAAAAATCATGGGGTGCCACCATGTTTAGTTAGGGCAATAGGGCAGACCGCCCAATTTCAAAAGCAACTTACACCACCACATTGGATCTGTGACAGACCGAAGGTTTGAGAGAGAGGTGAATTAGTAAAGGACTGTGTGTAGTAAATGCATATGGGGAATATAGCGGCGAAAGAACCCTACTCCAACTTGACAGATCTTTAACACCTATATATAAACCATAATTCCCAAGATTCTGTGGCATTCTAATGTCACATTGAGAACAAAACTCTGGATGAGGACAGGCAAAGGGAAGGAGGGGTAGCTTTAGTTCTCAAAAGACTTTCATTGAATTTATTGAGACAAACTAAATGGTCTACAGTCTGGAACACCATCAAGAATAGATAGGCAACAGCAGGCTTAGCTCTCATGCCACTATTGGGCCGCAAGTAGTTCCCTTTAATTTCTCCTATATAAGTAAATATTGGATGTTCATTGAGAAGGAGGGAAATAAAACATTAAGATTTCTAGCCAGCTTTGCAGTGCAGGCAAAACCTTTCAACCCTGGCAATAATAACCTAGTGTCTACTGATACTGAATTGTGGGTGACACCGGGTTGCAATATACAGCTGCTGCCTACGTACAAGAGAACACACTATAACGATGAACATTCTGCAAGTAATTCATAATTTGCAAAGTGTTTATTAGGGACAGACAGAAGAAATTGTTGAGAGTTGGGATAAGTAATATTATTATGCAGAAACATTATGCCTCTACGCAGCTACACTATGGAAAATGTGATACCCAGCAGAGGCAAGTCTTTTTGACCCTATAACAGTGTACAACTGACCATGTCTAATCAGAAGTAGGTCCTATTGAATTCAACAGGGCTGACTCTCAGGGAGTAATCTTAGGACTTCAGCCTTAGGTTCTCAGAGGAAGGAATTCCCCTCCTCTCACAATGGACTAGTCAATTAAAAGTCCACTTATGATGGCCCATAGAATTTAAAGAGAGTTGTTGAAAATGAAGCCTTTTTCTGTCCACATAGCCTTGCCCTTGGTTGTGTTTGTTGCTGATGCAAAGTGTGTGACAAAGGAGGATCCCAGAAACATGCACATATATAATAACTTGAGAACTCAGCAAACTACACAGCTGAGGTAGTTAAGAGTGCATATTAATAGGAATATGAGATTAGAAGGAAAGTGCTGTAAATGAATCATTCTGAGTGAAATATAGGGTGGTGGAAAGGTTGTTTATAAAAAGTACAGGCATCACTAATATGGCCTTCTATCCAGCAGCTGCCGAAAACCATAGATCTACTTCTTTGACTGACTGGGGGGAGACGAGACTATGTAGAAAGGCCCTATAACACTGATTTCAAATCAATGCCTAGTGGCAGCATTATGCTACACGTAAGCCATATGCAAAAGGAATTAACTTTTTATCCAGATATGTACTGTGTTGCTCAAGACTTTTGTCTTGCCCATATAAATTAAAGGCTGTTAGCAATTACAATTACAACATTTCACAGTGTCTGTGGTTAGATTCAGATATTCATTTTTGAAAGAATGTAGCAAACACAAGTTCACACATTATTTTCATATTTTCATAATTTCTTCTGAACTTGCTCCCATGTGGCAGGCCTGAGATTTATCATACCTCGGATACAATGAAAACATACTGTATCTAGTAATAATACCTCACTACACTGAAAAGAGCATTCAGAAGAACCACAAGGAAGTGAAAGGTAAAAGACACCTTGTGGTGACATTTCCTCATTTGGTACAATTTATTTTTAAATCTTGCATCCCAGTTCTATATAGGAGCTTCAAAAGAGCTAAGAATAAAAAATCTTTTTTTTATTAACAGGCCAATCAAATCAAATAATATACCTACACATCAGCTAATCATTAAAAGGTGGCCGAAGGAGGGAACTGAGAGGCAGTTATTGCATGACAAGAGTACATTTTTACATTCATGAACATCTGCTCTGCTACTCAAATACAAAACACGGTTTTATTTGTATATATAAACATATATCGACCCACCCTGGTACTCCACTGAAAGAAAGCATCACAAGGAAACAGAACCATAGATATTTTAAAAAGACACTTTAGAAACCAGCGCTTTGAACCATTCAAGTTTTCACAACAAAATTTATTAGAAGAATAGTGGTTCTGAAAAGTCTAGCATCCAGTGAAAACTACCATACACGTTACAGCTGGGAATGTGTTTTCAAAATGACATGGCCAAAGAATACAACAGGGCTGTTAAACCCTTACACATGCACAACGAGAGAATCAGCGCTTTTGACATACAATGCAAAAAAAAAAAAAAGTGGACCACGTGAATTAAAAATTTATAAGTACTTATCACATACATTAAGACACAGCTTATTTAGTCCAGTCAAAAAATCAGAACTGCATTAAAAATTAAATGTAGTGCAATCAAACCAAAACCTTAATTTGTGATCATAAGTGCTCTACTACATAAAATGTTGATCATAGCAAGGAACAAAAAAGTTCAAATCACACAGTACAAAAAAAATCTGTAAATAAATACAAACTACAGTACAAGAGAAATATTAAATTATACAATTCCGTCAAACTGTAAACAGTATATTGAAATGAGGTCCATAGATTAAAAAGGGGGTTCCTGCTTTATTTTTCCATGACACTTGTACTTTTAGAGGTCTGTGAAAAATGCCATTTTTTCATACTCTACATAAATAGAACTTTCTAAGGTGTAAAGCATCAAATAATAAAGCAGAGGCATTGCTGACGCACAGTTATGGTGAAATTCATGCTGGTGCGAGCAGCAGGCTTTATTTTAATGTGTTACACACATGCTCACCAAACAGACCCACCACTACAGGCATGAAATGCCAACACACTCACAATTAGTGCGCGGCACAAGAGGTGACACGCCCAACAAGGAGCATAAAGGTAGGCGCTATCATGTGCTCCCACAATCTATGTGCTGCTGCTGATTATTTGAAAGTTTTACACTCTTGCCATAAAACACCAACTTTGGCAGAAGGGTTACTAATAAACTCAAGCCCATCTGGCCCATTGGCTTCCATCACAGTGGCCAGTGCACAGAATTCCTAGAGACATTGCATAACTAGAATGTAGAGGTCAGACACCCAAGGGCCAGGGCTCAAGTTTAGAAGTACCTGGGATGAAGGAGAAACCACAGCCGTACTGAGAAGCTGCCCCTGTTCCATTTACAGGGACAGCCAGGAATGTATTTGACATTAGCTGTGCTGGCTTGGTAGTGGCATTTTTAAATATATACGTTTAAGATTACATATATAATATATATGTATATAACATAATACACATACTATATATAGAAATTTCTTACAATACATAATTATCAGGAACCCCCATGCGATCTTGCTCAGTAGTAATAACTGAATATACAGAATGCCACTACGTGTCTGAGGCACTGCGTGCTGGAGAGTAATATGCAGCTTTAAAATCCGTTTGGCTGAGTTATACCTGGATACCTGAACTGAGTTTAAGTTGACATTCATCAAGGATGTGCTATTAGCACATCAAAAGAAAAGCAAAAACAAAATACAAGTCACTGCTAGGTTTAAGAATAGTGTACAAGTACCTGAATTGAGTGAGGGTAGTGTGTAAACTGTCCCTGAGGGTTTTCAAACAGTGTGTGTAACAAGCTGGAATCCTAAGCACGTTAGTTTATAACTTACACTGCGGACTGATACCAACATTTGACAATTTAACAAGTGGAGGTTAGAAAGAGTTATGAGCAAACACTCAAAACATATTTATACATGTTTAAGCAGCAGTAAGCTGCTGTAAGCAAAAATCCCATGGATATAACCACCCAATGGGACTCTGAGAGGCTGCAGTCTGTAATCTGTTTTTCTGATGCTAGGGCATATGACAGCCGCCATCCACCCTCTCTCAACAAGTAAAGAAGTTTCACCTGCTAATGTAGAATGCACCTAGTTACAGACTAGCAATTCAAGATTAGATTTTTAATCAAAGACTTTCCTATTACATACTAAAATCTCTTAAGATCACTAATGCTGGTATGCTAATCTAGTTAGTTTTTTTTTTAATTTCCCCCTTCATTTAAGAAATATACCATTCGACAACTTAAACATTAAGATCCATTTTCAGTCCTCTGATGTAAAAAGCATGTCAGTGAATTTATATTAAAAATTTACATGGTAAAAAGGCTTGAATTTCAGCCAAAGATTCTAAATACTGCTCATTCCCTGAAGACAAAAGGGAGAGAGAATCCCTACCCATTTTCCTAGTGATATACTTTCAAACTGAGCACTACACAATGGTCTAAAACTATTCTTCATTTGGGAAACTTTACCTAGCCTCCCCCATTTAGATCCCAAACCTTAAAGCCCTGAAATGGTCTACTGAAATGTTTAATTAAAATATCATGCGTGTACACCCAGAAGCTGCCTGAACATTATAAAATTCCTGGACTGAAACTTTTACAGTACCTTAGACTCTGAAGACCAGATAAATTAAGACTCTAGTTGTAACAGTAAAAGTGCTGAAAGGTCCCTTTTCTGTCTTTTTTTAAAAAAAACAACAAGCGGTCAGACAAGTGCTTTAATGGTCTATCTATCTTTCTATCAAGTCTGTAAAGGTCTGATGAGTGTAGCACCAAATGTGAGGTACATTAGAGGCTGAAGTGGCATGTCCACAATTTTAGAGTGGGAGAGGAAATACTTAAGTCAGATTTTTATAAACTAGCGACCAAAGACGCAATGTATTTATTGTATAAAGAGATGGAACATATAATCTTCTAAGGATCTTTTTTTAAAAAAACTTTGTATTAATAAAAACGGATTGTGCAATCAGGTTAATAATTTGAGAATTTTATAATGAATGTTTTCAGGCCATTACCTAATTACAGGTAATTTTGCAGGCTTAAAAATATTACTGACTTATACAAACTGACTAAATCAAATCTAGATATCTGTCAGAAAGATGCTGCAGTGGCCAACAACTTGAGTTTTTATTTCTCTGGCATTTTGAGTGCATCTGTGGATTATTTTAGGTGCCTACATAGATTCATCCATAAATTTGCAAAAAGTAACATTACAATACTTGTTACATCCAATTAAACTGCATCTGCATAATTTTAGACTTCAACAAAAGCTTGCTCACTTGCAAAATTTCAGTTTATGACTAGATATTCTATGGTGTATTTCCAAGGAAGTTGCCAAGTTCTACATTTGAGAACTCCATAAGGCTAAAGGGCCAAAAGACGCACATCTCCAAATCCTTCCCTCTCTTCCAAGCCCTAGATCAGGCCCAGACCCTGGTCAGTCTGCAGCTCCTTCCTTCTGCCTATCAGCCCACAATGTCAGAGGCCCAAATATCTACAACTGCATTCTTCTCTTTGTCTCCTTTGGACCTAATGTGAAGCTGCAAGCTTTTGATGGAAGGAGTGAACAGAAAATCTCTATCTCTAGTACACCAAATTCTACATCAGTGATGTTCACAATCTTGAACTGCCCAGATTTGGCCAACCCTGGTATATATCACGACAATTTAACAAACTGTTCACTTATCAAAAAAACTTGGAAAGCACAGATATAATGACCACATTTGGGCATAATGTTAAACTATGGTTTAGTATTATGCCAATGAGCCTCGCCTCCTGCCGGGCTCATGTATTTCCTCTCCTTATTCCTGCTGCACAGCAGGGAAGAATTTAAAAGCTTTGGTTTGCTTTTAGTTAAGTAGGGTGTGCCGCTTCATCCTAACTGGGGATTGTTGTCTAACACTAACTTTGGCTAACGTCACGAAGCCAGCTGCTTAACTCATGGTCTGAAAGTGGCTTATTTTTAAACTAACCAGTCTGTGTTGAACCACAAAGCCTAGCTTGAATGAAACATACCACAGTTAACTAAAACCAAAAGCAAATGTTTCTGAGCTGCTTCTGTGGAAAGTGTGGAGGGAAGGAGAGAACATGTGAATTTAGAAGGAGACTAGACTTGTTAAAATGGTGCTAAATCACAGTGTTTTAAAATTCAACTATGAAAGCCATTAGACACCCATGTGTTATAAAAGCCAACTGCAGAATGTGTAATTTGCAGACAGCAGGCAAGTCGATTTTTTTAATTACATTTCTGAAACTGCAAGGGAGAAAAGCAAAAGATGCCTGATCCACAAAGAATGGACACCCTATAACTTCCTAGAAGCACCTATTTTTTTGCCTGAAAAGATATGGAAAAAATTATTTTTAGGTCAAGTTTATCTTTTCAAGACTGCCCAAGTCCTTCAAGCAGCCTTGGCTAATATGTGAACCATCCCACTATGGGGCTGAAAGCTAGACTTTTAAAAGTTTCTGTTTTAGAGTTCTAGCAAAGTGCTTTTGGATAAGAAAGGGGAATGCCAGGAATGCTTCCCCAACCCACTCAGGTGCCATGCCTTTATCCTCTTTATCACCTCTGAGACACTCAGAGACTTTAGGAAGATTTAATCCTAAATTTATTATACATGGAGGGTGGAATCTGCTTTTCCCTGTCAACACCACAATGAAATTTGATTCCCTTTCCATTTTTTTGGCTTGCTAAGGAGCTTACCATGAGACATCAATAGCATGATGTCAATGGGATCACAAATACAGCCAATGTGTGGAGGTTTTCATGGGAAAACATTTTTTTTTAAAAAATGCATAAATAATTCCTGACAGTTTCTGAGCAATCATGGTGTCATCTGAGATCATAGTTCAAACTGCCTCATCATTTGTCAATATGCTTTGGGATAAGCCGCAGGAAACAAAGCAGACCTGCACTGCTACCATGTTTATAAGGTACATCTCATTCTTAAAGGATAATGAAAATTTATTCCAGATTTGCATTAGAAAATATTTAAGAAAACATTCAGACTAGGCCTTTCCTTTGGAGGCAGAGCAGCAGGCAGTATGGAGCAGTCCTAGGGCCATACAGAAGCAAGGGCATATTCTTGGGGCATTTGGCTAATGCAAGAAGAGGAACTTCGTGCCCCTGGAGGAGTTATCTTTCAATTCTTTTAATAAACTCAGGAGTTTGGAGATTATATATATATATCTATATATATCTATATATATATAAAGTAAGGGCAACAGTCCAAACCCTACAACTTCCATTCTTTATAGCTGTAGTGAAAACAAAAAGGCCTGGGGCACAGAAAATGAGGTTCTAGAATGGCTGACAGAGGTAATAGTGTATCAGATCGCCAGGAAAGAGCTTTTATATTTTACAGATCCAAGTAAAAACTGATACATTTTCTACACACTGGGCTCGCTCCACAGAACTGCACAATAATTAACTCCACACTTGTACCCCTACAACACTAAGCCTTACTCATCTGTATAACCTGCTGTAGCAAAAGGTCACCAAGCAACATCTAAATTCCAGTACAATAGTGAACTTGATTTTAAACGTTACACAAACACACTCTAACATTAGTCTTCTAGGCTGGGAGTAGAGGGAGAACCTATCCTTCATGATACCTGGTCTGTATAAGCAGAGGCTGCCACAAATACTGTTCACAGTTTCATTCTGTCATCCAGGTGCACATGACACCGTCAACAGATACACAATAATTCCACCAAATTTTGGTTCTGGATCTAACACAATCAAAATGTCCAGTTCTTCCTCCCAAAGACTTCACCATTTCTGGAGCATTGCACTTGGCTTGTCCCCTCAATATGCTCTCAAAAACGACAGGGAAAACAAGGCCTAAGCCCTATGTCTTGCGCAAGTTACATGAGCATCCATTTACTGGAAAACAGGAGAAAACAAGGCTTCTCTTACAAAGACAGCAGCGAACCACATCTTCCCACATCAAGCTATGGTCAGTTGAGGATTTTGGCCATGCAAACTTCTGTTCAGCAGAAAATTAAGCATGCTAATGGATAAACACTGATTCCATTTTTTCCTAACAGGAAAGATGCTCCCAAATACTACTCAAAGCTGCACCAAAGGCATCTGTCAGAGCAGTCTTACTTCAGTGAATCACTTAGGATCTAGAGTGAGATACAGTCACAGGATGAGCCACCTGGGCAAAAACAGGTGAGATGAAGTCTTAAACAAAAGTTAAACATTAAAAAGGTGCACCTGAATATTACAGACTAAGTTTACAAAACCTACAATAAGGTAAAATATAGATATATTTATATCTTTTGAATATTCAGCAGCTTTTTGTTTATTTTTGAGAGGCTTCTGAAATTTTAGAAAGGGACAACTAACTAATTTCAACCATGCTTCACAAAACAATAATGGCTATTTTATATTGCAATTACAAAAGTAATGCAATTAGTGCTTTAAAAATAACCTACTTTTTCCTTTTCTTTTTTTAAGCAGAGACCTTTTGAGGAAATATGGTTGTTCCAAAGCTTCTGGGATTTTTTTTTTACCTGAATAGGAAGTGATCACAGATATTAAGTGTTATATTTCAAAGCTTTGCAGATAGGAATCTTACAATCGTCAGGTCCCAGGACTTTTATCTGAGAAAATTAAGTGTTTGGTTGTTTAATTCATTTTCTAACCAAAGCAATAAGAATACGCAACTATCACTATCTATTTACAGTTCTCAACCTATGGTCTGAAATGACGTACAAGTAGTTCTCTTTCTAAACTGCAGCATTAAAGGGTAGGCACACCATTTTTCTGCTGCACGATTGTCATCCACTTAATGATACACATAGAAAATATTTAGGTAAGTAAAATGAGCACTCCACATACACTATGACAAGGTTTTACGGAACTCAACTCATACATCACTTAAATAAAAACAACCACAAAAGGTTAAACCTCTGACAGTAAAACTCTATGCAAGTGTTACACTTCTAGCTTGCAGCAAATCTTCTCCCACACTTTCAATAGCAGATGAAACCACAAATTTAAAACAGTGCATTTTTATTGCAATTTCCAGAAAAACTGGAGTATATTGCAGAGTTTCTACACCACTATGGAGCTTCAAACAGGTTTCTGTACTGAGATGACACCTAGATAGCTAAAGGAACTCTGCTTTTGAGTATGGAAACACATTAAGCTACCAAAACAAAAAGAAAAGTCTAAGAACAGTAGTACAAAGCATATCTGGGCCAAAAGCCCAGTCTCTCTCAAGAATGAGAAGTGCATATTTAACACGACAGCAATGGTGTGCCTAACCTTTGAATACAGTGGGTTACTGGGAAGCAATCAACCAATCAAGAAGGCCAACTCAATTAATTGCCCCCAAATTCAAGCAGCAGCCCTGGGGCTATCTAGGCCTTCTTCCTATGAATCTTAGCATCCACTTTCAGTCATTAACACAGGATAACTAATTAAGAACAGTGCTCAAATGATGTCTCACATACAAATTCCATTGCCTCTTTTGGTTGTGCAAAGCAGTAGAGTGGAATCTTACCAATCTTTTGCACAGCTAAGATTAAATTGTTTCTCTACCCAAAGAACCATTAAGTTTGATTCAGTGAAGCTGCAAGTCCAGAAAGCTTTATTTAAAGCTTAACATGTAAGAATGTTCAGATGCCTCTGCAACTAACAAGACTGAACTGTGGATTTAGGAGTGCTAGTGGTGATCTGCCTATGCGAGTGTGTGCTAGTCCCCTATTAAAATCAATAGTGGATGAAATAAAAACAGAAATTCAGGATATGCAAGCACATTTCCTGCTACTGGCAACTGTAGTATTTAAAAAGGAAACACCCATTGGGTGTTCAACCCTGACAGTGTTACAACTAGATAAGATGCTCAGCCTAAGTCAGACCAGAGTGATCTGATAATGGGTTTTATTAAAATTTGTAAAAATTTCTTCCCTGAACATTAACATAGATCCTTCATTTACATGACTATTTAGGCAGACTATTGAGGTTGTATGTTTAGAGATCAGTTGGTTTGATGAGGATTTTTGTTTGTTTTTTGCCCAAGATTACAGTAAGCTGTTATATGTATTCCTGACTCCCAGAAGAGAGTTCTTTAAACAAGATGTTGGAAACGCACAGTTTAGCAAACTCAGAATCCAGTCTGTTAAAAAGCACGTTGGTCACAAAAAAGCCATTATTTTGTTAAAGTGAGGAATACCCTAGTATATCATTCAATGTACCCTGATGCTCCTGAATGGAGTGTTGAGATAAGGCTACATCCTCAAGCAGGCAAGCTGAACTCTCTCGCCTTTGCAAAAGAGCAAACACAATTACAGTGAAGGTAGTGTTCCAAAGGAATGAACCAAAGCATTCTGAAGGTAGTGTATGTAAAGTTCCCCCATCCCACTCCCACCCGCCCCGCCGGGTGAGCACTAAGCAGATTGCAAATAGTAAAGGAGGAGTTGAATTTAAAACAAAATGGCTCCGATTAGACCCAATTGACTAGGAATCCAATCACTAATCACTGAATTCAAAATGACTAGCCATACTTAAAAAGGTTAAACTCTCTTTCAAGCCAACTGGATCAAAGAAGAAAAAAACTGTGAAAGCCTAATTATAAGCAATTATCCAGTTTTTGTTTTACAAGTCTGGTACTAGAGCTCAAGAAAGTGTTTTTTTTAAAAAGGCCATATGAAGAAAGCAAACCCAATAAAATAACTGAAAGTCCATGCAGGCTCAAGAGGCAAACAGTCCACTTCCATGTCTGCATTCTTTGTGAGGTAACTCAATTCTCTATAGAATATTAGAGAAACATGCAAAAGGCCAAAAAAAAAATATCCCCCAACAACAAAACAAAACAAAAACACAAAAGAGGGCTCTAAGCCATTCCGGGCCAGAAAATTTACAAATATGCAACATTCAGAGCACCCTTTTCCCCCTGTGTCCACACAAGTCTTTGCTGAACTGCAAAGGAGCATGTCCTGCACCCAGTGACTGAAGAGGAGTTGGGTACATACAGCAGGAGTTGAACAATGCCATAGTGCTCACCCAGTTTATAATGTAATTGGCACTCTACAACATCCCTAATCATCCTTTGACTCATTCGCACTCTGTGCTGCCTCTCCCTGGGGATCTATCTCAAGCTTTACAGAGACATCCTGTCCCTCCGACCGCATTAATTTCATTTTTTTCTTTGGAGGGTTTTTCAAAGTGCCCAGCCTCTCTTTCACTTTATATTCCAGGGTGCTATGGGGAATCCCATAAATACTCTGAGCTTTGGAGACGCTCATTTTCCCACTCATCACCACAGAGATCGCTTCTTCCAATATCTCGCTGTTGTACTGTCTGTATCTGCCTCTTTTCTTCCGAGGTTGCTTAGAGCCAGGATCTCCCTCTTGATCAGAGGTGGGATATGGCTGTCCAGAGGTAGATTGCTCAGCATCTGAGCCCCAGGAGTCTGGTCCGGGATCCAGCAAGCTCCTTCTGTTTTGTTTCGGAAGGATAGCCCTTAACTTTTTACTAAGCGCGCTCTCCGTTTGTGAACCCATCACCAAAGAGCTATAGCTATACTGGTCGCCAGAACGGGACTCCCATGAAAGGTCCATGCCTCGAACTTGTGGTATCTTTAAATCCACAGGAGTTGAATGGCTCATGTCCTTTTTCCCATCCTGTTTAGTTTGAAGTGCCATTTTTTGAAAGGCTGAATTTTCTGTAAGAAAAGGAAGGTCACTGATGTTGCTGAGTGCACCGTTTCCCCTGAATTTCATTCGGGTGAAGTTGAATTCGTAGTGTGGTTTTGCCCAAGAAGCCTCCCTGGATAGTATCATGTGCTGTCCGTGATTCTGCAGCCCAGACGGCCCATGGCTGGCAGCTGTAGCATGCTGGTTTCTGCTCAGCAGTTCTTCGCTTATCTGCAGTGATCGAGCCAATGGAACTTTGAGAGATGTGGAGTGGCCAGACCCTTCCCTCGTTCCATCCTGCCAACTTCTCGGGGGCACCCCATCACCACTCCGAAGTCCCTCTGCATGGTGCTGGCTGGGTCTCCCAGGTCGCCTAATTGGATGGAAGGAAACTGATGTGAGCAGGACTTGCACAGGTAGGGAGGAATGGGTGAGGGGGCCACTCCTTTATTAGAAGACCTTGCTTGGGTAACATCACTTTTGTGGGTTTTTATTTTTATTTTTTTAAGTCTCAGCAGTCAGTTTTTTAAAAAATTGTTCAAAAATAAAGAGAAGCTTTTTGGGCAAAGAAAAACGAAACCTGTCAGCTGGTCTTTGGTTGGGTTCACAAAATCTTGGAGCAGAAAAGGCTTCGCGCAAGTGTCTGAAAATAGCATCTTAATTATAGATTAGAAAGGAATAATCATTTGCTAGAGTCTATTCACGACTGTATTACTAGTGTGACGTTACCACTAAACAAGTACAGTAATAAAAGAGTAAGCCAAGTGACAAAATGCAGCAAATTCAACACACATACTCTCACACACCAGCCACCTGCACTTTTTATAAAATGCTGAAAGCTCTGGAGGGCATGGATTAACACTATATATGCTAAAGTTGCTGCTCAGCATCAGGAGCGCTCAGCAGAACTCAAAGGTGTTTGCTTATTTTGCATTAAACATTAGAACAGACAAACGGAATGGTTCTCAAATAAAAATGTTGCACAAATTCAGACTCCCATTTCCTTTTAAAATTAATCATAAGCCACATAAATATCAATTTGATTCTGTTTTTCACATGCCTAGGTAAAGAAGCAGGATATTTTCTTGCCACATATGTATTATTTATTATGCTCTTTCCAACTTTACTGATTAAACAGATCCGGGTTAAATCTATTTTAAAAAAAGCGTATGATCTACAGTCTAATCAGACTATCAATCTTGTTTTATGTACACAATTATTTCATTTCCTGTAAATAATATGAACAAAAAGTATGCAATGCATTCTTGGTACTTTGCTCATTAAGATGATTACTGTGTATATCCTATCTAGCAGACAGTCTTTATATATTCACAGACCCCTTTAACCTAGCCATCTGAGATATGTATTTTAGGACCCACCTTACTCTCTTTACTGTAATTTGTATTTCAATATTGTATTTTTACATTTTTGTAACCTGCCCTAGGACCTCATGATGAAGGGCAGGTAAGAAATCTAATCAACAACAACAATAACAACGACAACGACAACAACGTACAGAAGATTTGGATGCATAGCAAGGCAGAAGGAAGAACTTACATTCAAGTCTGGACTTCCTAATTCTTTAGTAAATGCCTATTAAACATTACTCAGAATTTGAAGATTCTTAATTTGGTAACGAACAGTCCACATGAATTCAGAACAAGAACCACCCCAGTGTCAAGGAAAATAATAAATTTCTACCAGAACTTTAAACATGCATTGACTATTTCAGCTAGTTCTAAAACAGTGAATCACTGTCCAGATATAAAGATTAACTAGCGCAGGCTTCTTCAAACCCTCCAGATGTTTTGAGACTACAATTCCTATCATCCCTGACCACTGGTCCTGCTAGCTAGGGATCATGGGAGTTGTAGGCCAAAAACATCTAGAGGGCAGAGTTTGAGGAAGCCTGAACTAGCACTTTGAAAGACAAAGGGCAATAGTTAACTGACATTTAACTTAACAGTACAAAGCAGAAACACATGCTGATCTCTTAAAGATGCTTTCAGTCAGCCATGTAGGAACACTTTTTTTTTTTAATGCACAGAACCTGTTAGAATATTCAGAAAGGGAACAGAAATTGATATTCTCCTTCACAATAGTGTTTAGAGTTCTGACATACAGGGTTAAGTAATATATCCATGTTGTGAGGAATTTAAATGTCTCTTTTGCAGTTATAAGTCAGTGACTGTCAACAATGGTTATTTTTATATCACTAGAAGTCCAGCAACTTGAAGATTATGTAATTCCACATCTGTATTCAGCCGCTTAATATTCTAAAGGCCGATTAGCTTTAAAATTATACAAAAAATGTATTCTATTGCAGCATTTTAAAGTATCACCCCAAATTTCTTTATTCTCATGTATCTTCTCCCTATCAGCACATGCAACAAAAAATACAAAGTTGATGGGATTGTATAACCTTCACCAAGAAAAATTTGCACCCAGAAACTGCCTGCAAGTCTAATAATAGTATAGTATTAGTAATGTTTGAATTATTGAGTATTCATCTTGGAAACAGCTCCAAGGTAAGTAATTACAAATCCGTCATTAGAAAACAAATGGAATTATAGCACTGTACTATAATAGTAGGTTATACCAAAAAAAAATCCTAACAAATATTTTACAATTCTTGCTCAACCACTATCTTTACTTTAGTGGCCTTGCCTAACATTCTGACTACTAAAGGAAACACTGTTTGGTTTGCTGATCTATTCAAACTAGGCAGCCATCATCCCATCCTATCAAAGGCTGAGATCGGGTTCAGATACTCATCAAGCCTCATGTGATCACCTGTGGGATGTGCATGGAACTACCAAAGGTTCACAACCCAACAAAGATCATGTGCAGCCACTGGTTGTATGACCTGATACCCCATACATGAAGCCACTGAAACTGCATTGTGATAACACTTTTTGACTTGCTACAATCATGAAAACTGCAGTAGTCATTTGTATAAGCTTCAAGGGGAAATGGTTGTTCATACAACTGGCACCCAACATAACCCCTGCCAAGTTGTTAGCCCACTCATAGGCCCAATGCTCCCATAGTCAAATGCACAGGTGTGGCTGAGCATGTGAACAAAGTCAAAATAGTCAAATTTTTAAAAGGTTGAAAGATCATAGCTCTACATTTCATATATCAGGTACAAAACCAAAGTATTCCTGAAATGGAATTAATTTTTCAGTTGACTTCATATTTAAGGATTGGAAGAAGGTGTTTTAACAAGATGTAATTATACTCTGAAGGGTTAAATCAACCCTGTCTATGGAAGCAATAAGGAAGAATTTGACCCTCAGTTTGTTGTTATGCAAATAACTTGAGGGGGGTTTTAGCTTAAAAATACTAAGAATTTCCCTTACCCATTCCCAGGAGTAGCGGAGCAGCCAGGTGAATGGCTCAAGGAGGCGCTGCCTGCACATGGACTTTTCTTAGTGGACAGATCAAGTACTCCGTCTGCAGAGACATGAGAATTACTTGAGAATAGGAAGAAATTAATAAAACTAAGCACACACAAACATACAACTTGGTAAGTTTTTATGGCTGAAACTCTCTCAGTTAATCTTGGGTTGCTTTGGAACTTCCTACTGAACCTCAACCAAAGTCTCTTGATATATCAGCCATTATTTTATTTTCCTTATTTTGTTTTGTTAAGGGCATATCGATATTATGACTTTCATTCAATAAAATATTAATGGTAGATTAAACAGTATGAACACATTATATCTGAGAGCATAGAATGCAGGTTAATTTCAAAACATAGTTCTCTGCATATACTTCATAATGTCTGAAAAGTGAATCAAGTTACTTCTTTTTGAGCATGTATACTTCTTGTTATCCACCATACATTCATTAAGATGTAGTCTATGTACTGATAGTTTCAAGTAAGACACAAAGCAGAACAGGAAAGAAAAAACATCTTAACAAGCAGAACCGAAGTTCATGTACCCATAAAAGAAAACTCAACAAGTGTTTAATTCAAGAACTACAAAATGGAGCAAGAGTGGAGAAATTATTGCCTTACAATTATTATTGCAAACAAACTGCAGCTTTCATATTAAGTATTTTCTGGGTACACTTCATTTTATTTAATATATTTATATTCCATCTTTAAATTTAGCAAAAACAATACAATTTAATGGGAAAGCTTACAGGGCACTCTCCAGATGCTGTAGACTACAACTTCTATTATCCCTGACCACTGGTCATGTTGGCTGGGATAATGAGAGTTGTACCCCACAATATCTGGAGTGCACCACTTTGGCTACCACTATTCTTGCTTTTTAAAAAGTGCTGCAGTCCAGATATTCAGTCCATGAGCTATTCAGTTAGAACAGAGATAACTAGTTCAGCAATGCTAGCCTTGCAAGTTCCAAGGCAGATGGTAGAAAGTCATGTGACTGGATTTTAAAAGTCATGTAATAATATATTTTGCATTTATAAGATAATTGAGATATTGTTAGCCATTAGTGGAAGACTAACTAGTAAGCTTGATGAAATCATTTTTTCTACACAAAGACTACAGCCTATCTTCCATGAAGCTTAAGTATAAACATTCTTAAAAGCTGCACAATTCTGGAAGGTAATAAGCTACTTGTTATTACTAACAACTTTTAAGAGGTAGCCAGTGGGAAAGAGGAAGGGTAAGTGGTGGCAAGTGTACAGTAGTTACCAGACAATTTGCCAACATGTAAATTTACAGATGCCCGCATCCTACAAGCAGGATAGATTCTCTCTTCTTTTTCTTAATAAGCTGGATAGATTCTCAATGAATTACTGCTGTGTTTCATATAACACCTAAACTCACAAGGGATCCAACTCCATTCCCAGCATATGGAGTATACAGCAACTTCTAATGCACACAGGAACTCACTTTTTAGCAGCTGCAGCTCAGTGAAACAGTGTCTCCTTTTCCAGCAAACAAGTACCAAAGCTATGGTTGTACAGACCCCCTTTAAGACTCTTATCCAGAACTTTATTATGAATCTAAATCTTTCTGTTCTCTCCTCTATCAAAACAATTTTGGAACTGTTTCAAGTCTGTTTGTAACTACATTATTAGTACAGTTAAGGAGGTTTGTTAATATTTGCTGTCCATGCATTTATATGCTAAAATGTACTATTTGGCTCACAAAAATGGAAAACATTCAAGTTCATAATTATTCAAAGCAATGTTATTTAAAGCAAACCTAAATTTCAAGATCATCTATACTGTTTAACAATAAAGAATATTTAGTTTTTCAACATGTATTTTTGCAATTTAAGGGGCCAGAGTAAGGTCTGAAAAAGGTCTACTTATTAATAGAGAGATGGGGCAGTACCTCGTTACACCCTGTCCAATTAAATACTTCTTTGGTTCTGCGACAAAACCAACTAGAAGACCCATGTTATTCTTCCAAGGCAGAGATTCACAATCCTTTTCACTATCACTTTTCATCTGTGTCTGGTGTAGGTGAAGTTTTACACATATGAAATAACATGCAGAAGTGGAGAATAGCCAGCTGTGCATGCTTACAAGGATTTGAGGCTTACAGTAGCTAACAAAATTAAGTGTGACTCAACAACATCAACCTGTGACAAAGATTAATTCTAATTTGCATTACATTAAGACTTAAGTAATAATAGTATTTGTCGGTAAGACACTATTTCTAGTGGGTCAAGTTTCTGGTTCAATATCTTAAGAAAGTGTTTAAAAGCTAGTGGATTCTGTATATATGTGGAACTCTCTCTGGTTAATTATATGAGGAAATGCTACAGGAATAGGTATATGTAGCCTTGAGACCAGAAAGGCAAGTGGGCAAACAAATTATTTCAAGAAATACCAGAATGGAAAGAATGAATGGTTTTTTCAGCTTTCTATGAAAACAAAGCAAAGAAGTTACAGGTTTAAAGTGGGAATTTGATGCACACTCCCTTAGGAGAAAGCACAATTGAACACAGTGGGATTTTATTTAGTAAACATGTATCAGATTGCACTGTGGATTACCTAACCGTAATGATTCAGAAAATGGACAAGGTGCTTAAGCTGAATGTGAAAATTTCTTAAGGTTTTTAAGAAAGCTAAAAAGAAAATGCTAGACAATAATATTTTAAAATGCTTTATTTTCTAACACATATGTATTGACTTTTCAGCAAAGTCCAAGTGGCATACAAAATAATCCAACTTTAGGGCAGACAATTGCTTTTAATAGCTTATGGATTTCTCTCGTCTCTAGAATGCATTAAAATAAACATACATTATAATGTAAGATGAAGGGCAAAATTCTTCAGGTCCATTAAAGTACTGCGTATATGTTCACTTCCAAGGGGAAAGAACAAAATGTTCAACTGCTACAACCTTGCATTTGTTCTTTCAAAAGCACTTGGTCAGCACCAACGTTTTCTTTTAACATAAGCACCACAATCAGAGGTTGACAAATGCAGTTACCATATCTTAAGATGCTGGCAACCACCTGCTACCTCCAGTATAAGATGAGAAACGTGGGGCTCATCTCTAATGTTGTTCGGGACTTTGGAAGAATGTAAGGGCCTGCTGGATTGGGCCAATGACCCATTCAGTCAAGCATCCTGTTCTCACAGTGGCTAATCTGATGCTTGTGGGGCTCAGAATGACACAAGCCACAAGGTCCTGACCCTGCACCAAATCTCCTTTGAATGTCGGAAGACTAGGTGGAGAACAGGGCCAGTGATAACCACAACTGATTCCTGGCTAACAAGGTCAGTCAAAATCTGTGGATCTTGTTTAAAGCCCTTCACCAGAAGACACACTCTTATGTGTAGGATAAAGATAAAGGTAAAGGGACCCCTGACCATTAGGTCCAGTCGTGACCGACTCTGGGGTTGCGGCGCTCATCTCGCTTTATTGGCCAAGGGAGCCGGCATACAGCTTCCGGGTCATGTAGCCAGCATGACTAAGCCGCTTCTGGCGAACCAGAGCAGCACACGGAAATGCCGTTTACCTTCCCGCCGGAGCGGTACCTATTTACTTTGATGTGCTTTCGAACTGCTAGGTTGGCAGGAGCTGGGATGGAGCAACGGGAGCTCACCCCGTCACGGGGATTCGAACCACAGACTTTCTGATTGGCAAGTCCTAGGCTCTGTGGTTTAACTCACAGCGCCACCCGCGTCCCAATGTGCAGGATACCACATACTTAAAAGATGTCACACACAAAGAACTAAACACACAAAGAAAGTTGTAATTGACACGAAGGACTATATTTTAAGTAAATAAAACCGCCTTTACTAAGCGGCTGCTGTAAGACAATTTGAGTATTCAGCTCCAATTACATGCATTCTGCTTATGAGCAAATTGCCAAAATACTTGCCAAGTGTGATTACAGGCACAATTCACTACATGGAGGCTGGAAGTACACTATCAAACCCATTAATTTCCCAGAGAGTAAGTTTCTTTTCTGGCAGACCCAGCATCCATCTGGAATATGCTTAATAAAATGAGGGCACATAGCTGTTAGCACTTTCGCACCAATTTCAGCACAGCTTTTCTCCATTCCCTTATGCACTACTAATCAATCCATGCCTCTCTTCTTTCCGTTCTATGATTTACTTAGTCATTAATGGCCAGCAAATTGCAAATGGTTGCAAGGGGCTATGAACAGAAATGTGGCATACCTTGTTCGCTAGGATCCAACTGAGACTTTCTGACAGTGAGGTCCAAGGGCGAGTCCTGGTCAGCCATGAGAAGTTTGCTGAGCACAGGATTTTGAGCCGTTGCACCCACAGGGGATGAGGCTACCAGAGATGCTTTCAGCAGGCTTTGGTTCTTTGTGCTATTGGGCGAGCTGGAGTCCTGAGTAGAGCTAGTTTTTGAGGTATATTCAGCAGCAAACTGTCGAATCATCCGCTGCATGATCTCACGGGCCACTAGGGGAATGTTGGGGTCAGAGACCCTATGACTGTCTAAATGGTAAAATAAAATTAAATAAATAAGAAGGAAGTTTTATGTAGAACAAATTTTAAAGCAAGACAACTTCCGATACTGAGGGTTGTGGGTTTTCTTAATTTAAAAAAGCTATAATATTATAACGTGTAAGTGCAAGATAATAAAAAGGCACAGATCTTACTTCAGGGGCTCTCTTAATTGCATCTTCAAGATCTGAAGCAACATACAGAATTGTGCACCCATTCCCTACAGCTCCCTCTCTTAACTGCATTTAAAAGAGCCACTATGTCTGCACCAGCTCCTTAAGATCACAATGCCCAATTTTTAACACAGAGAATTTAAAAATGATATAATACATTCACAAGAATGAAATAATTTCTTCAATGCTGGAATGGGAAGAGGGAGGCAAATTAAGCATGTATTTCTCTGTATGGAGGTTTAAAGAATCACATTCCAGTATAGCAGCCCTTTACCAACATAAGACAGAGACCCTATGTATGTCCCCAAATTGAATTCTAGGTCTGCAATAATCTGCCCACCAAAATAAGCTGAGCTACAGAGCATGAACTAATAAATTATCAATGTGAATCTCACCTAAGCCGAAATTCTCTAGGTAGAATTAGATAAGCCATCTTAAATCCACAATTTCTCTTACCTTCCCCATAACCACATGGATATAATATTTGCCTATTTACTGGTTCTGAGATAATATGTGTGGTACTTTGAACACAAACTCTACTGTGTAAATGCTATTATTACTAACTCCCCAAAATTCTTCTCTTCCCACCAGTCCAGCTGCCTGAGAAATCTTGGGCACTACCAGGGCTTTTTTTCAGCTAGAACTCACCAGAACTCAGTTCCAGGTGGGTGTGATTGCCATTATAAGAGAAAAAGAGAAGTGTTCATGGCACCTCTTTTTCTAGAAAAAAAAGCACATGGCACCCTGCATGGAGACAAACTACCCAGAGGGTGGTGAGCCTTTTGGGCCCAGTGGGACAGAACTTTATCTCCCCTCAACTCTGTGAGCCAACTTCTAACAGGTGGGTAGGATTGCCCAAATGTCAATCATCTAATATCACAATAACACCGGAGGATTGATACATCAACATTGGGCCACAGGAGTCAGAGGACTCAGGAGATAGTTCAAAAGTCTTGTTCTTCTCTGTATGCAGCACTTCACAAATGCCTGAAAATTGTTGGGCCTCTGGGAAGTGCTTGGGAAGCATGTCAGGTGCAAGATATATTTAAAGGTGTCAACCAGTGTCCTTTATAGATTATTTGTACAGATAAAAAACCTTGAGATTTTATGGAAATAATACATGGCTATCTCAAAAAAAGTATATTAAAAAGATCAGTTAGCTAAGCATGCAAGCCAGTTAGAGTATTGATTTCATTCTTTCATCATTACCAACCTTTTCGATAAAAGACTGCATGGATAAATTCTTCCGCTTGCCTCTCGAACCGAATGATTTTCGCTTGCTCTTGTCTAAGCAGAGCTTGGTGCCCAACTTCCAAAGCTGGCTCATCCAGACTGACTAAGTGTTCCTATGAAAAATATTTAATACAAATGTAAAAATATAAACACCTCTTCTTTTTTATGCTGACTTTAAAAAAACTGCTCACTGTAAAGACAGTGATACAATTTGATCTGATACAATTTGGAATATACGTCAGAATTTGTCAGCCATCTCTCACTGCTTAACATTTAGGGCTGCACATTTATTAAGAAGCAGTTTCCACTAAACTCAGTGGCAGCTACATCCGAGTAAATATATTCAGAATCTTAATTCATTTTAAATGATGAATGCACCAACAAAGTCACAATATTAAATACAAAACAAGAAAGACAGAACCATCTTTTCATTATTTAATAAAATTTACCATATAAGGAAAAGTATTCAAAATTTTCACTTCAAACTGATTAAACATAGGGTTGTTCCAACCAAGGCATTGGGGGTGTGTGTGGAGGAATGGCAACCTGCCTGGCTGCTGATTGCAACTCTACATTATGTGAACGGGCAGGGGAAAATTGGTTCAAGGAAAATATGTGGGGGGATTATGTCGCCACTGCTGCTTTTACTACTAAGTTCTGCGCCAGTCTTGAAAATTTTACCACTTTCTCCTGCCCTCAAAAAAAACTACATTTTTCTCCTCCCACCCACCTAAAAGTCCCTTTCCATCAAAACCTCTACCACACTACTCATAAACTATATTTAGGGAGAGTACATGCAAAGCAGCTAAGGAAACTGATCAACACTGAGGTCAAATCACATGCCCAGTTAGGCATGTAGGTAACCTATCCATTTTCTGTCAAGGTTGAACTTAAATCTCCAGAGTCAAGATTTTATGAAAAAATGACTGTCTGAGAACCCAATCATAAGCACACAATGAAATTCAGTTTGTTGATGCTCTTACCCCTATTTAAGAAATTGGGAACTTTACATCTGAAATAGACCTCTTTAAAAGAAATCCCACATCAAGCACAGCAGTTTGTGAAATCACTAATACAGGAAACAGTTACAAAGTCCCTACTTTCCATATGCAACCACTAGATAGCACTCCTGGCCATGGTTGCCACCTGGCCTTTCCAAGAAGAAACCTGGATTCAGAAGATATTGCCAAGCAGCAAACCAGGTTCTTTAAGAGGAGTGTGATTACATTCAACAGGAATTTCCCCCTGTCGCCATTAAATCCCTGTTGATTAATTCTTATCCAAAATAGTCTGTAGGTATTTATGCAGGATGAGGACAGATGCTGCTGGATCCAAAATAAAGAAAAATTGCAGTTTGATGTTATCCACATGCAACTCTTTCCAATAGTCTAACCATCTCAACCCAGTGACATTATACAGCTGTTAAACCATATTGGCAAGTGAGTATCTCCAAAAGGTATCATAGAAGTAGTAAAGGTGCAAAAATGATAATCAAGGGCACAGCCTTTAAAATATTGCTTTAACTATGGGAGCACGTGTAAGTAGTTCCTGAATGTTATAGATGGAAATGAAAAGAAATGCTCGGTAGAGCCTTTCTTGTACTAAAGTGAAGAAAATGACAAGATGGTGTGCTCACCCTAGTTTTGATGTAACAAAATAAGTGGAGGGGGGAAAACACACCTCTTTCCATTTGTAGGTTCTCATAAATAATTATTTCACCCCACACAATATATAAATAACATGAAATTTCTATAAGACAAGATGGTTTCTAGTAGATATAAACCTATCAATGAGTATTAGACACAATACCTAAATGTTATGCTCAAGTTCAAGAAGCAACATACCCTTCAGAATCAAAGTCTAGAACTGAAACAACAGGAGGCACCCATTATCATTCTGTTCTGTTTCTGAGCTTTCTAGTTATTATTCACCACTGTTGGAAACAGAATGCTGAGAACAACTGAATGAACAGATCCATTTTTAGGTTCTTAATCCGAAAGGTCGTCAAAACATTGCCCTTCAACACACACACACACAATGGGAACAAAGAAAAAGAAAGGACTTTAAAATATATGATCAATGCCCGTTAAGAGGTTGGGTATGAGGTAAAGTTTCTAGCATGTCTTAAGAAACACTCTCCCAAGTGCTTCAGGCAACTTATACCTTTAATATCCCACATAACTCCTTGCCAGAATTATGCAAAATAAGCAGCTTGGCTTAAGCTCTTCAACCTATGCATAATTTATAAAGGCTAAATAATTTTATTTTTTTCTTGGCACAATTTAGTTTACCTTGCTACCTGTTTGATTCAATTTTTGAAACAGAAGTGCCCACATGAATTTTAAGACCCTACTTTATTCTGCTTTGTCTGAAAATCCATCCTTTCCTTACAGGTAAAAATACCTTGTATAGAACAAGGTACCTAATGCTAGTATATATCAGTAAAGAACTCACAGCACTTTTTAAAAAAATACTTTCAGTAACACTGGCTTCATTGAATAGGGTTGCTGCTGTCCACATATGCCAACTGAATATGGTGTTATAGCGGTGAAGGACAAAAGTGGATCGAAAAGCAATTGTAAGGAAGGAATAAAGAAGTGGATCAATTACAGTTAGGCACCAAATGTCTTCAAGGAAAGAACCACCCTGTGTGCTGGTGTATAGCACACTGTCAAACATAGGCTAATAACACAAAACACAACATGCTCAACAGTTCCAAAACATCAACCACCCTCAGACTAAGGCTAGGTAGGGTATTATGTAGCCCCAGCAAATCTTAGTACAAAAAAGCAACAGTGAAGGATATCTCATGTATCCAGATCACAGCAAGGACTTACACCACTCTTGACCTATAGAACCACAATACGTAGGATCACAAGAAAGAACTTGGTGATGCGAAACTTTAGTGAAAATGTACTGTACACAAACCCAAGGATAACAGGGTGCTGATAAAAAAGTGCTACAGAAAACAAAGAAAAATAGAACATTTGTGAGTTCTGACTTTCCAAAGGAATTCTACAGTATTTATTCACGTCACACTTTCTTCCACAAGGCAACTCAACGGTGCATAGACAGGGTTCCCAAGTGCTTTCCCAATCAGGCACTGGCCAGAACCAATGCTACTTTAGCTTCAGCAAGCCTGTTGCAACATGTGCCCTCAAGCCATGCCCTAGGATCTGGACACAAATGCCAAACAGAAATTTCAACTCTTAAGCTAAAACGCAAGATGCAACACAAAGCACCAGCACTGGTAACCAAGGGAGGGGGAGGGCAGTTTAACACCAAAGTATATCTTAACATACACCCAGAACAGGGATGGGCCAATGATCAGCACCAAGATCAAGAAATGTTTATACCCAGGTAAGTCCCCAAGAGAAGCTACTAAAGGAATGCCAAGCACAAACAACCAAGGCCTTGGATTTCAAGCACTCTGCTCACTGGCGGTGCTAGATCTAACAACTCTATACTATCCTTTCTTGCATAATAAGCACAACCAGAAAATACACGGCAGAATAATCATGACTAAAGTAAACTATGACTGCCTACTGTAAACCACTTAGAAGTCTTTTGTTGTAGTAGACTGAAAATAAATGTTAAATAAATAAAAAATAACTTCAGTGCAATATGCTCCTCTGGAAAGATTCATACAGTCCCTAATATTAAATTTTCCAACATATAAACCCCACCTCAATTATGGAGGTGACCACAATGACAAGAGGAGCATGTATGGGTCATGGATTCCTCAGCGAGACTGATGGAATGGGGATACAGATTGAGGCTTTCTTGTGCACTGACCAATCCACTCCTTTGCAATGAACACAATATATATAATAATATATAGAGTATATATATATACTCTGGTTTCAGATTATATAATAATCTGAAACCAGAGTATAACACAATAAAATGAATTAAAAATCAAGCAATCAATGAACAATAAAACATACATAGCTCAATAGCTATTTAGAAAGTGCAGTGACACAGATTCAATCCAAAGCCCAGATGGTTAAGTAGGTCTTCAACTAGAGCTGAACGCTAACAAGAGTTGCCACCAACCAGTGTTTCCTTCTAGAAAAAAGGTACCAGTGCTCGCCATGAAGTTGTTACATTAAGTGCCACATTTTTAAGCAGTGCTTTTCTTCTAGGAAAAAAGGTGCTGGTACTACGTAACCTTGAGTACCCCCAGAAAAAAAGGACTGCTGCCAACTGTAAATGAAGGGTAAGGGAGTTCCACCATCAGGGCACCATGCACCCCAGGCACAAACTATCTGATACTACTGTTAGCATGCATCTTTTTTGCATTGCAAACTACGATGAAATACCCACTAAGGCAAGGGTGCTTCCCTACTTGGTACCACACAAACAGCTAAGATAGCCTGGAGAAGAAGCAATCATTGAACACTACTTGAAACCACCAGAAGAACTGAGAGAGCTGAAGCAGTTAATCCATTTACTTGACACTATTGGAGGTGGTTCAAGCCCAGGAACACCTCTCCTGCGCACCACCACAGACTTCACACATATCATGTGTATGCAACAGTGCCCACAAAGGGATAACTGAGGCACTAACTGCCTTGCTGCAATAGCCACCAGAATGGGGTTTAACATCTTCCCAATGTTATCAGCCATGATGATCTGGCAGGCCCCTCATTCCTGCCTCACCTAGAAGTGCCAACTTCTAGAATGTAGCCAAATAATTATTTTTATTTATAATCCACCAACTCTTTAAAAAAAAACTAAGGTGGTGTACAGTTAAATCATTAGAACACCTTAAAATCTTAGGCTCATAAAATACAGAATGAATGGCCAACAGTGAAAATACAGGGGAAGATGGGAAATGAACACAAAGTGAGAGATGACCTGGGGATATGAGCATTCACTGACTCATTCCATCCACAATGGTCACTGAACTGTCAACCACTCCAACTAGTTTCCCCATCCTCTGTGGGACTTCACAGTTGAGGACACCAATAACTGCACTTGGAAACTTGTCATGAACAAACAAAATATTGCACCCAAATTTTGTGGTCCACTTGTATGATTAGTGGAACAGAGCCAACAAGACAAAGATCAGGAGTTGAGGTTGGGATGTTGCTCTCACAGAGCTAGGCTCTCGCCCCACTGTCTCAAATAAACTGCCTCTCTGCTACCTCTATCATTTACCATCTGAAACTGTTGCCAGCAAGAAATCTATTCAGCATATTGCACTTGTACAAAAACATTATCAGTGGCACCAGCATCATCTAAGAATGAACTTATGCAAACCATACCCATATACTCACAGGAACAGCCTAAATATCCTAGAGTCTCAAGTGTAATACACAGAATCTACACCTAATATGCCATTCTGCAAGGCATAGATGACCAACTGGCTAGACTGCTGATGCAGGCAAACTGCCAATGGCATGTAAGAACTCTGCTAAACTATCTGCACTGGCTGTCCATTTGCTACTGGGACCAGGTTCCAGGCTCTTGTGGTAATATATAAAGCCCTGAACAACTCGAGTCCAGGATACCTTAAGGACCACCAGAGCCCTTATATCCAAACTCAATCATTAAGATAATCCAGAGGAGCACATAGCTGTTCCCTGAGTTACAGAGGTCCAACTGGCTTCAACCAGAGGGAATTTAGTGTTGCCAGGCCCATGCTGTAGAATATTCTTCCACCAAAGAAACAGGAGGCATCCTTGCTACTGACTTTCAGGTGTCTTATGAAGAGCTTTTTATGCTGACAGGTTTATAAAGTTATTTAAACTTTCCTGATTAGCCAATCATTTTAATGATTACTATTGGGGGGGTTTTGTTTTCATGGCATGTTATGTTTTATTGTATATACAGTACTGTTGTACATCACCTTGATATTTTATGAGTTGGCAGTATATAAATATTTCTATAAATAAAAATGATAAAAGCAGTGCAAAGCAACACCATTATCGCACAGCATAGCCATCTGCAATGCAGACACTTTGGTTACAATCTTAACACCCTATCACTGATCTATGACAGAATCTCTGTGAAACAGGCATCATCATTGCCTCTTGTCTAAGAGAAGGGAAGAGTACAAAAATGGTTCCACATATGCAATAAAGAAACTTCTGCTAAGCTTGGACCCTTGTAGATCAAAATGAGCACTCCACACAGATCCCTATTCAGCTTCTTAAACATGACATGGGACTGATCTACTTCCCTCAGTGGACTCCGGCATAACTGTACAAAGGGTCATGGAGTACAGACCACAAGTACATGCATGCCATCAAAGTTTCTTAACACCTACTTAAATAGCTAAAAGGTATAAGACAAAAACAAATCTGTGCTGGAGGTGTGGTAAAACAGAGGGGAAACATACATATTTGGTGGACCTGTGAAAAAATCAAAAGCTTCTGGAACACAGTGTATGATGAGCTTAACAAAATGTTTAAGTATAACTTTATGAAAAATACAGAAGCTTTTCTACTAGGGATAACGGACACAGGCATAGCAAGAGATGATCAAAAAATATTCCTTGATGCCACAGGAGCGGCAAGGATCCTAACTGCTAAAAACTGGAAAAAAGAAACTGTGCCAACAAAAAAGGAATGGCAAGATAAACTGTTAGAGTATACTGAACTGGCTAGATTAACAGAGGCAATTAGAGATCACACTAGACAAGTTTCAAAAAGCATGGGGGGAAATGCAGAGAATACTTCACAAAACAGTGCCCTAAAATACATACCTGGACTTGTTTCGATTAATGTCTGCAGGAGACTTTGTGGATATTTAAGTTATAATTAGAAAAATCTTAATAATTATTCATAAAGGACACAGTTTATAAGAAGTAAATAAGGAGGCCAGATACAGGATAAAGGAAGTCTTTTATTTGGTTGTTTCTATTGTTGTATGTTATGTTCACTGTGGGGTTTGGGTGGGGGGTTGTGTTATGTTGTAAATAAAATTCCAATTAAAAAAAACAGTTTCCCCATAAAATGTGTAAAATGAATATAGGTAATAAAAAAGAATTAAGGCCAAATATAATTTTTTGAGAGTTTTGATATTTTGTATCTGACAAAGAGAAAGAATGATACCTTGATGTTAGTATTTATTGATTTATCCCCTGCCTTTTTCTCTGACGAAACTCAAGGCAGCTTACAGATAAAAGTAAGAACTGCTAAAAACATAACAATCATTTAAAAAAATGAAACATCAATAGAATTAAAACTATATACATATATAGAATCTGTTAAAACCATACCAATAATTACAACACAGCATCAGCTCTTTCATTAAAACAGTCAGTTCACAAAAACATGTTGAAGCAAGGAACTCTTCACCTGTAGGCAGAAATACAACAAGAAGCGAGCCAATGTAGCTTCTCTAAGGAGGGGATTCCAAACTCTGGGAGCAGCCACTGAGAAGGCTCCCTACCAAGCATGACTGTGAGGGTGGCAGAACTGAGAGAAGAGCCTCCTCTGAAGTTCTCATATGAACCCTGGAAGGTTCATATGAGGGAATACGGTCTTTCAGATAGCTTGGACCTAGGCCCTGTAGGGCTTTATAGGTTGTAACCAGCACTTTGAATTGTGCCTGGAAACAGACTGGTAGCCAGCGGAGCTGTTATAGCAAGGGAGACATATGCTTCCTATAACCAACCCTGGGCCCCAATCTAGCCACAGCTCTTTGAGCCAGTTGAAGTTTCTGAGCAAAGTGTAGAGTGTGTTGCAGGACTCCAAATGGGATGTAACTAAGGAGTATGTCACTGTGGCCAGTGATCAAGGGGTACAGTTGGCACACAATCTTGAACTGTGCAAATGCACTTCTTGCCCCCACAGAGACCTGGGCATCCAGGCCCAGGGCTAAGTTCAAGAGCACACCCAAACTGCAAACCTGTGTCTTCAATGAAGCACAGCCTGAATCCCTACTCCCTGTCCTGCCTTCCAAATGACCACTACTGTCTTGTCTGGGTTCAGTTTCAATTTGTTCACTGTCACCCAGTCCTTAAAATAAGTGTTCTGTGCTCATCTAAAATACAAAATGAATTACAGAGCTCCTACCAAATATATTTCTATTTTTAAAACTTTTTAATGTACCTTCTGAAAAAACACACCTTTCTTATCAGGACATTCATCCCTCCAGATTTTCCTCAAATGTCTTATTATCTAACAGTGATATCCAATGCAGTGCTCACACAAGAGGGCTTCTCCTTTCTCTCCTCCCCCTGCAACCACTTATAAACCTCCTATCTGTTTCAGAGGATTGAGACACTCTCCAGAGCAAATACTGGGGGCACACAGAGGCAGTAGGGGGAGAAAAGAAATCAGAAATCCTATTCTGCAAGCAGATAAATATATTGGACGTTGTCCCAAAGTTATGCTTGTTAGAGCTTTTGTCTCTAAGTGCCTTGTTGAATAGTCTCTCCATCACCTGAGAGAAAATACATTTAACAAAGCTCAAAAGAGAATTGCAATCATAACTTAGGATGGCAACTGCATACTAACACTAGTCATGTAACATATCAACCTAGCTTAAAATTATTTTATCTAGCATTTATTTTTCACAGGACAAAAACAATCTGCAACTTTAGAACTGAGCTAACAGACAAAATGTTCAATACCTTCAGCATGACTGAGTAAATATAAAGGTAAAAGGACCCCTGACCATTAGGTTCAGTCGCGGATGACTCTGGGGTTGCGGCGCTCATCTTGCTTTACTGGCCGAGGGAGCATGACAAAGTCGCTTCTGGCAAACTAGAGCAGCGCACGGAAACGCCGTTTACCTTCCCACCAGAGCGGTACCTATTTATCTAATTGCACATGCTTTCGAACTGCTAGGTTGGCAGGAGCAGGGACCGAGCAACGGGAGCTCACCCCATCGTGGGGATTCGAGCTGCTGACCTTCTGATCAGCAAGCCCTAGGCTTTGTGGTTTACACCACAGCACCACCCACAGGGGCACTGCAAATTCATATCCATCTTCCTGAAAACAGATTAATATTCACTGCATAAGGACATAAATCAGGGGTCTCCAAACTTTATGAGCCCCAGGACCATTTCACAGAAGAACAGGCAATGCCCAGGATCCTCCAAAAACAGGCCAAACACACCTACATGGACACAGAAACACACACACACCAAAACAAACAAAATGCAGGCCAAAGAAAAAGCAGGCAACTTTCCCCCAAACAAAACAATTATCAGTTTTTAAAAAATTAAATATTAGGCAGGGCAGCGGGTCTTGGCAGGCACCAAGGAGGTGTCTGAGGGCACCACAGTCCCCACACTTTGGACCCTAGGCTTAAGGATATGTACCCTACATGCATCAGCTGAAGCGCCTGCCTAACGCTATAATAGCCATATATGGATTCAGAATGGAAACAAGAATGAATTAGGTAGAGAACTTGCAGTGAGGTGAGAAGTGCCATAAGCATAGTGCTGTTCCTACACTTAAAATTAGGGTCACTAACATCTGCTTTCCAAGCAGTCCACATTCTGATCTGCCTAAATTACAAAATACTTTCTTCTCCCCACTTTAATAATGATACAAAAAAGGACAGTGGTGGTATGTACAGTGTGAAGATACTTCCAAAAACAGCAAGGCACTTGTCGCTCCTCTAGACATTGGACTCCGCAAGTAACTGCAGTATCTCCTGAGTTTACTGACAAAGGTGCATAGCTTATTTAAAGATTAGTAGAAAAGCTTGTGAATGTAGTACACAGTCCACTATGCCAAGAAAAGAAGGTGCAAAGCTAATAATATCTATTGGTAATTGTGGATTAATGTGTGCGGAGAATGAAACAGCTGCCATCAGCCTGAACTCTACCCACATGCTAGGTACTTATACAAGAACCACAAGCAAGCAAAGAAGTTAGATTCTGGCAGATATAGCTTTCAGTTGTTCTTATGGCACAACTTCATTGCAGTGAAGCAATAGATCTCCACAGAGTGCACATAGGAAAAATGACTCTATATTGCAATCACAGACAAAGTGACATGCTAGGTAGCTCCTATAGACTGAACCTCACAGTTGGCAACCACTGAAGGAATTGAGTACCATTTGCCTTCACATACAACATAGAATTTAAGCACCCCTTGACAATATAGATTCCTCTAAATAGGAAATGAGTAAAAGGAAAAGACCTCCACTGCCCAATTTTCTTTTTCTTTTTCTTTTTCCTTTGTTCGATGTCCTTTTACTTTAAGGAAGCAAATGTAGGTTCCTCTACCCATTACTATTTTGCCAAACTAAAGCCAGATAAAAACCCAAATCCTTTTTTTAAAAAAACTGAGCATATTTTCTTTGTTACCTTCACTTTCTCTCGTCTCAAACAGCAGAAAAGACAATTTTCATCAAAAGACCAATCAGAGACACCTTCAGGCTCAAAGTCTGTGAAGAAGAAGAAGCCGTTACTTCATATCTATAAAGACCACAACTTGCTTATGGCTAAAGCTCATTCCCAATTCACTACATGATTTAGAAGACACTTGGTGAAATTCAGAAAACACAAATTTGAATTTTGTCATGCTTTTAATTCCACAATGTTACAAAAGTATAATATTTGCCTACACACAAAGCTGATTTTCCTAAGCAACACCAAAACCACTGCCAGTTATACAGAGATGAAGGCATGCTCATTAGTAATTTTAGCCAATATGAAACTAACTGTGAGCATTGCCTGGGGGGAGGGAAAAAGCACAAATCACCAAGGTAACATACAATTTCTAGAGGCAGAGCAGAGGTTGATTTTGTCATTAGAAATGCAGATCAAGGCAAAAAAAGGGGGGGAGATGTAATACCTTTAAACAAACTCAGATCTTTTAATAATTCAGGTCCAAACAGCCCTTCTAGAATACTTTCAAATCCTAAAAGCAAAGAAAGAATAGTTAGCTTTCTCTATAATATATGTTACTGTCAGAATATTGAAAATGGTTCTTTATTCATCTGTTCCTAGGATGCTTTTATGCAATGAACTCAAGGCCTCCTGGTCAATCATGACAAATAAATTGGGGGAGGAGAAATGAGCCTTTATGTATATTATCTTTAAGAGTTACACTAAATAACTATATTAATAATTAAGAAGTATATGGTAGAAAAAATGGAAACGTTTGTGTATCAATGCAATTAATTTTTCCACAAAAATCTACCACTCTTTTTAGGTTATAAAAATATGTATTTTTCTCATCTTATAGATCCCATTTTAAAGCAAAGATTTTTAACTTAAAGTCTTAGTATTTCTTAGAAAAAGGAAAGCCACTAAGGTGCAAAGGAAACAGCAAAATACAGTGTGCATGCATTGTGTATGAGCTTGTTTATTACAGAGAAGATTTTCTATGCCTTTTTAAAGAGTGCAGTGTGTTTGTGTTCTAAAAGATTCTACCACCACCACCCAATTATTGCCACTATTTGTAAATGTAAATTCATTGTTAATCTAAATCATGGCTTGCAGCTAAAGAGATAGCCAAACTAGCTACCCGTTACCCATACCATAAGGAAAGGAGCACCTATATATACCAGGGACACATATATACCAGGGACATTTTAGGAGACATTTGTTAATTCTGCCAGAGAGTTTGCTCTGAAAAATAAGACACATTTTTGGGATTTTGTAGTACAATTTCCACATATACTTAACAGTATTGCACTTGTATAATTTCTACTTTTACTGCAATATTTGAAGTCAAGAAAGAAAATGATTTTTTTTCAAGAAAGCCTTGAAAAAAGCAATGAAACAGCTATTTTTGGAGCCACAATAGAGTGTAATATAGGGCAATTTTGCTTTAGAGATGCATGACTCTCTCTCTCCAACAAGCTTCACAACCCAGTGGTTGTACCTTCATTTATAAAGTATACACAAGAACCATATTGCAAATTTGGATGTGTTACAGTCATTAGGTATCAGATGTAAAACTTAGAACACACTTCTATCATTTAACGTTAATAAGAGGTTAAAATTGCTACTGTGGATTGAAACTGCTAACAGAAGCATCTCTTGATCAATGTTGATCAGCTAACAACAAATCTATCAGGGTGAAGCACAAACAAAGAGACAAAAATACAGAGAAAAGAAGGGGGAAGTGTAATAAATATACATGTGTGTAATGCAATGAGCACACAATAAGCCAAAATACAATGGATGCAGCTGGACATCATTATCTTACAATTACTCTGCTAACTTTTAAAAGTTACAAAGCAAAACTGACAGAAATATAAGTCACAGTCAAGTCTGGGGAAACATCATTACTAAGAAAAAGTTAAAATTCTAAAAGACTATCTGTATATTATGCACATGTTTGCAACAGAGAACCGTTTGCTTTATTATTATAAAAAATAAAAGCCAGAGAAGAATCTGTGAAATATAGAAATGGCAAGCAGAGAAATGTCCCTTCCTGCAAATGACAATTATTTATTTTTGAAGAAAAAAGTGTTGGGGCACTCATGCACATATGCAATGTAACATGTAGATGTTATATAAATATTTGTATTTGCTTTACAACAACAATAACTCAATAATGTATTTTGCTGGTATATTTTGTTTAACTCTTTCCACAAGAGAATGGCTGTGTCTGCATATAACACTAAACCATGGTTTGTTTCAACCATGCTTTGTTCAACAAACTATCTTTCTATCTTTCTATCTATTTGCATTTATATATGAACTGTTTCACACATAAGCAAACAAGTCACGGCCTGTTTCTCCACCTGCTCTTGCCTCATGCCTTTGTAACTTGGTGAGTGAGGTGGGGTGGCAAAACAAAGCATTGTTAAGTGAGGCTATAGAGTATGGACATAATATCAAAGCATAGCCAGAAAAGAAACCATGGTTAGTCTCTTGGGTCGGGTCTGCAAGTTCAGCAAACCATAAAGGTAAAGGACCCCTGACAGTTAAGTCCAGTCACGAACGACTCTGGGGTTGCAGTGCTCATCTCGCTTTACTGGCCAAGGGAGCCGACGCTTGTCCGCAGACAGTTTTTCTGGGTCATGTGGCTAGCATGACTAAGCCGCTTCTGGCCAAACCAGAGCAGTACATGGAAATGCCATTTACTTTCCCGCCGGAATGGTACCTATTTATCTACTTGCACTTTGACGTGCTTTTGAACTGCTAGGTTGACAGGAGCTGGGACCAAGCAATGAGCGTTCACCCCGTCGCGGGGATTTGAACTGCCGACCTTCCAATCAGCAAGCCCTAGGCTCAGTGGTTTAGACCACAGTGCCATCCGTGTCAACAAACCATACCTAGGCTAAACAAAGCATGGCTTTACATTATATGCAAAGCAGGCCAAATATTATTAAATTCTACTTGTACACGCATGTAATTTTGTTCCTGTTCATTATTCCATGGTGACGTCCTATGTTACTCTAAATTATAAAATACTTCCACTATTCAATAAAATCATTTTTGTTTATTTTCCTGCCTCAATCAGTGGTTTTGTTAGCTTTGCCAATAGCCTGCTTTCCAAAGCTTGCAATACCATTGTTCTAGCAAGATTTACTTATGTCTTCCAGTTTCTCACAATGATCTACAACTTGCTGGTGAGATAAACAGTAACATTTCTTTGTATGGCATAGTTTTGTTCTGCCCTTCAAATCACATGGTAGTTTGGGCGTACATCTATGCATTGCCGTAATATTTTTACACACAGAAAAAAATGCCAGAAAGTGTTTTTCAAATTGCCAGAAATTGTTTTTTTCCATCACATGTGTTAGAACATTGCCACTTCTAGGCATCCTCTATAACACTGAGGGCTTGGCAAACTGTATATGTGGCGTATTTCTAATGGTGTTAAATATCATCTGTGATTTTGACTGCATTCTAATCTTTGTTGACACAGATTTAAAGGGTCTTTTAGTCCATAGATTCCCATTGTTCTCCTTGTAGTTTATCCCCCATGTCTTTTCTTCCTATAGCCACTATACCTTCTGTTGTGTCGTAGATTATTTTACTATTCTTCTATATATGAAGCCATCCCTATATGCTTAGTAGTTGTTCATATTCTATTACAAGTCTGATTGCATCTGCTCTTACTTTAATGTCAGAGGAAAAACTAATTTGTAGTCAGCAACTTTATATTTTACAATTGTTATTTAAATGGCTATCCTGGTTTTTTGTTTGTTCAGGCATATTAGTCTCCTAACCTGTATAGGTCCTTAAACTCTCTATCTTCATATTGCTGATTCTTTTCCTGATAGAATAGCAGGCAATATAAAAATGGGATAAGCTGAAATATTCCCAGGGATATTTTTAAAAACCATTCCCTTCCCCATAATTGTAATGTTAACAGGATAAATGGATAATGTATTCTGCTGATGTTCTTTTATCCGTTATCTGGGATATCTATTGTTTTCCTACATCTCTTTCTGTACCATTGCTATCAGAAGCTTTAGTTGGTAGGCTGTATCAGACCATCCAAAATTAGATATTCCTATATGACTTTATGTTTGTTTTTCTTCTAAATCCATGGACTCCCCTCCCCTCAAAAATGTATACATGAAATCAGCAGCTTTTCCTAGGTTTTTAATTTCTCAAGAATATAAACTGGAAAAACTGGGTGGGGTAGACAAAAAGCTTGGATACAAAAGCATGTAATGTGTAGTTAGTATCTAAATGTTACTACTTAAGATTACAGTCAGTTTAGTTCTGTGCAAGGCTGAATGCTTTAAAAAACACACCCAAACCTCTTACAATATCTGTAATAGTAATTACCAATGATTCATGTCCCATGGAGTTTGCTATGAATGCAATAGAAAATTCACAATGTCTGCCAAGTGGGTTACACAGCCTGGACGGTATAGAATCCCACCTTGTTCACTGTTCTCACCAATGGTAATGCCACTTGATTTTTATTAATATTAAATATTAGATTTAACAGTTGCATAGCAACAGCAGAAGAGCTTATATGTAATACTTGTCACCAAAAACGCCAAATAAGGCAAGAATGAATATATTCAAAAATTATTTTAAAGGACTTGGCATAATGCAGCAGCAAACAACATGCAGCAAGAAGCAACACAGAAATGAAGGGATATGACCTGCCTGCTACTTTCAATCACTTAAGAGTCCAGAAAAAGCATGCGCATGTATCAGCAACAAATACCCTGAAAAGATCTTGAAAAATGAGATCCTGGCTAGTTTTTACTAGGATTTGTCTCAATCACTCTTAGGGAGATAGGAGAGAACATTCCTTTCTCCAATGATATTTTCCTTCCTTCCCTATTTGACAGATTATGTTTTCTCTATATTTCAAAGGAAAAGAATTAACATGGCTGTCTGTTAAATTCCTGTATTCATACCTTCATCATTCACATGCATGTTTGATCATTTACAGCTGCTGAAGAGAAGCAGTTGTACAACAGTGACAAGCATAAGAGCAGGAATTGTAAGAGACTCGGGATGTTTTATTTTTGCTATTTTTCACAACATTTCACAACTGATTTTACGTAAGAAGACTTGGCAATAAGAGAAGGCCATTTACAATGAAAAACAGGCTTGCTGGTGTTTTCATTCTACAAAAATGAGTAAGGGTACCTGGATTTTCTAAAGTTTCCTCTACAAGAAATTAGCTATTATTTACTATAGAAGGACCACTGATTAATTATTGTAAGAGTTGCTTGAAAGGAAACTGTATCTTGATGCATGCATATACACACATTTTCTTGCACTTTGGATATTATTATTATTATTATTATTATTATTATTATTATTATTATTTTGTACCCAGCCATTCTGGGCGGCTTCCAACAAAGACTAAAAATACATTAAAATGTCACACATTAAAAACTTCCCTAAACAGGGCTGCCTTCAGATGTCTTCTAAATGTCAGGTAGTTGTTTATCTCTTTGACATCTGATGGGAAGGTGTTCCACAGGGTGGGCGCCACTACCGAGAAGACTCTCTGCCTGGTTCCCTGTAGCCTTGCTTCTCGCAGTGAGGGAACCGTCAAAAGGCCCTGGGCGCTGGACCTCAGTGTCTGGGCAGAACAATGGAGGTAGAGAAGCTCCTTCAGGTGTACTGAGCTGAGGCCGTTTGGGGCTTTAAAGGTCAGCACCAACACTTTGAATTGTGCTCAGAAACATAATGGGAGCCAATGTAGGTCTTTCAGGATCGGTGTTATATGGTCTTGGCAGCCACTCCCAGTCATCAATCTAGCTGCCGCATTCTGGATTAGTTGTAGTTTCCGGGTCACCTTCAAAGGTAGCCCATTAAGCAGCTCTTTTTTCAAACTAAATTGAACTTGGTTTTTGAAAAACAACTTAAAACAATTTGCACAGTTACCGTATTTTTTGCACCATAACACTCACTTTTTTCCTCCTAGAAAGTAAGGGGAAATGTCTGTGCGTGTTATGGAGCGAATGCCTACAGATGGCGGGGGGATCTGCTGCAGTCGTGAGCAGAGGATCATGCTTCCCCTTCCTTCCCTCTTCCGTGGCTCGCTTTGAAATAGCAAAGCTGAGTGGGGAGGAAGGAGAGAAGCAGAGCCTGCTTGCTTTAAAGGAGCAAAGTGGGAGAGGAGAGGAGCCTTCTCCTCTTATACCCCTCTTCGCCATAATTAACAGCATCCTTCTCCACCCACCCCACGCGTGTTCCTTGTCCCTTGAGTGCTTTTCCTTCCCTCCCCACTTAAAACGTGGTTACAAAGCACGGATCCACATGGATCCTCAGGATTTTTGCACTGGGTCACCCCAAATTCACCATCAGATCACATAGCATGGCCATGGCTACAGCTTGCACCAAAAAAATCACGTACCCACTGTTGCCTGGGGCCGCAGTGGTGCAAAAACGTGGTTACAAAGCATGGATCCACATGGATCCTCAGGATTTTTGCATTGGGCTACCTCAAACTCACCGTCAGATCACATGTCTTTGGCCACAGCATGAACCACAAAAATCATACATCCACTGTTTCGTTTAGAATATTTTTTTTGTTTTCCTCCTGTAAAAACTATGTGCGTGTTATGGTCGGGTGCGTGTTATAGAGCGAAAAATACGGGTAAATTTGGTAGTAAATAAATTTCACTGTGGGGTATGGGGGTGCGCGTGCATATATGCACCTAGAATATGAAAACTGGCCATTTCCCCTATTATCTAACCTTGTATTTTAGGCTAATGGTTTAATGACCTGTTCCCCTTCTTTGATAATTAAATCTTTTGGAAAATTTTGATGTACACATGCACACACACATTGCATCATGTAGGCTAAAACAAACACAGTTCCTTAAGCTTTTCCTTGTGTAATGTGCTGCATTATCATCTTCAAAGCTCAACACAGTTCAGCACAGAATCTAGGCTGGCCCTGGTCTTTTGAGTCCAATTCATCACACTGAAGACTCATAAACCCTAAAATATCTCTCAATTGCTTTACTTAGCCAGTTATCTCTTATTGCATACCCTGGCTTTACACAGCCATTTGTCTAGTCACCTGTAATGAACACACACTATAAAAAGAGGGAGATTGGGTACCTACACAAGTTCACAATGGAAATAGGATTACTTTGTGGCACAGAATAAAATGCTCTATTACAGCCCTTTAGAGACTAGACAGAAAGCCCTCTAGAACCCCTTCTACTGCTCCTGGAGTGTTCCCTAGCCACTGAAGAGCAGAAACCAAGCAGCTTAGTTCTTTCCTTCCAAACTTCATACAAGAGGTCTCAAATGTCTGTCAAGAAACACTGTTTTTGCCTGGGTTTCACATGAGAGACTGCATGTGAGCCAGCCAGCCTGTTTCCTTTCCAGAAAAGTGAGGATTGGAATGCTAGCCAAGCCAGGGAATATGAGCCTAGGTTTGCTTCTCAGAATGTGTTGTGTCATAATGTGTTCTCAGTGATGTGGAGTAGATGGCAAAGGCAGCTGCAAGAAATTAATGGACTTATCCCTGGTTCTTTCAAACTGCACAGAATACAGAACACCTTTAGGTATATGACTCAAACTAGTAATCTGCTATAATACTGGTCTTACAAAGTTGTAGTAAGAGCTTTGTGCTACTATTCTTGCTTCTCACTTGCCTCAGATTACTCAGTCTTCTGTATCAAGTGGAATAAACTCACAAATTTTGATACACTTACACACTCACATTCAAAGAACTAACATGCAAACGGGTAGAAAAGGTTCTTTCCTTTCATATATTTTCTGAAGACCATGAAAATAAGAACACTGTTGGACCACATCAACTGTATTTCTAGGCTACCACAGTGTTTCCCAAGGTGGCCAACCAGGTGCCTATGGGAAGGCCAAAAGCAGGACATGAGTGCAAGTCCCATTCTCATTGTTATTTCTCAGCAACTGGGATTCAAAGGCATGCCACCTCTGATTCAGGAAGCAATGTTTAGCTACCAGGACTAGTAGCAATTCGTACTAGTATGATGAGAGACAAAATTTCCACACCATGCATAACATTATACACTTCTATCATCCCCCACTAATTCACCTTTTTTTCTAAACTAAATAGAACCTAGCGTTCAAACTTTTCCTCATGGAGTTGTTCCAGCTCTATGGCTGCACCATAGATTTGTACAGACACATCCAGATCACAAGGGGTTTTAATTTTTGTCTCTTTCCTGCTGATCTCCAACATGGAATTTGCCTTTTTCACAGCTGCAGTACACCGGATGGTCCCGAAGCTCTCCATCACAATCCCAAGATCCTGTTCCTCATCATTTACTAGCAGCTTGGTCTCCATCACTGCATATATATGAAGTTAGGAAAAACTGTGGCACTGAGTGGGTACAGCATATGTGAAGCTTTCTCCACACAGGCCATGTGGTGCTTCCCCAGCACTTCAGGCAATTTAATACAATCCACCCAGTAACAACTCCACAGGCAGTCCAACCCACTCACCAAACCAAAGGCCAAGACTTCACTCATTTATAGATGGCGGCAGTGCGTCAGGGTGCATTGAGAGATACCATAGGCTTGCTAGGGGGATGAGGAGTCAGTCAATGTGGCAAGCTTTCCCTTCAGCAGATGGATTTATCTCCAGCTGACCAAGCACACTCTTGCTAACTTATAATCTAAAGGGAAATTGCAAAACATGTTCCAATGACTACTGCACAACAAAGCATCTAGACAGGATATGTAGTCAAACTCTAGTTATTCTCAATAAGAAACTATTACAAAGTTTGCGTTGTATGCTTCAAAAAGAGATTTACAATATGTATAAAGTGGGACACCAGTCACAACTTCACACTAATAAAGATGCTACACCTGAGAAAGAGGTAAAACAACAAAGCTACAGAACACCTGCAGCAGGCGCCAACTCCCACTCTCCTTTGCTGCTTAGGAGCAGCAAGTAAACTACAAGACATGTATGAGCAGGTGGGGCCTCAGTTTTTACTTCAGTATTAGCAAATAGGATACAAGGGAATCAACATTCTAATCCAGCACACATAGGTACCGTATAAGACTAGGTTTTTTTACTTTAAAATAAGGTTAAAAATCTGGGGGCGTCTTATACACGGATAGTGCATATGTCCATTTTCTAAATATGGGGTCTCCAAAACTAGGGGGCATCTTATAAATGGAAAAATACGGTAATTACCAAAACAACTGATTACATGGGGGGAGACAGGGCCTTGCCAACATAGTGTAGTAGACACAAGTTGGCTTTGGACCAAAGACATGGGTCCCACTGTCATAAAGCTCACTCGCAACCTAACTTCATCTACAGTGTTGTTTGGGATAATTCCCCCATGTATGTCATCCTGAGTTCCTTGGAACAAAAGCAGAATACAAGTGTGACTAAAGACAGTGCTTTGCAAGGGTGCTCACAGCCCCAGATACACACACAATCCTGACATGAGAGTGGGCCTATCTTTTAAATCTAATAGTTTTACAGTTGAAGTCTGACTTCACTGTTCTTGCAAATTTAGTATGTATATATGTTGGCTCCTTTGGGTAAAGCAATTTTTAAACTTTTGGCTCTGTTCATCAAGAGATAAACTGACTTTGTTACTTCCGTAGTGATTATTCAAAATGAAGAACTTCACACCAAAATGTATATATGTAATGCATATATATTATACATACATGTAGGAATGTGACCTTAACAAGTGGTAAGATTTCATATAAATGATTGTGTGAAAACAGGATAGATGTTTATCAGGAATTGTGCAAATTAATTCATTCGGCCACAGAGCAGGACATGAGTTACATTAACTCCATGAGTGTCTTTGAATTCTTCCAAGGGATTCGCATCAGCATCACTTCCACCTTCACTAAGATCCTATTGATGACAAACATCTAATATAGACACTGTATAGCCTTTAAGGATCATATCAACTTCGCATTTTAAGAACATCCTTCACATACATTGCACATAAATCCTATGTACACAGCTACATGTGCCAAATGCACACACTTCAGTATATGCAACATAAGTCACACATATTAATAATCATATGTGATGAACATGTACACAGAGTTTTTTATTAAAAAAAGAAGCATTAATGTTGCAAAGATATGCTTGGAAATGTGTGGGTGTTGCTTGTTGAAATGTCGGAAGCCAGAGGAATTGCAGAATATGATTTCCAGTAGTTAAGAGAACAGCACTTCAGCACACTGTAAAGCTTTGTGCCTTCTCCATGACAAACAAAAAACAATGTAAGTTATGCAGAAGAGTAAAAATCGCAGAATTATGCAAAGTACAGTAAGAGGAATCATGCATATCTGCTGAATATTCATAATTTATAGAAGTTGTAGAATTCAGCTTCCCTTATTACAAGAAAGAGAGAATGAGAAAAGCGAAACACACTCAGCCTCTTACTGAAAACATATTTAGTCTCTTCTAAAAATATATTATATAGCAAAGCATTCAAACAGTTTCATCTTTATATACACACCTTGAATACAGATATTTTTTATAGACTCCCTGTAAAGTAAAACAGCATTATTACCCCATGTTGTGGTTAGGGGCTAAGGCTGAGAGAATGTGACTTGCCTAAAGCCATCAAAATTCAAGATTTGAATAAAGGGCTTCCTGATTTGTAGCTCAGTCTCTTAGTCACTATACCACCCCAGCTCTCTGCTGACATCATGTAATCACCCGCACATCCCTAGGCAAAAACCTAATTGACATGGATGAAACAAATCTGCAGATCCTAGGTAATCGTTGCCTTTACCTTCACATGAAGTGGTAATTGCTTTGGCAGACTGTGTCTTAATCTTCTAGATTTGAAGGGGGTGGGGAGCAAAAAACCAACACATCCTTTAGCTTTATGTACTTTTGACTTTTAATCTACCTAACTGTAAAAGCTTTTCTCTCACTTTCTACATCCAGTCAACAACCTCTTCTACCCAGCATACAAGATATCACTACTGTCCCTTCATCATGCTCACAGAAAAAGCATAATGGATTATTAGAGGAGTACTGCGTTTTTTTCCCTCCAATTGCTTTAATAATATTTAGACTAGAAACAAAGATTTTTAAATAAGAGATTATTCTGCTGGCCAGACACAACTTCACAGGCCACAGTCAAGGATTTTAATTTTTTTTTACAAGTGTTTGACTCTCTTTACATGCAACAGCAAATGCAGTCTTGTGAATTCAACAATATGGAAGCCAGAATTTCTAAAGCACCATGCACAGCAGAGTTCTTTCCCTAGTTCTGCACTGTTCTGCCTAAGACCCCTGCTGGCAGTTTGCATATTCTTTACACTGGATGATAACAGTTTTACTTCTCATTTAAAATTAGTTAAGAGTGGTCCAAGAGAATGAAATCTAATTTCTTCCTGCACAGCCAGAGCAAGAATTGACCAGTGAAATCCATTCCTAGAAGTAACAGCAGCCTTTTTAGGACTAATGGCTTCTAAATCGTCTAAGATTTGGGGCTGGTACTGTCAGCCAATCCAAAAATTGTGATTGCGAGGGTCTTCCCCACTGCTGGCTTGTTAGAAGCAAGTACCTCTGCCCAACACCAAAAGAAGTTATCCCCCTGCCCAACCTTTCCTGCAAGCCAGAAGCTTGTGAATTTCAGCCAATGCTTAGTGAGAGAGCTCTGGCCCTTCCACCAAGCAAAGGCTCAAGAAACATCCCCACCTTCCTCGCCTTCAGGGAACATGCAAACTTCAGCCACTACTCAGCAGGGGACCACCATCATCAAGCAGTGGCTGGAACCCCTACCACCTCTTTCTTGCAGAAAAGAGTGCTTAGGATCATGTCAGCTTTATCAGCTGCTCAGAAGCAGAGCTCCGGGCCTGTCTCCCAAGCAACAACTGTAAAGGCCTCTTTATCTTGTGGGAAAGAGAGGCAGGAATGTGGGGGATTCAGCTGGTGAAGGCAACAGCACTTGCTTTCAAATAGCACCCAAGACGTCCATAAGCAGGAAGGGAGAGGTATTGCTGGTTTGTCCCTCTGGGACCAAGAACTCCAGGAGGCTTGGATAAGTGTTAGAAACTCAGATATATAAGCTAATTGACAAATTGCACTTTAAACCTAGGTTATGGTCATGTGTTTGTTGTTGTTAACTTCATTTCTATACCACATTTCTATACCACTATACCATACATATGAGATTTTTAAAAAAATCTCAAAGTGGTTTACAACACATTAAAACATCAAATAAAACAATCCAGAATAAAACAAATTCAAGATCCAAGGAAAATATTTAATATCCTTCTCTAAACATTGTTTTGCTTTCACAATATTTATTTACCAATTTAATTTATACAGCAGCCCAATAGCAGAAGTACTCTAGGAAGCCAGTATGGTATAGCGGTCAGAGTGTGGACCTGGGAGATCAGAGTTCAAATCCCCACTCAGTCATGAAGCTCACTGGGTGACCTTGGACAAGTCACAGCCTCTTAACCTAACCTCAAAGGGTCATTGTAGGGATTGACTGAGATGGAGGGTGAACCATGTAGTCTTTGGAGAAAAAGGTGGGATATAAATGCAATAAATAAGCTCTTCTGCTTACCTGCTCAAGATAACTGGAGGGGCCAGCCAGATGGAGATGTAAGTTGCCAACCTGGCATCCACAGATCTCCACATGTCGCAATTGGACCTGCACCAGTCACAAAATGTGCCTGGTGAATTTCTAGCACAGGCTTGAATCACACAACTTCAATACCATCCCTAGCCTTCCTCCCAACTTTAGAGAGGTGAAGGGGGCAGTGATTGCCTGGACATTTCTGGGATGATCCTTCCCCATTCCCTGGTTTTCAAAGTTGGGAGGAAAGCTGGCCACTCCTCATGCTTACTAGAGGGTGGTGCCACACTTGCCATGACAAGAGTAATAGCTGAATCCTGCTCTGCTTGAAGCAGCAGATACCATTTCTCCCTACCTGCCTCAGCAAAAGAACAGGAAACAGTTGGTGGCATTGGATGAAAGAGCAAATGGGCGCATCTCTCTCAGTCAGCCAGCAATTTGTCATTCAGGACTTTCTTGTGTAGTTACCAGAATGAACGCCTTTACATGCATTTATCTTGCTGACATTCTTATGGTCAGCAAGGATAAGTGCAAATTAAAAGCTTATTAACACATGGTGATTTTAACAGGAACAAAGGAAGCACACACATGGAAGGATTTATTAATCTACAGAAATCTTCCCTGAGCTAGACAAATATAGGGCTTCCCTTCCCTGGGTAGCAAAATATAACAAAAAAAAGAGGAACTCTCACCTGATGGCACAGCATGCAGTGTAGTGAGAAGTTTAAAATATCTAGCATATGCCACTCTTGTCAGTAGTGTAAATCAACATCCAGGAAGAGGTTATATATTACAATTCCCACTGCTTGATTGGTTGTACTTTGCACTCCAGTATGAGATGAGCTCTCATACTTGTCCCATGGGAACAAGAACCCTGAACTACTCTGAGTAGACCCACCGATATTAATGAACATTACTTCATTAGGTACATTCATTTCAGTGTGTCTACTCTTAAGTAAAACTTAGTTGACTATCACCCTTGAGTTTTTTACTCACATCAGCCCTGCTTAACATATAATGAAGCTCCAGATAAAAGTATCTTGTATTAAAATGTGAAAATTGGGGTGAAGCTGCAACAACAGAATGTACAACTCTGTTCGTAAATAGGGCTCCAGACTTCATACCAACTTCTAAGCACATCTATTTTCAAGCCCCAAATTTAAAGCCCAAAACAACGGAAGGCAAGATTCTCAACATGAATTTTGAGCCAGAGTTACCCTTGCACAGCCCTGTGTATTATTTTCACATTAGTAATCTTCAATACTCATATAAAAAAGAAGAGACCTATGAACATATCACATGTGAAAGGGGGGGGGTCAAGTAAAGTTTGCTCTGGGAGGCTAATTTACTTTCCCCATCTTGTGATCCTTCAAGCTGCAAGGAAGCAGCCCCACTTAAATACTTTGTTTGGAAGGGTAGATTGGCCTCAGAGAATATACATCCAATTTCCCCTATCTTTGGTCCCTAGGCAGATGGCCATTTGCCAAAACTCTTTAGCCTAACTCCCAGCACCAGCTGGCTAAGGGCTCTTGCATACATGCTGCTCCCTGCTGCCAACATTCCCTGGCAGCCTGCAAAGAAAACCATCAGCTTCCACTTGTATGGGGGGTTGAGGAAGAGATGGAGGGTCACTTGCATCCCTAGTGCTTTTTCCACAAGGGTAGGAGATCTGAAAATTCTGATGTGACCATCTCTTATCCTACTGCCCTATACCAAGCACACATACATGATCTAAAACATTAATTTACTAAGCAAATGGAGGGCAGGGAGAAAGCAAGGCAAATAAGAGGATTTTCCCCCCTCCTGTAACTTTCCACCCCAAAGCCCTCACTGACAGACATGCCAGAGACCAATTTTTCCAGAGGGGTAGTTGTGTTAGTCTGTTGCACCAAGAACAGAATCCTGTGGCACCTTAAAAAGAATAATTGTCAGATGCAGGAAGTGAGATCTGAGTTGGCAAATATGTACTGTATACACAAGGGTTAGGGAAAATAAATATATAAAGTGGGAGCTAAATGGCAATGTGGTGCAAAAAATGCAATCAGTGGTAATTCAATCAGAGCTTAGATGTATGTTAAACAGGCACAATATAGGAAAGCATTGTGTCTATTCAAACCAAATTAATGTTACTGAAGCATGGAGCCAGCTCTGGAAAGGGCTTTGGAGTCCTTCTGTAATCAAGGCCAAATACAACTGTGAATTGCATGAGCATTATGCTAGAAATCATTCTTGCCCACTCTTATCCCTGCTCATTGGGGCCAAACTGTTGTGGCACACAAAGTATAAGAGGCTTCACTTTTTCATCCCTTTTGTCCCTGATATTTGCCTCAGATCCTATTCTACTCTACTTCCTGGCTGGACCTGATCTGCCTTGCTCTTTTAAATCCATCTAGGCTTGGTGGCTCCAGCTTTGACCAGAAAAGGGCACAGAGCTCCAGAGAAGGAATGCCAAGTGCCCCAGAATTGCCACTGAAACCACAAGTTAATCACTGCACATTGCTCTTTATTTACAATAAACTCACTGGGTGACCTTGGGCCAATCAGTCTCTCATCCTTCCCTACCTTCCATGGTCGCTGTGGGGATAAAACAAGGAAAAAGCAATCATGTACATCACCTTGTGCTCTTTAGAGGAAAGGTAGGATATAAATATAATTAATTAATTAATATATACTATACTATTCATGGTGTAGCGTTTTATAAAACTATCTTCCCTAAACTGCTTTCTGGTTCTATTCCCTTAGCGTACAGCCCCTCTCGTCTGCTGCAGTGATATGCACAATCTTACTGCAATGCTACTGTCCCCCCAATCACCCTTCCATCTCCTTTTTGCCTTTACCCATTCACAACTCTCTGCTTTTTTCAACCACTTTCAAATACTCCACTGGTTCATTCATTCCTCCTCACCACAGATTTCTGCATCTTGAACTTAACCATTTTCCCACTCACCCCATACAGTATTTCATTCACTCCTGTTAAACACTTCCAAACAAAATATATGAGAGATTCGTGTCATTTCCACTTAAGAGATATCAGGCAGCAGTGACAGGAAAAACTATCAGTGCTTGATGTTGGAGAACCTCTGCCGGTAACTAGATGGACCAGTGGTGTGTCAAAGAATAGGAAGTTGGTAAGTAGCAATTGCCCCTGGACAAGCAGCCAAGTGGCAAAAAGGACCACATCCCATGCTCCCCCTTCACCCTCCCACTCCAATGAACTTCCCCTTTGACTGCATTGCCTGTTCACTTATTCTTATCACTGCCCCTTATGATTCCAGTTATAGCAGGACACCTCTATTATGTCTTCCTGTATGTTTGCTTTCTCTTTCATTTCATGCTTTATTTGGAGACTGAACAAAGGGAAGCAAAAGACATTTCTGAAAAGTTATTGACAAAGCTAACATTACTGTTAAGAGAAAGTTCTAGGGATCTGACCGTTTACAAACTGCTTTGCATAGCATTTAGAATATGGTAGGGGAACCATGTTTTCATATTAGGCTGATTCAGCTATACCCATCAAATTATTAAGTTTTCAGTCAATCCCTCACATTACAAAATAAAAAGAAATAAATAAAGCAGACACCAAAGTCATGTATTTCATGCAATTTGCAGCTCACCTACTCAAGATGGAGACTTTACTGAGAAAGATTGGTATTAAACTATGGAGCACAGACTATTCTGAACCAAATAAAAATAATGGAAAAAACCAATGCCATTATTTTTGTGTTTTAGATATTAAAGTCTCTACAGACTAGAATCATCTCAACATATAGCCACTATTTAAAATTATCTTGCACAAAACACCTGAATGCAAACCATTTTATAATACCATAATCACAAAGTTTTTATTCCATTTTGGGGAAACAGACACCTAAAATCAGACCCCAAGTACATTTGGCTTTATTTTAGTTAAAAATACTGAGCTTTCTCAACTCTCACTTGATAAAGGGAACAGACAGTAGTCAGAGCTTCCAAGAACCTATCATATTGGGATTAATTAGGCACTAGGCTTTTGGCACACATTTTCAACATCTTGGCCAAACTTTACAGAAGCTCTGTAAGTTAACTTTTTTTACTACTGCTATTTATAAAGTGCCACAATAGCCAATCATAGCCAAACAACCAACGTACAAATAGTTATTGGCAACATAACAAAGGAAGGAAAATGGTTTAAATATACTAACATCCTAGTCTTGGGGCATCCAGTCAAGCTACGCAAAGAGGTGTTTTTGTCCCTTGCATACTCCCAAATGTGGAAGTAGGATCAGAAACGGGATCTGGAAGAAAGGGTAAACAGCATGTTAGTTAAATTCACAGATGGTACTACACTGCGTAATGTTGCAAACATTAGCAGGAACAAAAATATAAATGAATTTAGGAACATACGAAGGAAAACACATCACATTTCAGGAAAGTGTGCTAATGACATGTAATGAAATTCTAGCACACAACAAAAATGTTCAAAGGAAACAGAGGATTAGTTGTAATGGATGAAAAGGAGATAAAGGGGACTGCAAGAGAGCAAGAAGTTAGAAAAAGTGATGTGCAAGTCAGTGTGCAAGCAGGACTAACACTGGCACAACAGAACATCCCTTCCCTCACCTCCCCCCATACAACCCTTATCTGCTTTGTGGAAAGCAGGGGAGAGAGAAGTTCTGTTGCAAAAGCAGAAGTTGTTCTGCTCATGCAATGACTTTGTTGGATACAACACTGTGCCTTCAAGCCACACTAAAGACACTCTTGTCTCATTGTGCTAGAGTCACTTGCTGTAAGCCATTGTACCAATCAGCTTTCTTCACTCTTACACACTGCTTATCTGACTAGTAGATTAGGACAGGGTGGGCAGATCTTACACTGGTAAGATCAACTTTGTTTTTTCACTAGAATTCTGAGATCTACCAACCAGAGCCGTGCGCAAGGCACACATAATTAAAGAACAAAGTGCCTTTGAGCGTATTCTGAGCATTTTCAGGATCACAACAAATTGAGTTTAGTGTCTTTTCACACAACAGTCTAATCCAGATTAATCTTCATTTCAGCAGACTAATTTTGGTAGGGAAAGTTGTTTTGTTGCCATTGTTTAATAACTGGGAGTCAAAAATACTTGCTGATCTACCAAAAATCATCCAGAGATCCTGAATTACTGTCTGTCTACCCCAGCTTAGACAATGATACAGTACTAGATAGATTTTTTTTGTTTCCCCGGAACTTTTTTTCTTTTTTTAAGAAAGTTTGGCTTCAACAGGAAATAAATAAAATTCTATACTTCAATTGTATCATTCTCAGCAAAGCATATTCCAGGAACATAGAAGTTTATGTGGTAAGTTTGACCCTAAGACTGACCCTGAGGTCAATCTAGAGTTTTACTTATATATATATTTAAAAGTCACTGAGGGAGGGAGACTTTGCCAGTGGTCAGCATGCAGCAAGCTAGGCATGAAGATGTGGTGGGGGAAAGTGTCATATGATGTAGTATTGAAATAAAGGATTCAGAACTGAGAGTGGAAGATGAAGCAGGGGAAATAGTTAGATGTCTAAAGGAGGAAATGGAATTAGGAAGGAAGCACCCAAAAACAGTGGCAAGGAAGCAAGAGATGCACATTCCCCTTTAAAAACGTAACCCGAAAATGAATTTCTACAATTGTTTATTCCTTTGAACATTACTGGAGGAGGAAACAAAAGGGTCAATTTATATTAGGGTTGGCTGCCTTTTTTTTTTTTTTTTTGCCTAGAACTCTGGCCAATTAGTGTTGGACCAACTTTTCCAAGTTGGTCTTCTTAATGTAGATAAGAAATTAAGTTCAGTACTTAATACAAGAAAAATGAAATGTAACTGTTTCACTCAATATAATCTCATGGGATTCAAGATGAAAATTTTTGAATAAGCATTTTCAGAATAATTGCAACAGTAAGAAGAGCTTCAATTTATTTCCAATGGTCAGGAAACAGAACATTTGTGCAATTTACCTTCCCTATGCTGCAGTCCCTCCCAGCTCTTTCTCTCCCCAGGAGAACTGCACACACACACACACACACACACAATAACCAAGCCTTATTACTCTACTGAGATGACAAGAATTAACCAGAAGCACCAGTGACCATGTTTTGGACCTTTTTGTACATAATCCGAATGGTTTATAAAATCTCATTATTAAATGTGCATAGTTTTTTTTTTCTTGGCCAAGAAAAAATGGAATAAGTGTATGAACTAATAATGGCAAGGTCCTCAGAGTTAGGTTTCATACTTTTAACACCCACTGAGCTCTCACAACAGACACAAATCCTGTAACTAACTTTATATAATTTAGACAAAGTTCAAAGCACAATGCAACATATACCATATATTCTTAGCACATGTCTGAGAAACCACAAAAGATGCAAAAGAAAGGGGTTTCCTTCTTTAGTCAAGGAAGATCCCAATGAGAAGAAAACATTTCAATATCTGTATATGACAGGGACGCGGGTGGCGCTGTGGGTAAAAGCCTCAGCGCCTAGGACTTGCTGATCGAAAGGTCGGCAGTTCGAATCCCCACGGCGGGGGGCGCTCCCGTCGCTCGGTCCCAGCGCTTGCCAACCTAGCAGTTCGAAAGAACCCCCGGGTGCAAGTAGATAAATAGGGACCGCTTACCAGCGGGAAGGTAAACGGCGTTCCGTGTGCTGCGCTGGCTCGCCAGATGCAGCTTGTCACGCTGGCCACGTGACCCGGAAGTGTCTGCGGACAGCGCTGGCTCCCGGCCTCTAGAGCGAGATGAGCGCACAACCCTAGTCTCTGTCAAGACTGGCCCGTACAGGCAGGGGTACCTTTACCTTTACCTTATATGCTGCTTAACCAGGGCCATCTTAGGTCAGAGGACAGTGTTAGAAGGTATTTTGTACACAGGTAGAGATAGCTGAATAGAACAGTTATATGTATGTCGTGTATGAAAAGCATATTCTATTTTTATAACACATGAAAGCTGGGCTCAATTATTTTCTCAGTTATCACTTATAGATGTATGAGCTTCAGATAGACATTTTGAGAACAGAATGCTGGTCTCTGTAGCTAAAGCATGTGCAGTTCTCTAAATGTGCATTGTGCATTTTGTTGAAGATTTGTTGTTTTAACATTTTCCACTGCTCTGCAAGTCCCAAGTTACCTGCATATTTGATGCTGAACAACCAGAAAAGCCTACAAACAGAAGTCAATGAAAACAGCCTCTATTCACGATCAAAGAAATAAGCATGACTGCTTTACATCTTGGGAAGAATAACCATCAGGCTATTCAAGGTTTGTAAGTGTATGCATCTATAGTAATACCAATTCCATATTTTAACTTTTATACAGTATCTAGCACTGTAAAATGAAAACTAGATGTAATACTGAACAACCTATAGTTGCACACCCACTCACAATGTTCCCAAGTTCAGAGGTACTTGATTTACAATCTACAATGCTACTATTATGTAGACCATACATAATGATGGATTTTAGTTTCCCAGGATGTTCATGATTTTTAAAAGGCTTAGAGCCAAATCCAGCAGGTTATAGCATGTACAAAAAAGGAAACATATGGGCACATTGAAGGTTTACGGGGTCATTTTTTCTTCACTATTCAGGGAAGTGTATGAAGTAGGTTCAGGGGTATATTAGTGGAGCTCCTATGAAAGGGAGAAGGTTGAACAAAATATTGGCATGTACACTATCGACAGGAAACAAAACATACATTATAATGCACTTTCATTAAGATTCAGAAGAAAATTGTGATTTTATTTTTCTGACAGATTATTAAAATTTACCAGAATAGTGACAGAACATCTTTCCTTGTCTTCACTGTGCGTCTAATTTTAAGTATCATACTTCAGCTTCACAGAATTACATCTTTTGGAATCTGGAGCCAGGTAAGTGTGAGTGTCACTATGATGCCTGCATGAAGGTCTGGTGCATATAAATTCTAAAGCAGCACTTTAGAATTTCAGATTCTAGCACATTCAGATATTAGGTAATCAAAGTATCTTGTGAATTACTTTTTATCAATACCAAAAGCAACCATAAAAATAAAGCTTGTCGACTTTGTTCCCTGTGTTAGAAAGTGTTAGAAAGTAGCCCTTAGTATCAAGCCTCTATCTGAAACTTCCATTATTCCCTCAGAGCATTCCAAATTAATGAGATTTGTATCAAACCCTGAATTGGTATGAGATTCGTATCAAACCCTGAAAAACACACTCCTAATTTCTAAAACATGCAAATCAAAACTACAACTCAGCGGTACACTATTGGTATGTGATCCCCCCCAATAATCAGTCATATCACTTCACAGATGTGTAGCTTTCAACAGCAAGATGAAAATCTGGCTATCTTAGCATGTAACCTTCCTGGCACCAATTATAGCACTTTTTATTACAATACATAGAGCACAGATATCTGATAACTTGTAAAATGACAAGTGGTTATCATTTCAAACTTAAACTCGCTGACCTGGCATCCAGGCAAATGACCTCATTTTTAACAACGCAAAATCAAACAAATCATATATATTTGCTTCCAAATCCTGAGCAATAAGGAGAGCTCACTTAATCAAAGCATATTTTGGTAAGAATAGAACTAAAGATTTCCATTCCAATTTTTAATACTCTCAGCTAAACTTCATTAGAGTATAGTTCTATCAAAACAACTGACTTGCTAACTTTTAACACTCTGTTCTAGTAAAATTCAAAGCCTTTAAATCAGTGTTTCTTAATATTTTTTTTAACTCATGCCCCCTTTTAGTAATATAAAAATCCCACTCTTCCCCTTCAAACCTGGCTCCTACATTATTTTATTTTAATTCTCAAATGGATTGAAATTTTGTTTTTGTTTTTTTACTTATAGTGTACATATTTTGGGAACACTTCTGTCCCCACTCAAGATCATCAAATGCCTGCCTCCCGCCCTGGATCACAAACACTGATTTAGATGTTTAAAAATCCCAGTTGGACTTTCTCCATACTTCTTCCAAGACTTCTATTAAAAATGTTGTTACTGCAATATGGCCTAACCAAAGACCATGAACACAAGATAAAATCAACAGTTTTCTTATGGACTTATTGGCCCAAATAAGACCAATGATAGCTGCCACACATAATCAACCTGTCTTCCATTGGAACTAGAACCTTGCCTCTGAAGCCACAGGTAGTTCTCTTTCCCAGTACTGTTACCTGAGACAAAACCTAAAGTCCTGTATGCAAACCAAACCAATCCTCCCACCCACTAAAGTTTTATTTGGAATGGACTCATAAACTCAAATATTTTACTTTCCCAGAGAAAGATCAGGGGAAAATATCACCAATACTTATTGCACCCTGGAAGTTTATGAAGCTAAGACCTCATAAAACTGATCAATTTGAAGTTCAAACTGTTAGGTGCAATGCTATCAAGATAAAATGCTACAAACACAATTATACTTTGGACCTTCTAAAATGTTTTTGTACTTTACCTCAAAAAATAATCTGGATAGCTAGGTGATTAACTTTCGCAGCTTAGTCATTTGCTTCATATCTTCTGTTTACACAAAAGGGGGTAAAGTGCACCCACATAGATACCAAGACTATGGGGTGGGGAGAGAAGCAAAAAGAATTGTTCCCCCTAGATGCTATGTTCATTTTTTCCAAATCGGCAACAGAAGTGCTCCAAGATGTTTCCTACTCAGAGTAGACCCACTGAAATCCATACTTAAGTGGTCTACTCCGAGTATGACTACCACTGGATATTAATTTTTTTGAGTTTGCAGACATCCTTAGTATTTCTGACCAAGCTTGAGTAAAACATCAGTAGCAATCTCCCCTGCAAATCACAGAATTTCAAACAAATGTCCACAAGTACTAACAGGGATACATAACAACTCAAGTAACTGATGACCTGAAATAATTGGAGCAGATATGTGCAACGATTGCTAGCCTTTAACCTTCTAGTATACTTTAACACTCGGACACAAACACCACCATTCAAGTACATAAAAAAGATACTAGAATGAAGAATAAATTTGTGTTCAGTTCCATCAGGCAGAGGAAGTAGTAAAATGATCTTCCAGAGACAGGCACCTAACTGATAGATGCTAATACAAACAAGCACACTCACAGCACATATTTCTCCTGAAGAAATATTCTAATGCATTACCTGCTGAAGCTTTTCCAAAAGGCAAGAAGCCATTCCTTTTTTTAGTCAACCAGTTAACTCTGACCCACCTTGTAACCAGTGACATCATTCAGATGTGCTTGTGGTTCTCTCCCAAGCCCTGGTCTATTTTTTGATACAGTTAAACAAATATGACAATGTACTACTGTTGGGCTACTGTTTAAGCAAGAGTTGTAAAGGCAGTTAAATTACAATTAAGAAAAGCAGGCACTGCTACAGAATTTTAAGGTGACTTGCTGAATTACAGTTAACATGATCAGCATCCTTCTTTTGCTGTCTAGGAAACTTAAAATTATCTGCTTCTACTGCCCTTGCTTTTTTACTCAGTAAATACTCAGTGTTTCAGGATAGTAAAGCTGCTATCCCTAAGTCACATTTAAGGGATAAACCTCAGTGAAAACGGTGGTATTAATTCCTAGTAAGAATGCATGACTGCATTGTAAGTTTAATAGTATGTAGTCCATCTCTGTGTATTAACAAAGCTACTGTCTTAACATGTTGGAATGATGTATTGTTATCTAAAGAAATCAAAGGAGAAAGCACATGGGATTTTTAAGACATTTAAATGAGCAGAAAACACTCTTACATGTTGAAATAAACCTGTATTTCACATGAAAGGAGCTTTGTCAGTTCAAACTGAAGACTGCATTATAAATAATATCCCCTTCCATATAACTGCACCTTTTCACCTGCTTCTATATTTTATAAAAAGTAAATGTGCTTTCCCTAGCACAGTGGTTCTCAACCCTAGCAGCTTATGAAGATTCCAAGGCAAGTTATTCTGTCATCTTCACAATCCAAAAGATTTAGGGGAATACTACCTTTTCAACAAGAGGTATCATGGCAATAGGGTATATTTTTCCTAACATCTGAGAACATTCTGCAAGGTAAATCGGTGACTATAATATTTACACACACACACACACACACACACACACACATCCTTATACACAATTCAGCACCAGGGGATAAACGGAGCAGGATCCTAGCTTCTTGGCCACACGGACACAATGTGGCTGAACATAGGAAAGCAAGGAGCAAACCGATTAGGGGGACGGGGAAGGAAGAATGACCTGTGTGCAAAAATCTGGAAATGGGAGAGGGGCGTGGTCACCCCGGAACAATCCTGCTCTGCCATCATCCCCAGCAAGGGTAACTTTCCCAAGCCGAATCACCCTCTGACCAGGGGCGGGAGAGGGGGGGCGTAATATATATATATAAATATATAGTCGGGCGAGGGGGGGGGGAGGAGGCCACCCGAAGCACTTCCTTCCCTGACCCATTCCGGCGGACACAGCCCAGCTCACCCCCTTCCCCCAAACAAAGGGCCCTCTTCTCTCCCCCGTCCTCCCACCTTCCCGAGAGGGGGCGGGGGAGGGAGGGAGAGGAGAGACCAGGCCGGAGTGGGCGGGGCGGAGCCTAGGCCGCGGTTGCTCCGTGAGGCGCGAGGAAGGGGGAGGGGTGAGAGGCGCGCGTGGAGCGGCTAATCCGCGCGGGAGGGAGCGAGCGAGGGCGCGCGCGCGGTCAGCCGGCGGGCGAACCGAGGAGTGGGTGGGGGAGGGGCTCAGCGCTCTCTCTCCCCTCACTGTGTGGAGAGAGATGAGGGGAAGTGGGGCGGAGGTGAAAAGAGGGGGGGGATCTCCACACAAGCGGTCCGCTTCCCCTCCACCCGCCCGCCCGCCCGGGCTCCGCTCCCCTCTCCGCCCCCCCATGGTCCCTCACCCACACAGCGCAGCAGCCGGTGTCGCCACGAGTCGAGCTGGTGGCGGAAGCCGCGCCTCTCGATGGAGCACTCCTGCCTCCCGCACGGACTCGCCATCTTCTGGGGGAGGGGCCCCGAGCCTCCGCCGCCGCCGCCGGCACGCCCGGCGTTTGCGTCACGCGCACGTCATCGCGCACGGCCACGCGGAGGCGGGGGGGGGGCCACCGCGGGCGCAGCTACCGCCCAAACCTGGCGGCGCGCGGAAATGCGGCGGGGGGAGGGGCGGGGAGGCGCGGACGGTTGGCCATGGCAACGGTGAAAGGCGCAGCAGGAACCGGGGGAAAGGGCTCTTCCTGGTCCGCGCGCCGGATCCTCTGGGGGACCCCTGGGCTCCGGGGGCGCAGAGAGGAAACGAGGAGAAGCAGAGAGTGGAGGTGCGCGTGGAGCCGAGTTCACGGGGCGGATCCAGGGTATCCATGGCTGTGTCTTCAACCCCACTGATGCCAGCGAGTCTGCCCTACGCATGAGTAACACGGGATCCAGCCCTCTGTGCAGTAATGCTTGGGTTGGCAACAGCTAGGCTGCCGTCCTAATCGCACTTAACACAGGGAGTCCGTCCTAGTGAAACCCAGGAGAGACTTGCTGCTGCCGAGTAAATCTGGCGATGGTTCTGCTATTAAAAGAGAGAAATCTGACATGAGAAGAATTTGTGTTTTATATCAAGTACCTTTATAAAAACCTGTGAAAGTCAGCATTCCTAGTGAAAACAAAAACCATGGTGTAAAAACCTCTGCTGGATCAGACCAAAGGCCAGCCTACTATCCCAGCAGCCTGTTCTCCCAGATGCTGATGATAAGCTTGCAAGTGGGACCTAAGTCCCACAGCATCCTCACCAGTTGCAATGCCCAGCAAGTGGTACAAAGAGGTATGCTGCCTGTGCCAGTGTTGTTGGAGCATAACCATCATGGCTAGGTGCAGGATGCCTCTGTAAACCAGTTGCTGGAAATCACATCTCTCTTGGATATCATGGATGTCATGGCGTCTTCATCAGGTTTAGCAACAATGTCTTTCATATTCTCACATCCCCTTGCTGCAGCCATCTCCCAAAGCGTTAACCATTGTGAGCCATGTTTATGGTGGCAACAAACTCACCATACCGATGCCATGCTGACACTGAGCATTTAACCCAATAAACTCTTAATCCTGCTTCCTCCTTTCCAGCTATAATTCTGCTCTTTTTGCAGCAACAGAAAAGGCCACACACACACACCAAACTACTAACAGAAGAAGAAATCATTTTGAATTTGACCCCACAAGTTTACCTGAGCCACATAGGACACCAGAAAATGGACAGGTGGGCATGGTTTGGGCCAAACTACTCGGACCAAATGTAGAGGCCTGGAAGGCATAACTAGGTCCATGGGCTGGAGGTTCCCCACCACTGAGAAAGCTGATATGTAGGAACCACATTGATTTTTAGCCCCACTCTTTTATATTGGTCTGCACACTATACAGTAGTTCAAAAGTCTGTTGTTAAAATATTTCCCACTTTCCTGAGTAGTGAGGAATTCCAGGAACAGCACTAACATATTTAGTTCCCTTTGAAGAGAGACAGCTAAAAAAAAACCTAAGGTGTTTTCAAAATAGTGCTTTAATTACAAATATACAAGCAGAGCATAAGTAGCAGACAGACACACATAAGGCAGAAGATTCCCCATAGAGCAGAGAAACCCCTGAGGCAGCAATTGCATTGCAGCCCCAAGCTAATTTTTCTGCTGCATCTTTCACTTACTCAAGCACAAATATCTGTCTTCTTAGCTGGAGGAGTGCCATCTTCTCCCAAGTGCTGACAGTGGATTACTCATACAAAAACCCAGGTTCTCAAGTCAACTATCAACCATCTCCTAACCGTAACTACCTACCTACCCATCCTATGAACTCACAATCCACTGAACAAATAAATTGGTCAGCCAGCAAATATAATACTGCCATAAGCTACTTGAAAGTTGATGGCTGCTGAGATAACTCAGTCAGGCTCTTATTTGCAGGGTTGTGGGTTCCATGTTGGGCTAAAAGATTCCTGCACTGCAGGAGGTTGGACTAGAGGACCCTCTTCAATTCTAGTATTCTATGCTGAGGTGTAGAAATACGCTTCTCTTGCTGTTCATGAAAGGCTTTGCAGCTGAGGCCAATTGTGTGCATACAATGAATAGTTAAAGTATTTAAGGACCCACACACGGAGATCCAGTTTCACCAAGTTTGTCCTGCACTGATTCAGTATTTCTGTTTTTATTTTCTGTTTTAATGTGAACAACCTTAGGAGGGTTTTCCTGAAAGGCAGCATACAAATTCTGAAATAAAATAAATCATATCACTTAGTATTTGTGTTATCTTTACCACTGCCAGAGAGATGTGGTATTTCATCCACTCACTGCATTAGTGAACAAAGCTTGATGAGCAATAAGTGTTCTCTAATGTGTGTTCAAACTGTATAGTTCAGTGCCTTCCACTATTCCCTTCATCTCCTGATTTCAGATTCCATAAAGATATTTGCCATTTTTGGCACACTTGTATCAGAAGGAACAGTATCATCTGCTATAATTTATTATTATTATTATTATTATTATTATTATTATTTATACCCCACCCATCTAGCTGGGTTGCCCCACCAACATCACCACATAATTCTGAGAAGCAAGTTGTAAGACAGGGATGGGAAAGCTGCGGCCCTCCAGATATTGCTGGACTGAAACTCCTATGAACATTGGCTGTGCTGGCTGGGGCTGATGGAAGTCTGAGTTCAGCAATACCTGGGGGAGCACAGCTTCCCCAGCCATGGTTAGGGTGATGCAACAATTTTTGTTTTGCACAAATTGAAATTGTACCTCATAACCATAAGATAAAATATAAACCTTCATATTAAAAAAAACCCAGATCCCTGTTCTAGAAAAAAATAGGGCTGCAGTCACACAAGGGAGTAAGCCCCCATTTAACATAGTGCAACTTACTTTCACATAAGCATGCATAGGATTGTATTATTGGTTAGGATTGCTACTGCATCTGTTAACTTCATATCATATGACATAGGCTTTCCCCACTGCTAAGGGGACGTATCTCAGTGATTGAAGACATTTTTGTATGTAGAACATCCCAGGTTTAATCACTGGCATCTTCCATTTTAAAAACCCACATTCGTATATCAAGGGTTAGGAAAGATCTCTGCTGAGAACTACTTCAAACCTCTTTCCAGATTTGTTCCATCATCAAATCTGACAAAGTAGAGCCCCTCCTTTTAAGATGAATGTCCTTAATTTGGTCAGTGTTGTAGACTCAGTAAATTAATGTAACGTCCAAACTTGCTTTTCAGGTTTTCACATGCATGAGTCTTTAAAGAGAGCAGAGAGTTCATATCAAATAATATACTTGAGGTAGTCTGCATTTCTTTATCCAGTGGCTATCAGTCACCCAGAAAGAGTGGCAGCACCCATATGAAGTATTTCACCTGTATGAACATTTTTGTATGAAGTGGGTTTTAGTCCACAAAACTTTATGTGATAATAAATTTGTTAATCTTCAAGGTGCCACAATGTTGTTGTTTGTTTATTTATTATTTATTGTTTATTTTTTAATTTCTATTTTGTATTTTAGTATTGTATTTTGTATTTTCAGCAAAGCAATGCCACACATATATTTCGTGAAGTAGATTGTTGACTAATGGCTCAGGCATGGTGACCAATGTTTCCCTAAGGAGAACTAATGGTTAGAGAATGGTTTCTTGATCATCCCTCAATTTTTTTTAAAGCAGTTTTTGGAGGATGACTAATCCCTCCCCAGCTAAGCATGGGTCTTAAAGTTTGTGGGTGGGAAAACTGTGGTTTAAAGAGCAGCGAGAAAGAGGCAGCGCATGAGACAGTGATGGAATCAAAGAAAGAGAGATTAACTGGAGGCTGCAAAGCACCTTGGGGGTAGAGGCACATCTCTCTGGGGTGTTGATGTGGGACAGTGAATCTACTGCCTTCTGTGACTATTGGACTGCTTACCTCTACATGTAACTGCTTGCATAACTATATCAAATATTACAATAATACCATCAGTCTCCAGAGCTCTCTCCTGCAAAAGGAAGCTAAAACCCTGGTAGCATTACCCTTTGACAGCTGGGGAAATGAGAAATACACATCAGTATTATAGCTCCAATTTCTTCTGCTTCATCTTCATATTTAATGGCATCTCCAGCCAAGTTGCTCGCTAGATGTTTGGGGCTCCTATGATCGGCATGCTGAATATGCCATTCCCTTGCTTGTGCCATCCAAGGACAAATGGAGCAGAGTTCCTTCTGGCAGAAAGGAAAGAAGCGAGCTCCCTTCTGTTCTCTGCCAAGTGACCATGGTCAGTCAGGTCTTCCCTCTTGCCACTAGCCTTCCCAGAAGGGACAAGATGTAACCTTTCAATAGCCTTGTGTTCTCTGGCCAATGGCAGAAATATCAAAGCAACTTCCCCATGATCTAGGACACCATACTGAAGGTATCTGTTGTTCCTCATTAAAACCAATAGCACAGCAAAAAAGCCAGTAATGGAGAAGTGAGCAAAGGTTTTGACATGTGAGTTCAAGAACATAACCACCTCAGTGTGGTGCCCCATGACAGCAAACAGAGGACAATTTTGCTGCAAACCTGAGTACTGGCAACTCCTCATTCACGTGGGGGTTAGGTTTTGAGGCACTGCACAACTGTGAAATCACATATATTGGGAGCACCATTGAAAAAGCATGCAAACACCATAATCACTCCCATCAAACCTTCTTGCTCAAACTCCAACTCTCCACAGGCCTCAAAAGGTTGGTGCAAGGGCTCCTGCACTTGCAATGGCTTGTGGGATTGCTAAGCACTGTTTTTGTGCCGTTTTGCAGTTTACATGCTTTTTAGGGCCATTTTTGCCCCTTTGTGCCATTTCCAAGTTCACAGCGATGCATGCATGTGCCGTTGCACATGTATTGAATGTGCATCAATGGGAGTTGCCCGTACTGCAGTTCTAAAACATAAGCACATAGGTAGCACCATGAAGCCACTTTGTCGCTGAGCTTAGATGAGTGTGCACATCAATTATGTTAGGTGTCTTTTGAATAATTTTAACTCTGCTCTGGTTCTTCAGTTGCATTTTTGTCCTGTATTGGAATGGATATGTTAATATTGTTGAACATTGCCTCAAAACTTCATGGGAGGCGATATAAAAAATGTTTTAAATAAATAAATAAATAAAACAATGAGTGTAAGAATAGCAGAATACACTCAATCATGGTTGGAACAGTAACAGTGAGTTCCACAGGCTCATTTTCAGCTTGCAGTGCTCATGCTGAACACACAAACACTCCTTGGGCACCATATTGGGAGAGTGTTATGCCCAAACCAAACTTCCCAACCAGACCTCAATACTGTTAAAAGCAGAAAAGAGAAAGTCATTCTTTTGGTATTTATGTTATGGTTTGGGATCACTTGAGTTATTTGGAAGTACTGAGCTGTGAACTGAAGAGCACAGGATACAACACATGAAAATATGTTGAACCAAAGTGATATTCTAGACATTGCTTCAGTCTAATATACAGTGGATGCTCAGGTTGCGAACGTGATCTGTGCGGGATGCACGTTTGCAACCTGCAGTATCCGCAACCTGCAGCGGGGTGTCTGTGCACGTGCAGGTTGTGATTCGGTGCTTCTGCGCAAAGCACGATTTAGCGCTTCTGCACATGCGCAACCACTGAAACCTGGAAGCAACCCGTTCCAGTACTTCTGGGTTTCGGCGGTCCATAACCCAAAAAACCCGCAACCTGAAGTGTCTGTAACCCAAGGTATGACCGTACTTCACACAGGGCAACCTTCTAGTGATATGAATGTACAATTTGGGGTGGCTAAATTCAGCACCCCAGATTAGCATGGTTGGGCACCTGTCAACATAAGAACCAAACCCTAGGGGCTGAGGGGGCTTTGCCCCCCAGTAAAATATTTGAGGGGGCTGGCACCCCCCAAAAAAGTTGTTGGGCATTGCTATTCAGATAGTGTGCATACACTGCATCGTGTAATTGATTATGAGGGGCAGGGCTTACCTGGGCCCCCCAATATTTTTTTCAAGCTGGCCCCCCTGCCTGTCAAGATGCATTTCAGTACAAGGACCCAATCACAAGCCACCTGCTGCACCTACTGCTGCCTCTGGCTCACTCTCTTGCCCTTTCCCTCTGTCTTAGACGGAAGGATGCAGCTGCCAGTTTCTCATTTGGCAGCCCTCTCTGTGGCATGGGAGCAGCTGGTGATAATGGCAGCAAGGGTGAAGTGGGCCCAACACTGAGTGGGGTGACAAAGGGTGAGCCCACACCGGCTTCACAACACAGAGCCTGCAACAAGGGATCACCTAAAACCTATTTAAAGCTTGAGTGCTCAAATGCAGGTTATTCAATCAGCATTTGTAATGACATATAAATGAGAGGCTTGAACACTGAAATATCTGTACAATGACAAGCTGACTTTAAAATTGCTACCTGTTGAACTCCTGGCTGGGCCACATCTTCCTCTGTTCAGAAGGCCTCAGAGCTTCACAGCAGGATGCCTGTTAACATCATAGGTGTCTACCCCATTTTTCTCAGAAAGTTACATCCTAAGCAGCTTACAAAGTATCTAAAAGCACATCATAATTTCCATGGCACTTTGAAATTGATGGATACATACTGGGTTTAGGCAACTGTTATTCTTAGTTACACAGACATCAAAGCAAAGCTTGGAAGGCGGATTTTATTTCTGACATCTGTATGGTGCCTCCCGACTTCAGGTTCTCTGGGCATATTTCATACCTTCACAGAAACAGCTGCTTCTCTTGCTCTCCAGCACTATCTCAGAACAACAAAACTAAAGAAGCACATGTCAGTGCAACTGAACTGTTGAAAAGTTGCTGTATCCCCTGCAAGCTAACACAGCACTGTATCCTAAAGCTTTAGGTTTTTTATATTTGATTTGGTAAGAGATTATATCAGCCACAATGCCTTCCAGGTCAGCATCTAAGAAGAGATTTACTACCAAAAACACTTGGTCCGCCCAAATTGTTTAATTTCAGCCAGCAAGTAATTTATGCATTGTAGCAAAAACCAACCAACCAACCAACCAACCAACCAACCAACCCAGGAACCAGTTTTCCCCTAACAAGTCCTTTCACACACCAATGAAGCTTCAGGGCATGTCTAGGGTACAGCTACAATGGCACAGACATATAGTGTGAGACAGTGAGATGCTTGTTCTGGCATATAGTTCTGTTTAAGATTCGTGTTGCATCTGTACCTCTGAACTGTAAAATGGAGAAGGAACTTCAGATAAGAAACTAGGAAGCAGCTTCAGCCTCATGCTTTAAAGTTTCAGCTTTAAAGTCCTATACTGGCTTACTCAAACCTTTTCACCCCAAGTTGCATTACTGATTAACTGCTGTTTTACACTCCCTTTCATACTCGCTACAATTTTTAAGCAGTGCCTTGGACCTTTGGAAGTGGCAAAGTTCACACCACGAACAACAAAGGGAAACAAGTGCAATCCTGCAAGAGGAACAATGCTCCAGGCACATAATTAGCCATATTTCTCCATCGTGCAGACCCCCAATGACAAGTGTCCAAGAAATCTTGAGACTTGAATTCCAGGTTTGTTGTCTTTAAAGCATTTCCACCTTGTGACTTCCAGGTAAATGTGCCCTAGCTGAGAGCCCATGCTGCAGGAGATCTAGGAAAAATATAGAGCTGGTAGCCAGGCCAAATTAAAAAGCAGCGGTGCCAAGGCATAGGATCAGGAAAGAGGACTCTGTTCTTAAGTGAGGAGTTTGTGGAGCAAACATGTAGAGAGCAAGCAGATGGGACATACGGACTTTACTTTGTATTATCAAACTGCTTATGAGTAGTAAGTCTAGACAAATGTGTGGTTTCTTAACAGGCACTGCAAGGAGGAGCTGAAGAAACAGCAGCACCCGATGGCTTTTTCTATTTGGCTTCAGAGAAACCTTCACCACATGGGTTTGGAAGATCTGGAAGGCAACTCCTATCAGCTCCAGGGTGCCTGGCCAGTTGTCTGGGCTGATGGGAGCTGGAGCCCAAAATGTCTGGAAAGCACCATGTTGAGGAAGGCTGCTCCCAAGGATGGATTCTGCTTCAGAGGCACTTGTTTCCTGGAAGGACTCTTATTTTGAGGTTAGAGGAAAATCAGCTTGCCAAAATGATAAGAGACAGAATGTACTAATAGTTTGAGAGAACCAGAGGGCACACATTAAGTTTTATCAAGCTGTGGCTGTTATAGAAGGTAGTGCAAATGGGAGAATCTCAGTGTCATTATGGGAAGATATACTAGATACCGCGCCTAAGAAAGCCACAGGCACTTGCTCTCCTACAGGCCCCAAGCTGCAGCTTCCACACCAAATTGTCTGATGACATTACTGATCAGGCAAGTTGTAGCAGATATGGCACTCTCTCATGGATTCTCTTGTATCCTATCTGCTAATACTGAAGTCTCATGTAGTGTCCTTGCTGCTAAGCAGGAGAATGGGAGTTGGTGTCAGCTGCAGCGATTCTGCAACCCTAAGACTACTTCCTTCCCAGGGGAAAAAACCACCCCTTGAAGAACAGCCTGAGTGTAAGAAAGGATTTCCACACCTTCAATGCAAACATCTCTACCACATTTGCTACATCTGTTTCAGTGATGCAGGATAAGCAGGAAAAGCATGTGTCAAATACAGTCATACCTTGGAAGTCAAACAGAATCCATTCTGGAAGTCTGTTCAACTTCCAAAGCATTCGAAAACCAAAGCGCAGCTTCTCATTGGCTGCAGAAGCCCCATAGGATGTTTGGCTTTCAAAAGAACGTTTGAAAACAGGAACAGTCACTTCCGGGTTTCAATTGTTCGGGAGCCAAAACGTTCGAGAATTAGGCTGTTCAAAAACCAAGGTACAACTGTACATAGAAATGCTAGCAGATGTTGTGTCCAATGAGAACTGAGTATACTCAGTGCTGGCTGACTGAAGGTGGGGGGGGGGCAGAGGAAATGGCATAGTGTCTGGAAGAGAGCGTGTCTGACTGGCTCCCCGAGGTGGGGCACTCCAAATTGCAACCTTTTCCTAGAGATCCCACTTCTACTTTGATACTGTGGGTTCCTGAATTCTCAGTCCAGGCACCAGAGGGCACCACCTATTTCAAGAATGGATTCACAAACATTACGCCGTGTAGTCATAGTGAAGAGGAACTTGCCCAAAAGCAAGCCTGCATCCTAGTTGCTGGCAACTGACACGGAGTTTGCAAATAGAATGTGACTGTGTTTGCAATCATCAGGGAAAATTTTTACCTCTAAAACTGCATCCTGAAAAAGCTGCTCGGAGCTGTTGAAAAATTAGCTGTGTAGCTGGAAGTCTATGTTTACTGCATATCTTCCCAAGCTGCAGGATAGTGTGTAGATAAAATAAATTCTATGGGGGATTTTATGCCTTGGTCTAAAAACTTCCCTAACAGATTCCAGTTGATGTTGCAGATTATGTTTTCTAAACCCTCTCTGCAGTGTCATTTCAAGGAAGTGGGCAACCATACGTATATAAGCAGGGGGTAGACACTCTCTTCCTGAGAACATGACCTAGCACAGCTCCCTAGGGGGAGACGGAACCAGTGCAAAGATGCCCCCTGCAGAACCCACAAAGTACAGAATACAGCAGCCTAGGTTGGAGTCAGCTGGTAATCCTGCCAGGATCTTCTGAATGGCATCTTATTCTCCATGCAAAGCAATGACTACATAAAAATCTCCTAGCTTGTATGGCTTGAGTGATGCATGGCACCAATCTCCAAGGAAATAGTTCAGAGAACAACTAGTGCTTTTAATGTTATTCTGTTCCGGCTTCAGCAATTATGCTATTTATTGACTGATTTATGTACAGTGCCATCCAGTGGTGTATGAGGCCACTTGCTCCAACTTGCTAAAATAGATCCATCTCCCACACAGCTTCTCTGATCAGCTACTTGAAACATTCAGGTAGGACTTGAAACATTCAGGATGCTTGCTTTTGCCTTATTGCCAAGCAGCTAAGGCAGAAAGCACTGTGGCAGCAGGTTTTGGGGGTTCCCCATGCTGCCCTTGTGCTTCTGCCCCTTTCTTCTATCTCCATCTCCATTCCCACGTCTCACACTAATTCTCTCCTCAGGGTATTAATTTCCTATAGAATACCCGTTTTCTTTAATGTCTGCTTAAGTTGTATTGGCATAGATTTCTGACCAGAATTCACAGGCCCTTAAATCAAGCACCATGCTAGCCTATTACTTGGGCCTGTGCACAGCCACACGGAGGTGCAGGTCTGATGGAAGACTGCTGGAATGTGTGCTGCTTGCACTTGAGCTAAGACCACGTTCCTACTGCAATTCAGCAAGAAACCTGAAGGATACTATATTGGGCACAGAATCTAGTTTCCAGTGAGCCTCAACTATCAATTTTTTTTAAAAGAAAGAAAAAAGAGGCAGGTTTCTAATCCTTACAGCTTGAAAATTTTGTTTGAATTTCAGCAGGCAATGCCTACTGAGATCTCAAATATCAGGTGTTGCTAGACAAGATTCTTAGTAATCGGGGCTTTGTAATTCCTTGCTCCTATCAACAGCTAGAAAAAGGGGTGTATCCAAAGTAATGCCAAGTAACAGACCTTTCCCATCCCTGCATGCCTCACTGAATCTGTCCTGGCTTTCTCCCCACCAACCCTCCAGAGATTTTGGAGAGGGCACAGGGCAGGCATGAGTGAAGGGCAAGTTCCATTGTGCAAGCTTAAATCCATGCAGCACATTAGCTAGATACCTCCCTAAGTGATTGCCTTGGTACATCATCATCATCGTCATAGCAGTAATAATAATAATTATTATTCCTACTGTGGACTTGCAACTCTAGAAAAGGGGAGAACAAGTCTGCAGGGTTTGTTGTAGAAATATACCATAGGCAGAGCAAACAGAGAAGGGGTGTGGCAGCACAGGAGACGTTCTGGGTGAGCAAGAGAACAAAACCAGCCCACCCAACCCCACAGGAGCTGAAACACGTTAACTATTGGCCATTCAGAACTGTGGTGAGCCTACATTCTTTATAGCCCTGGTGAATGTAGACTGGGAGAAACTAGACAACAAGCAGCTTCTGCAGCCCCACCCACAGCCACCTTACAGCCCACCTGTGGCTACCACAGGTCATTAAGACAACAGCACATCCTAACTTTGTGTGACACCCAAGGTGACCCCTTCGGACCTTGATCAGATGAGCTTGATTTCACCACCTGTATGAAAATCCCTGAGGCCTTGTACCTTGCCTCCTCCAATCCTGCTGTGACAGATACAGACAGACAAAAAGTAGGAGACTGGGAAGATCTATGATTAGAGTTTATTGTCTGCATAGTGATTAAGTGGACTGAAGGCGGTTGATGTTGTTTTTCCATTCCTGTCCCCACTGTTAGAGAAAGTGTCCTTCCCCTTAAATAGTCCCTAGAAAAACAGCCAGGATAAAAATTGTTTATGGGATTTTTTTTCTGTTATATTTCATTACAAAACCACGCTGGACATAGCAGCTAGGCCTAAGGGGCACCTGCCCCTGCAGCCAATCTGAGGTAAGGCTGGTGTAGGCAGATGCCTACCGGGCAACGTGAGCCCGAGAGAGCCAGCGTTACCTCTGCAGACTCCGCTGAGCCTGCTTCAATAAGGTGTCGAAGTCAAGGGAGTCAAATTTGCTCCTCGCGGGAGCAGGCTCAAAGTCATCTCGGTTTGAGTCTGAAAAACACAAAGACAGTCACCGGTGAGTCAACTAGAATTAGCAATCAGAAAAGTGCACTGGAATGGAAAGGCTGACTAGGCCTCTAGCCACCTCTACACTCCCCCTAGACTGTTTGCCCCCCAAAAACTCTGGAATCAATTATTCCGAACTCTTCTCTCTCTCCCACCTTCTCTATCAGACATAGTTCATGAATATATGGGGGTGTTACTATTATGTTATCCATTTTGTGTTTTTATGTTGAAAACCACCCTGTGATCTTTGGATGAAGGGTGGTATATAAATTTAATACATAATAGGGAAAAATCAGTGCCAAGCTAGCTGAACCTCAACTGACAACTCCATTACCCAAGATACTTAAGACCAAGCTTCCTTTGCTGTGTTGAGAGACACCTCAGTGCAGGACTGACACCACAAGAATCATGAGACCAGCAAAATAAAGTTTAAGCAGGGGGCTAACCTCCTGCACAAAGAAAGTTCCAAGAACATGGATACTCATGGCAACTGTGTTTAACCCAAGCTCACAGTCACCTCCATGGACTCACCCAAGTCGGCGTAGTTTCTTTTGCAGAACTGCCGGCGTCCTCCAAAGCACAAGTCAAAGGGCTGCTCATCAGGGCGTTGCAGTGAATGCCCACCGTCTATGGCAGCAAAGGCATCTTCAGCATAGCGGTACGTCACAAAGCCATAGTTATCCCTGCCAGATAGGAAGGACAAGGAATTACAAGGAATTACAGCTGGGACCAGCCAGGGGGAAAGCGAAGGGCCAGAATCAAACACCCCATCCTCTTCCCCCCTCTTCCCATTAGCTCCATGCAGCAACGGAGGTTGCCCAAAGGAAGGCTTGATCCCCTCTTACCCCTGCTCCCGGAAGTGCAGGGTGCATTCCTCAATGATCCCAAACACAGAGAAACGGTGTCGTAGTTCTGAACGAGTCATCCGGCTGGGGATCTTCCCAATGAAGACAACACGCCGTTCTTCCTATGCACATAATTGAGGGAGAGAAGGAGCATAACTCAGCCACAGTTCTATCAAGCAATCATCTTCCTCCTGCCAATCCACTTGCCCCAACAAGAACACTCACCACAAACTCATTTTTAAATATAGATCCCCCTGCTTACTTGTGCGAACCACTGATGGGGAACTCATGGTCCTTCAGGATGCTAATAGAATATACATTCCAGCATCAGTAAGTACTGCCCACCCAAGAGCAAAAATCTGGAGGGCCACAGGCTTCCAAAACTTGTTCTAACCCTTTCCATGGTGCCTTTGTGGATCACTAAGAGGAGGGCAACAGCTTCTCTGGAAAGAGTCGGAGAATTTTGGGACGGCCTCACGTTCACTCTCTATGTGGCGAATGTGTTCATGTGCTCTACGCATGAACTTCCCCACTGAACAGAAGTCATGAGCCAGTTTAGCTGCTATGCAAATACCCACAACTATTACCTTTGTTCATGCAAATCAACTTCAACTTCTAACAGAAAGTGCCCCAGGACCAAGACCTCACTTGGAAGTTTGCCTAAAGGGCTAAGACATTGTCAGGATTTCCTCAAGGGAAGGGGAAAAGCCCAAGTAGGTGCACGTTCCCAAGGTAACTCAACCGTATGTGTACCATATCCAGGGAAAACCAAATTCGGCAACCAGCATGCTTTTTTGCTGAGTGCATCTGTTTTTATTTTTTCCTCTCTTTTTTTTGCAACTCTTGTTGTGTATTTGCCTATCTCAACAAGGACAAAGACTCTGAAAAACATACCAAGCCTAAACCAGCCACCTCTATGGCTTCTGAGATTTCAGCAAGCATGGCCCACATACTGTCAAGGTCATCTCTGCAGCTCAAGAAGTAGCTACTTGCTTTTTTTTTTTTTTTTTAAGCAATTGCTTGCTCAAAAACTGCACTTCTGCACTGTATTAGCACTTTGGCAGTGAGGAAAGTTTACTGTCACTTAAACAGGCCAGCCTCTCCTTGTCCTTGGATCAATGGAAAAAGCAGAGCTGCCTGGTTGTGGGAAAAACAGCCGAATAGCATTAGGTTGAAGAAAGCCTATCAATTCCAGAGCAGGAAAGCGACACATGGTCTTACAATGACCATGATTAAGGCAGCCCCCCATGGTGTAGCTGTCCTTCCTAGAGCACTGGTATGTCCCAGAAATACTCACTATTGCACGGTCTTTGTATCCGTTTTTCTGCCTTTGGTAACGCTCACGGGAGCTGCTGGTATTGTATCTGTATGGTTTTTTTAAAAAAAAAGAAGTCAAAGCAAAGCAGAGTGAAAAAAGTGAAATGGTAGCAGAAAGGTAGGAGCAGCTTGATTCTTCACTTAGGGAGATACAGCCATCATCTCCTGGTTTTAGCTCTTAGAGAAGAATGAGATGTTCCAGGCTGCAAGCAGCTTCCAAGGAAGAGAGGGGGTGGGGGAGAGAGAGAGAGAGAAGTACAGACACAGTTGGGGTCCACTCACGTGGCTGGTCAGTATAAAGCTAAACACCCCACTCTTTGTGAATGTGTGTGTGGGGGAGTGCCACACAAAGAAACCCGCAAGCTGTTTATCAGGTGACAACTAACTTGTGAAAGTTGGCGCAGTGGCAAGAATACAGGCAAGACCTGGAGAACCTAGGCTGCAGTTCAGCTACAAAACTCAATGCAAAAGTCACAGCACACTTTACTGCACACGAGGCAAAAAACACACCTCTGAGCCCCTTGGAGGAAGGGCAGAATACTAAGGTGCCGAATACGTGGGAAGGGTTCAAGGTTTCAAGAAAGGAGAATGCAAAGCTACTTCACAAGGAAAACCCATATGGTGACTAAAAAAGGCACAAAAATGTATTTTAAGCATTTCACATGTGGGGAAACAGAGAGGGAGCCCAAACTGAACATAAAATATTTGACTTTACTTTCATATTAGAATTGCTGGGGTGGTGGAGGAGAAAGGGGAAGAAGACAGATTATCTATCCCACTGTTCAAGAGAACAAACACAAGTGCTGCATGTCTCACCTCTTCCTTCTGTGCAGAGAGGGGGAGCAGGAGGATGATCTTGAGATGTAGGAGGAACACGAAGAAGACCGGGACCTGCCCCTCGACCGACTCCAGGAGCTCCCACAGGAAGAGGAGCTGGAACTTCGAGAATGGTACCTGGAGTGAAGGAGGGAGCCCAGTGAGACCAGCGGCTGCACACACTGTGTGTCCATGGGAGTGCATGCAAACACACACAGGAGCTCCCCTGAGTGACCTTCAGCTTGTGCAACCAACCTGCTTGCCATGGAGCTTCAGCATGCCTTCTCTCCCAGGGAACAAGGGGTTCCCAAGACTTTGTGGCAGAGCAGACTGTGACACCTACTTGCATTTGTAGAGGTCTATCCAAAATATACGCGGGTGGCGCTGTGGGTAAAACCTCAGTGCCTAGGACTTGCCGATCGCATGGTCCGCGGTTCGAATCCCCGCGGCGGGGTGAGCTCCCGTCTTTCGGTCCCAGCTCCTGCCCACCTAGCAGTTCGAAAGCACCCTTAAGTGCAAGTAGATAAATAGGTACCGCTTTATAGCAGGAAGGTAAACGGCGTTTCCGTGTGCTGCGCTGGTGCTGGCTCGCCAGAGCAGCTTCGTCATGCTGGCCACGTGACCCGGAAGTGTCTCCGGACAGCGCTGGCCCCCGGCCTCTTAAGTGAGATGGGCGCACAACCCTAGAGTCGGTCACGACTGGCCCGTACGGGCAGGGGTACCTTTACCTTTACCTATCCAAAATATATTGGTCAAATGTTCACCCTAAGACATACCCAAGACGCTTTAACACTTGTTCTGTAAGGGACTGGAGCTTAATAATAGGTCATTTGCATTACGTGCAGAAGATACCCAGTGAAATTCCTAGCATCTAAAGTAAAAAGAAATCAGTTAACAGGAGATGGGGAGAGCTACCCTGGAGAGCTACTGTCAAGAATAGACAATGCTGATCTAGATGGATGAACAGGAAGCTGCCATATACCAGGTAAGACTATGTTCAAGAAGTAACTTAATGCTAACAGTAGAAGTGCAGGATATGCACAGTGGAGTTAATTAAGGGCTGCATAGCCATTTCTATCTCCCCACTACAAGAAATACCAGAAGTACGGCAGACGTTCAGGCCGCTGTATTCCACCACAAATCGGGACAAAGGTCAGTTTCTGTGCTTGGTATGCATTGTGCAAGTTAAGGCTTCATTTACATCAACAGGTCTTAATACAGTGGTACCTTGGGTTACAGACGCTTCAGGTTATGCGTTTTAGGGTTGCGCACTGCACCGAACCCGGAAGTACCAGAACAGATTACTTCCGGGTTTCGGTGCTCGCACATGTGCAGAACCACTAAATCACACTTTGCACATGCGCAGAAGCGCCAAATCGCAACCCATGCGTGCGCAGACGCAGCACTGCGGGTTGAGAACCCTGTGGGTTGTGAACGTGCCTCCCGCACTGATCACGTTTGCAACCCGAGGTTCTCCCGTAATTCACCTGATCAAAATTTCTCCAGAGAGAGGCAGTTAAGAAGATAGTGCAACTTGCGCATCCGTTAGCAATGGACTGTTGCCACCTATGCCATTGTGTGGCTAACCTTCCACTCCAAGGGTCCTGAACACTGGGTTTTTGGAAATAATTGAAATCTTAGGCCTTAATCAGCATCAGCATCCATGTGCATTCCACAGTACCATCAAGTGAATAGACCAGCTGAGGGCTGGATATTGGCAGCTGCCTCAGGCAGCACAAGATGTCACTAGAAACAGAACAACAGAACTGATGGAAAGAGAAGCAGAGGTTTAATGGGCCCAGTTGAAAAGGTTCAGCAACCCACAGGCTGCCATTCCTAGGATGGGAAGAGTCCTCATGGTGACTATATGTCACATGCAAACTGAATTAGCCTGTGGCCCCTCCGTATAAGGTGCATACCAAATTCACCAAGAAGGGTATCCAACTAACTAACAAAAGGATTTCCATTTAATCAAATATGCTCCAGAAGGCTGGCAGAACCTCCAAAAATAAAATTAGGGGCATGGGGAGGCAGGGAGAAAGTCCTGTTGTGCAAACAGAAATCCCTGTGCTAACGGGACCGTGACTTAGCCCTGCTTTGGATTCAACCCAAAGGGACAGAAAGGGATGCTAGATACACACTCATTAGAGCAGTTTGCAAAGCTATCCTCCAAGTAACAAGATACAAGTTGAGAAGTTCAGTCCAAAAGCTCTTCTGGAAGAGAACCAGAACAGGCGTGTAAAGATAAAGGTAACGGACATCTGGACGGTTAAGTCCAGTCAAATTTGACTATGGGGTTTTTTCCAGGTCATGTGACCAGCATGACACTTCTGGCACAATGGAATTTACCTTCCCTATTGGTACCTATTTATCTACTTACGTTATACAGTACATACATAGGCAGGTATACTGTAGATAAGAGCCTAAGACTCGCTAAGCTAGGAAAGGACCCAGCTATCCACAAGGCTAGCAAAGAGTGCAGTGGGCTTCCTCTTGGGCAACGTAGACTCCATTGCTGCTCATGTGCATGCAAAACACCCCAAGCCACCCCACAGCACTCCACACCCATAACTTTCATCCACAACAGCTGCTGAGGGAAAAGGCCCATAAAACCTTTGTGTCACGCAAGGGCAATTTGACACTCGGGGTGCCGAGTCTTGGCAAGAGGAAAGAGACTTCATCCCTCACCTTCGCCAGCGCTTTGCTGGGGGAGACCGAGAGCGTGACCGAGAAGAGGACGCCGAGGAAGAGGAAGAGGAGGAGCAGGAGGATGAAGAGTCACTGTTGTCACTGTCTCCATCAGAGCTGGAGCTGAAGGATCGGCTGGCGCGAGTCCTGCTGGCGCGGGTCCGCCTGCCTCTCCAGGGCCCCTCTGGTGGACTGGCTGACTTCTGCCTGCCCCGGTAGCACCGCAAGGAGCGTTTGGAAGCCAGCCGCTTCTGCCGAACCTCTTGAGGCTGCTGCAACGTGGGTCCTTCTGCATCCCGGCAGGGGGACGCAGCCGGAGATAACAGTACGGAGCACGGATCGTCGCTGCCCGTGGACCTAGGTGTGCTAGTCCGGTGGTCCAGGGGCTCCTTTTGTGAGCTGGTGGGGCTGCTGTCCAACAGCGGTGACTCTGATGTGTCAGGGTTCGAGCTGGCTGCAACAGGAATAGAGGCTCTGAGCTGCTCCCGCCCAACATCTCTGGGATTCTGGCAGGCAGCCGCCGTGCCAAGGGAGCCAGCAGGGTCCAGTCTGACAGCAGCAGGGAGCTGGCTCGCAACAGGGGGCTGATCTGGCACTTCTTTTGCCACGGCTTTGATGGGCTTTATTGTTATGTCAGAGTTTTGCTTGACGTTCCACCGGGCACCTCCCTTTGGCTGAGCAGCACCAAGCTGACAGTAGTCATGCTCACCGGAGCCGACGTGAACGGGGGCTGCAGCTTTCCGGTGAGGCTTGCTCAGGGATTTCGTGAGCCTGACGCCTTTGGTGGAGCCAGCCTTACCCAACAGGGAGACGGCCGCCAGGGGTTTCCAGAGCTGGTGGGGCGGAGTGGCTGGAGGCGTCAGTCCTGCAGAGAGACAGAGAGCCCTCAGGAGATGGAAGAGAAACCCATGTGCACAGCACCCCTCCCACCCTCAAAAAACGTGGTCCAGGCAACTGGCCTTGTTGCCCCTCCTATGGGGGATGTAAAAGTTTTTGCCCCCAGCAATAGCCCAAACCAGCTCAATTTTGCAACTTTCTCCCAGAAAAAATTAAGAAGTCTCCATCTTCTTGAATAGGCTATGCGGCGGGTAACCTTTTTTTTTTTGTAGCATTCCCTTCCGGGCAACCTTCCAGGGACCGTATCCCAGTGTTGGGCAGAGTCAGAGATATAAGTGGGAAGAGCAACTTTATGCAACTTTTACCACTGCACAGTGGGCTACTTTCTATTTACACACCCTTCTCTGCCCATCTGGACAAGCAATATACATTTTCAAAGTCTGAGGACACATTACAGCCAGAGCAAAATAGTTTGGGGTGTGAAACACAAGTCAGTAAGGACTGTTGCCTGGGCGGAGTTCCAAGGGCCACACAGAGAGGCCTGAAGGGCCACACTCTGCTTCCCCATGCTGTAAACTCTTCCTATTTTTCCTAGGTCTTTGAGTGAATTGGTTGCCCCCCCAGGCAGTTTACCTTTAATGTAAATTTCATGCCTTTGCATTTTGACGGCAATTTATAATTACTCAATTCTTTTTCTGCTTTTTAGCTTATGTCTTTTCATGTTTATGAAAAGGGTGTGTCACAGTTGCCCCATCTACCTTCCCAAAAGAGCACCCTTCCTCAGCATGAACAGGCCCCTCAGCAAGAGCTCAAAAGAGAATCTCAGGAATGCATTTTTGGGTGCTGAAGAGATGAGGCAAATTAGCTCTGCCCTTAGCACTCACTTCACCTCTACCCCACACCACTCCTGGAGAAAGAGCGTGTTGAATTTCCTGGCATTTCAGTCTCAGGGAACATCTCTCAGTACAGAAAGAGCTTAACTCTAAGAGCCTTCACCTGCAACATTGGTGAGCTCTGGCGCCTGAAGCCGGTCCACCATTTTCTTTTCCTGCTGTGCCTCAGAGCTGAAGGGGAGAGAGAGAGAAAAGCCTCTATTACACACAGAGTGTCCCACACAATCAGGAATCACCTAGTCAGCACATGGAGCACTGAAACACCGCACGCTTGGTACTCCTTAGCAGGTTATCATGCAACTTAGTCCAGGATGTGCGTGCTCTGAAAAGCAGGTCTCTTGCCACCAGTGCCTCCAGAAATGCAGTGCTATTTGTCAACCAAGCGGAAATAATTGTGGGTGGGAAGATACCTGGTTAGGATCAAGTTCTGTACTCACCCATTGTTCCCCAAAGTCACATTGTCCTTAGATTTTGCCATACTAGGAGCTTCCTTTTTGGCTAAAAAATAAAATAAAGCAAAGCATTATTCACAAGCATTTTTTCTGAGCACAAAACTTGCCTATCTTTTCTGGAGACCTAGGTTGTTTTCAATGAAAAACACATTCACCCAAGCCAGTGGGCGCATTTATTTTATTTTTACATTTATATCCCATCTTCCCCTTCCAGCAGCGCTAAGTAGCATACATGGTTCTCCCCTCCCCCATTTTATCCTCACAATAACCCTGTGAGGTAGGCCAGGCTGGGAAGCAGAAGCTGGCCCAAAGTCACCAGATGAGCCAGTGGGGAACTGAACTCTCATCTCCCGGCCAATACTCTTAGCCACTGTACCACACTGGCCCTCAGATAGCTCTCTTCGTTTCCACAAGAAGTTTGGTGCTTTGTGGAAAGAAAGTGCAAGGAAGCCTGGGATTGGCTGCCACCTTCATGTGATACACAAGGCAGTCAGGCATGTTTGTGTCAGCTTGCATTTCTTAGTAGAGAAAGTATTGATCTGATATGCAGAGATCTTTCCTATTCTGATTAATTCAAGAGGGTTCTGGAAGCTTCTCTGTGTGAAAGAAACAAGCAGAAGGTTCACGATGTTTGGGTTATTCCTTCAGAGAAGGCAGAGTATAGCTGGCTTAAACTGGTTCTGTTATCTCTTTTTTCAAAGTCATGCTGACTGTAATAGGAGGCCAGAAGGAGCCTCGGTTTCACTTTCTCTTTCTATCTCTTTTCCTTCTGATGTGGTGTTCTGTATACAGTCGTACCTTGGTTGTCAAACAGAATCCGTTCCAGAAGTCCATTCGACTTCCAAAATGTTCGACAACCAAGGCGCGGCTTCCAATTGGCTGCAGGAACTTCCTGCACGCAATCGGAAGCTGTGGAAGCCACACTGGCCTTTCGGCTTCCAAAGGACATTTGCAAACTGGAACACTCACTTCTGGGTTTGCAGTATCCGGGAGCCAAAACGTACAAGTCACAAGGCGTTCGGGATCCAAGGTATGGCTGTATAGTGTTAAGGTTTAGACTTATTAAAGTTGTTGTAACTTTAAGTTAAGTCTGCTGCAACTGGATTTCTTATGGACAGTGCCAGTCCTGAGTGTATTGGATTTGTGACCATTATGCTCATTTGCCTTCAGTAGCGGTAAAGCTCTGCTCAATGAAATACAATTGCCTCGGGGAATCCTGCAACATGTTTAAGTTTTTACTCTGCTAAGTATAGGTTGGAATCTGCTCTGGATCAATATGGAGTAGAATTTCAACGACAGTTTTGGGACAGGCGAAGAAGCTGGAGGAGTGAACAAGCCTGCTGGCACACTGGTCAACGTGCTGAGCTGCTTGTCCAAATTTCGCAACTCACCTTCTGTCTTTTCAAATTGCTCTAGCAGGCTGGACAAATCAGAGGCTTCAATTCCTGAGGGGAAAATGATAATATTAATGCATTGTGTACACTCGTTTGGGCTTCGTAACTTCTCAGAAGAAGCTTCACTGGGCGGCCGGAGAAGCAGGCTCCCCACAATTACCGCCTGGCCCTCTTTGCCAGCACCTTCAAAACACTGTCTTAAGAGCATGAGAGGGAGACAGACAAAATATGTAACTACTTAAGCATAAAACATGGAATGCAGTTGTTTGGAGCAAAAGAAAAAAAGGGGGGGTAAACAGGTTGCGAACATGTGATGAGCTAGAAAGAGGACTGTCCCCAGGCTTTAAAGCAGGGCTTCCCAAAGGGATTTTGACCTCCTGAAGTGAAGGGGTCAAGAAATACCATGGGGCAGAAATAGGAAAGGAAAATAAGTTTGCAAGATATAGTGCATAATTAGGAACTATTAGCCTCCAATGGATATGGGCTTCCTTTTCCATTGAGGAACCTCTAAGAAGAGGATCCCACCATACAGGTCTATGAGCCCACCAAGGGGACACCCTGATCTGCACCCCAAGTTCTGTGTCCATCACATGACTACCTGCCATGCCATTCTTGGGCCACAGATGCCATTTAACCCCCCCCAAACCTCAGCAGCACAGCCACTCACCAATTTCATTGATAAAGGCTTGAACAATGTCCTCTTTACAGCTGCGCTGTGCAATGTTGATGAGCGGTTGATACTTCCAAATATGGGTTGTTTTCTTGGAGAGCTGAGCAGTTTCATGCACCTTCTGGGGCACCAATGATGCTGGAGAAGTGGTTGCTGTTGGGGCAGCTTCCTCAGCACCCACCTCCGTTGCAGTTGGTGCTGGCAGCTTTTCTGGCACTGAGGCAGCAGGAAAGGAAGAACGTTCTTCTTGCGACCAGGAAGCAGGAGGCACCTCTTTGGCACCTGAAGCTGCAGTGGGTATACTCAAGGTCTTCTCCATATGGTCAGAGAGCACAGGGGCCTTCCCTGAAGGTTGTAGCACAACAGGAAAGGACAGCTCTTCTAAGGGCTTCGGGGCCTCCCTGACTTGCTGGGAAGGAGGTGCAGAATGGGGTTCCCCCAAAGACTGAGGGCTGGAGCCCTTCCTGGCACAATGAGTCAGTGCCGCTTCCCCTGAAGGCTCGATGACTGATGGAGAAGGCAGCTTCCCTTGAGCTACTTGCCTCCTTGGGTCAGACACTCTTCTGGGGTCAGCTTTGATGGCAGAAGGGACATGTGCCAGTGGGAGCTGTGTAGGCAGGCTTGGTTTCTCACTGGCTGCCAGGCTTTGCATTCTGAAGTGAGAGGGCTCTGGCATCAAGGCTGCATTCTGGGGACCAAGCACCCCTTCGGAACAAGATGGTGCAGGCAAACTGCCAGCCAGGCATCCCTGATCCCCGTAAGGGATGGGCAACATTGGATGGGGTACTGGCATGCCCGGCCAGTACAGTGGCTGTGGCGCCCACTCAACAGAGCTGTAAGGGGGGCCTGGGGCTAAAGGTGGCAAAGGAATGGGTGGGGGAGGCCAGGTCGGAGGGGGCACAGGAGGAACCATGTGGAAGACAGAAGGGCGGGCCTCAGCAGCAGGAAGTGAAGGTGGCAGGCTTTGGTAGGCGGCTGGCACAGGGGCAAAGGGAGGCCAGGGAGGCACAGGTGGTAGGAAAGCCCCTGAGGCTGGGGGCAGGAAAGGCGGAGGCAGCGTTGGAGGCACCTGAACCCCAACAGGGGGAAAGGCACAGACTGAGCTGGGCAGTGGGGATGCAGCAGGGAGAGATGTGGTAGGTGGTGGTGGAGGAGGAGGTGGAGGAGCAGGAACAGGGCTCATACAGCCATGCTGCAACGGAGGAGCCACTCTTGGTGCAGAATTTGGAGCTGGCAGGGATAGAGGCGGGGCACTTGCACTGCCAGCTGGGACAGGAGCAGCGGAGGAGCCAGTGGGCTTCTCAGGGTCCTTTGCCAGTCCAGACGAAGCAACTTTGGAAGGCAGCGGTGGGACCAAGCAAGGAAGCTCAGCCAATTCTGTGGGGAGTTCAGGGAGGCTGGGCCACTTGCTGGCACTCTGGTTCTCTGTGCCACTCCTAGAGCTCCCATCGCGAGGCTGGCGCTGCTGACGGCGCTGCCTGTATTCGCTCAGGCTGAGAGGCCTGGGCTTGGCTTCCTTTGGGGGACAGCCAGCATCCTCATTACCGGGAGGCTGCCTTTCAAAGTCTGCAGTACTGCTGGGGAGCTGCTGGGGAGCTTCTGGGCCAGCCACCTCATTCGCCAGCAGGACAGGCTCACTCGGCGCATCCCCCTCCTTGTGCTCAGCAAACCGCAGTTCCTTGTTGCATGGCACAAGTGGGGTTTGGGGCTCCAGTTCCTCCATCTCAATGTCCGATCTTTCCACTGTATGGGCTGACTGGTCTGAGAGCAACGTGCCCTGCTCTTCCCCTTCAGTTTTCTCCATCTCCTTCTCTGGCACAGGGTGGCTTGGCTTAGTCCCAGCCTGCTCTTCAGTACAGACAGGAATCGGCCCACAGCTTGTGGCCTCTTTGCGCCCCATTGTTTCCTTGTTCGATTTTCTCTTGGTGCACATCTGGTCCTTTGCCAAGGCACTGCGCTTTGCTTTTTTGTGTGCAGCTGAGCTAGGTTCAAATATATGATCTTGATCATCCATTGGGTCCTGAGCTTTTGCCCCTGGATGAGCATCTTCTACCCCTTCTATCCTGCCGACATCTTCAGCCCGCTTGTCCAGGTCAGGCTCTCCGTCCAGGCAGGCAGCCTTGGTGCTGTCATCAGGTGGTAATTTTTCCAGGGCAGGGTCCAGGAGTGCTGCCCCTTCATCCACATGGCTAGCTGTGCAGTTGTTCTCAGTTACGTCCTGGATCTCTGTCTCCATTCTCTGCAGGACCACAGGGATCTCCATGCTCTCTCCACTCTCAGGCACCACCTCCAAAACAAGTGGGCCGGCAAGGAGCTCCTCGGCAAGGGGCCGGTTGTTAGGACTCAGGCACACTGTGAAAGTGGGTATGCAGTAAGGGTGCATGGACCTCACCAGCTCACTGAGGGAGATGCTCTCCGGGGCAATGACACAGGGACCATCACTTGCAGGTGGGTTCGGTTCCGCCTCCTTCATCGCTGATGCTACAAGGGTCTCCTTCACACCTGCCCCCAAACCCTGCCTGCTGCTTGTTGCGGCCGCTTCCTCCTCCTCCTCTTCCTCCCCATCACTGCGCTGCAGCACAGGCAGATCTCGGTCCCTATGCCTAAACAGCACCCGCTTGGTACTGGGCTTCTTTGAAGCAGCCGAGTCGTTGTGACAACTTGGAGGCAGTCCCAAAGGGAGGCTGGCAGTGCTGGCTTCAATCTGGAGGGGAAGAGAGATTATGTAGTAAAGATCCTTGCAGGTACTGATGATTTTGGGAGGGGGGAGACGTGATTTCCGACTCCTTTGCTATCGCACCAAAGGATGCTTAATAAACTCTGACTTGAAAATAGAGAGATCCCCTGCTAGAATAACAGTGGTACCTCGGGTTCCAACGCTTCAGGTTACAGACTCCGCTAACCCGGAAGCAGTACCTCGGGTTAAGAACTTTACTTCAGGATGAGAACAGAAATCGCGCAGCGGAGGGAGGTCCCATTAGCTAAAGTGGTGCCTCGGGTTAAGAACAGCTTCAGGTTAAGAACGAACCTCCGGAACGAATTAAGTTCTTAACCAGAGGTACCACTGTTTATTAGTCTCTTAGGGTTGCCAGGTCATCACCCCAGGGGTGCTTTTACTTATTTAAAGCATTTTTAAATGCATTTGCGCCTTTCATAGCTATGTGAAAGACAGCAGCTAAGCAAGTGGCATTTCTTCCATTTCTGAAGTACTCTGGTTGCAGAGGTTGCCCTTACTCGGCTCTTGCTGATTTGGAACTCAGCTCCCCCTCTATGTAGCCCCCAGTCCAGGAGAGGCCATGCCAAAGAGGGCTTCATAAATAACCTTGATACAAGGCACAGATAGGTGCAGGGAAATATTAGTTTAATATTTAATTTCATATATTTTTTATACACTGCTTGATTGTAAGCCTCAAAGCCATTTGCAAGATAATGTAACAAACGGTAAACCAGAGAGATAAAAACTGGGTTGCCCACTGCACAACCCACCTATTTGGTTGGAATATCTCACCTTCTCTGTCACAATGGAGCAAAGTCTAGGCTCCTTTAAGTCCTCTATGGTGCGGAAGTCTTGCTCAGGGGGTGTCACGGACAAGCTGAGAAACCTCTGAAACTGACAGAAGGAGAGTAGTTTGGAAAGCAGAAGTAAATTCAACTAAATCTGAAAATGCCATGTGAAGCGCTCCCATTTTACCAGCAGAAGCTGAGCTTTGCAAGATAGCAGCCAATCCATGCTTGCCTGGGGTGCATAGATTGAGGAATCTTCTTCAAACCACATTTAGCATCTTTGCATGTTTCCACCCAATGGCAAGAGAGCCCTTTTAACACTACCTAGCCACCTCTTAATGCCACAACATGCGCACCAGAGGGCGCTCTGACCTTGCAGAGTTCACAGTGTGCTAGACCCATTACATTTGGATGCCAACTTTGAAGAGGGATCCTTGCCAGGATTTTCTGAATGCGTGTACTGATGCACATGCCTGCCAGGAAGAGGCAGCTAGCCTGGAGAAAATGATGTCACTATTGTCAATGTATAAGGCAAAAAAAAAAAAAAAAAGACATGACTGTCCAAAGAAACTTCATCATCAAATGCAGATTGAAATGAGATCACAGGTGAGAAAAGGGCCTCCAGAACTTCCATAAGGGTGATAAGCATGATCCTGGAACTGTGACACAACCCACAAGAAAACCAAATGCTAGCAGCCAAGAACAGGATGCTGTTGTGTGTATATAATGATGACAGCAATAAGCTTGGAAATCTTGGAGCTGAGTACCAAGCAAAGTATTAAGCAGCTTGGATGCTCAGCCTATGGGAGAAGTTTCAAGCTGAAGGAAGAGGAGGATGAGGTCATTCACATCCAAGTCTCCTCTCGGTGGAGAAAAAATATATACTTGTGAACTTAGAGATTAGATGAGACAAACTCTGCCAGGGTTCAATCAGCCTATGGTATTACAAAGAAAGGATGAAAGTTACATTAGCTTCTGTCAAACTGACATTTCATAATTAACCTTACCCGGGATGGGCTGCAATTTCAAAGGTGCTACACACTATTGTGGTAACCCCACAATTTTAACTGGCCACACAAGAGAAGGCAAGCAAAATCTTCTGTCCCATAAACCATGTCATACCGAAGAATTATCACGCTCTCTGGGTGATGTCAACAATTCAGAGTCAGGAATGGTATCAAAAGGAGAGAGAGACTCGTCATCGGTGCTATCCAGAATATCTGTGATTGCAGTCAAGAGGGAAAGCTCGTTCTCTACATCCATGCGGCCTTTTGTCTGTAAGGAGGGGAAAAACAAACCAAATTTGGAATAGACACTCAGTTCATATATGAAACTCAGGGATGGCCAATTTAGCTTTACCCAGGGAGAGTCCAAGGAAGGAAAGGAGCAACTCTCAAGCTCATTACCAACACAGGCTTAACTCACTGAAAGTTACATGGAAAACAAATCAAGTAAACAAGTTGTGGAGGTCAAGGAATGGAATGATAACAGAGGGTTGCTGTTAATGGCAAACAGCTCAGATCTGTAAGATGAAGGAGCATTACCAAGATAGCTTCACAACCAAATAAACACAGAATAGTTAGAACAATTGAAAATAGAATCCTTGCAGCTGGTTAACATTCCTCATACCATCCAAATAATGACTTCTGAAGCAGATGTGAGGAATTTAGATATTAGGCCAGCCAGCACATAGCCACTAAGAGTTTAAGGTCTATAAATCTTCCAGAGGATGTCTGAACTTTTGAGCTTCATTGCAGGCCCACACCAGTAGGTTGCTGGCTGGCTTTTGTCTCTCCATAGAACAGACCATACCTCAGTCAGACTGCTGAAATCCTCAATGATGGAGATGACGGAAGAGTCTAAGTAGTCCTGCATCGTTTCCAGGAACTCTCCTGCTTCAAGGATGGTTTCTGCATCCAGTGATGTCAAATGCAAATCCTCTGCCAATAAGTACTGGGGTGAAGGAGAAAAAGGAAGAACAGATGAGGGCACAGAAAGCTGCTTGGGAGACAATTTAAGTCAATTAAACATTACCTGCTAGGTGCAGGTTAGAGCCTTCCTAAAAGTTGACTGTCTGATATTAATGCCCTCCCCTCTATTTCAAACACTAGTCTAAACAATCGGGTATCCTTCAGCATGAAGGGTAGGATATATATCAATTTAATGAAAAAAAGGTACACACAAAAGGGATTTATTGCATGTGTGGCACAAGTACCAGTTCTGCAGTTCTAAGCAGTCAAGTGGGCACATATGGGGTGAAACACTCCTTCCAGTAGCCTTGTTCCAAACTGCTGAAGGCATGATATACTAACAGAAACTTACTATACATACATATAGTACAATAACATTGTTTTCTCAAGTGTTACAGAGCAGCTACTTGCAAGAAAAGCCTTAATGCCAATAAGGCTTACATTTTTGGTGTTGAGCTTCTTAAGAGGGAAGCAACACTGTATTTCTAAGGCAGAGAAGACCAACCATTCTGAAGTTTTGGAAAAACCTCCCAGGTGTGAAAAAACTCCCCCCCCCCCAGATCATATAGGGGAAACACATACTGGAAGAATTTTGCATCTCAAGGAGATGGGTTAATTGGTTTGTACAATTATTCTTCCTTGCTTCTTAGCACATCCTTCAGGACTTTCAAGGGCTTTCTGGTTTGCTTTATTGTTTTGACTTGCTGCTTGTGTTTCAAGGATAAGTGCTGGCAGAATGTGGGAGGATCAGCTTGTGAGCGAGTTCACAAGGTTGGGTGCCTGCCAGGAGCAGTACAGCTGCAGAATTTATTAATTAGGCCAATGGACAGAGGCCAGCATATCTTACCTTGCAGGTGATGTGACATTCCTCACACCATCCAAATAATGACTTCTGAAGCAGATGTGAGGAATTTAGATATTAGGCCAGCCAACACAAACTCTTAAACTAAGGGTTTAAGGTACATTTATATAGCTCTCAGGTGGGATCTGAAATTTGACCTTCAATGTAGATCCAGACCAGTAGGGTGCTGTGCTGGCCAGCTTCGTCTCCCCATTTTAATTCTCATCAACTAAATAGGAAAGTATCTTATCTTGTTTCTGTTATGTTGCTCTGCTTAAATACTGGTTTCAATGACTTTTATTTTGTATTGAGTCTACTATTTAATAAATCACCGAGTTTTTCTCCCCTGGTGTTATTTCCACTGACTCCCAAAGAACTCTTGCATTTGGCAAAACAGATCACTAGAGTCAGAAGTGCAGCCCTTTTCATCCAATAAATGTTGGATTCCTGCCCCTAAGTAAACTCAAGCTGTTTTGCTAATACCTTATCCTCCAGTTAGGGTACCAATGTTGCCTTACTACTCAAAGCTGTGAGTGCTAGCATGCACTAGGTCAGGAGTTGTCAATGTGGGGCTCTCTAACTCCCATCAACCCCAGCCAGCATGGCCAATGGAATTTGTCTGGAAAGCACAACCTTGTTATCCCTGCACTAGTTTCTATCCCCAGTTGCCTATTTCCACAGTCTCTGTTGATTAGCTCACAACATGGAACTTTCCTGAGTCAGTGCATGGTTGCCCCCGACCAACACAAAAAATAAAATAAAAGAGAAATGCCAAGCCACAAAATAAGGTGCAATTTGTTGCTAATGCAAGAAAGGTTCATATCATCCAACTGTGCTAAACATGTGTTTTTGACGAATGGATCTTCAAACATTCTAAGCAATGGAATTATCATATCAGAACTGGAATATTCAAGAGACATTTGCACAATAGGATCACCATGCTGATCTCTTGATCACTTCTCAAGGGCTAAGAGGTGGTGAGAAAAGACAGGAGCAGTCACTGTAAATGGCTTGCCTTAAACAAGGACAACTATTTCAAGGTAAAGGCTAAGCTGGAAGAAAGCAGTGGTCTTCATCTATTTCTACACGGCAGATTCTACAGGAGTAACATGAACTACGAGGCAGCATTCCAAAATCAGTATTGTCAGAGTCAGCAGCAAATAAACATGCATGATCTCTGGGAGGAGCCACCCATTCTGACCTGGGAGATATTTTCTGGCTGCTGAATCAACACATTTAAGATGGGAAACTTGCCAACTGCCAAAGTCTGCCTTCACTACTGGTTCTGACAGATGGATATGGTGGGAATTCCATTTTCCAATGCCTGCCCCCTAGCCTTTAGGAAGACATAACTGCAAGAGAACATGATGAGCAAAGTTATGGGAAACTGTGACAATGAATGGATTACGTGTGCACCTCCGTATGCTATTGGACTCCCAGCCATTGTGGTCCAACAATATCTATAGGGCTATAGGTTTGAACCCATACTGGACCCTGTTTAGCTTTGCAGACATGCTAGCAGTTTTACTGCTGCACCACTAAATCCCACTTCAGATCACAGAAAAAATGCAGTTGGTCTCATTCACCATATGAACAACAACAAAAAAATCCATTAATGCTCCTTTATTTCCGAGGAATGTTCTCCGGACAGCCACTGCAGTCTAATATAAGCCAAGGAGCATTATAAAGTCAAATATGCTGTAACACACTGTACTACAAAAAAACCTTCTAGCACATGCATTCAGTGAATACTATTGCAGTCTGACATATGTTTTGAAGTAACTTGGGATCCTTCTTCGCCCCGTATATCAAACTGCAATGGGAACAGCAACATTTTTATACTCAACAACTCAACAAATCAAGGCATGGCCACCTTGCAATTAACCACTTGTTCAGAGTTGCAATCCTGTCCACGTAAGCAGTTTCCTACTACTCAACTGCACTGCACACACATGGATGTCCAGCAGGCAAGTTGGTAAATGTTATGCAATTATCTGTAAACACTAGGTCAATGGAAGGTAGCAGAGCTGGCAGGATAGCTGAAGACTAGCTTCTCGGGGCAAAGACTATTTTTGTTATGTAACTGTAAGGTGCCCAATGGTTGACCAAAGTGAATCTGAAGGGTAGCCTTTTGTTTTCTTTGTGTGTACATACATGGTTAACAACCAAGTCACCATGAGTAGCAGTCCGTGCTCTCCTGCCAAGGTAACAAATGCTAACATGGAAGTCTGACAGCTGAAGGACACTGTTCCTGGCAACTGAGAGATCACTAGATGAGATAATGTTTTAGAATGCTTTTAAGAATTGTTTTCTTGTGGATGTGTTTGCAGCCTTGGACTCCTTTAGGAAGGGCAGGATACTACTACTACTACTACTAGTAGTAGTAGTAGTAGTATCATCATCATCACCATCATTAACAATATTCCATCAAGAAATTTGTTCACAAATATATGCCTAATGCACTGTACTTTCACATTACAGCTAAACCTTACTCCAGATGAGTTTCTGGAACAGAAATGTCCAATTCGTCATCCTTCATAGAATCTATGATACAGGTCCCAGGAGCCACATGGCTCCTACCTTTTCTATCCCTGGTTTCTAACACTGGTCTCCCATGCAGTTGGGGTGGGAAAGAAATAGGGAGTCACATGAACTGTTGCTCTTCCCAGATACCAACCTCAGAGATGCTAAACCCCTTCAGCATGCCTGTTATCATTTTCTCTGTGCTCTGCACTTGCATCAACTCAGTGGCAATGCCCCCGCCTCCAGCAGCATGCAGGGGAGGAGATCATTCTGTCTGGCCAGCTAAAATGCTGGTGCTGATGGAACATTCACCATAGTATGAAGTTGAATCCCACCCTGAGTTAATGCTTGCTAATCACCACCAAAGTTCTGCACCTCTCAGTTTGGCTCTTGTTTGTCATAAATCCTGGTTTCCAGCCTGCCGTATTTTCTCATGTCCATTCCTCTGTGCAAAGGCCACCGTAACAGACTCTCTTACCTGTGGCAAGCTAGGGAAAGGATGCTGCTTCTCTACAAACAAACACCTTCTGATCCATTTCAGCACTTTGATCCTACTGCTGACAGTACTTTAACTCCACCAAGGCAGGCTCATAAACACCTCTTTCTAGGGCCACTCCTTTTTTTGGTGAAGCAGGGCTAGTCTCAGGGATGCAAACACCCAGAGAGCAGCCAGCTCAGCTTCAGGGAGGGAGGAAATGTGCAGAGCTGGTTAGAAAGCAGCTATGGAACAAGTTCTAACTCAAAGCACGTTTAACCGCTTCCCTCCCTAGACATCCAGCTGAAATTATTGGGCTTTGCACAGCAGACTCTCACTACAAGGACTTGGCAACACTCCATGAATACCTGGGAGCATTCTTTGGCCTGATGTCTCAGTCACCAAATTTTTCCATGACAGCTTCCCACCTAGTCAGCCAAAATTCTTTTCAGATGCAGAATCAAGAGCAGGGCTGCTAAACTGTTCCACATTTTCCACATGGAGGAGTCTGCACAGCTAGCTTCTCAGATTCTGAAAATTCCCATGGAGTCATCTGCATTGCTAGCTTCTCAGATTCTGAAAATTCCTAATCAGTTTAAGCTTGAAAATAACCCAAACAAGCTCAAGATAAGATGGTTTCACATGCGGGGGAGACAATCCTGGCCTTGGATCTCCATTGTGATCATTAACATCAACTGCTCATCTTTTGGTTGGGAAAGTGGATTTGTCTACCATCTTTCTCTGAAAGTCCAAATGTGGTGTTTTTAAGGCACTTCATAAAACGAAAACTGTTGCCACAGCATGCAAAAGGAAAAAAGTGAATTTCTCAATAGGACCCATAGCTCATGATGTCAACTGGATAGGACAACATCTTAGAATCATAGATCATAGAGTCATAGAGTTGGAAGAGACCACAAGGGCCATCGAGTCCAACCCCCTGCCAAGCAGGAAACACCACCAGAGCACTCCTGACATATGGTTGTCAAGCCTCTGCTTAAAGACCTCCAAAGAAGGAGACTCCACCACACTCCTTGGCAGCAAATTCCACTGTCAAACAGCTCTTACTGTCAGGAAGTTCTTCCTAATGTTTAGGTGGAATCTTCTTTCTTGTAGTTTGGATCCATTGCTCCATGTCCGCTTCTCTGGAGCAGCAGAAAACAACCTTTCTCCCTCCTCTATGTGACATCCTTTTATATATTTGAACATGGCTATCATATCACCCCTTAACCTCCTCTTCTCCAGGCTAAACATGCCCAGCTCCCTTAGCCGTTCCTCATAAGGCATCGTTTCCAGGCCTTTGACCATTTTGGTTGCCCTCCTCTGGACACGTTCCAGTTTGTCAGTGTCCTTCTTGAACTGTGGTGCCCAGAACTGGACACAGTACTCCAGGTGAGGTCTGACCAGAGCAGAATACAGTGGCACTATTACTTCCCTTGATCTAGATGCTATACTCCTATTGATGCAGCCCAGAACTGCACTGGCTTTTTTAGCTGCCGCGTCACACTGTTGGCTCATGTCAAGTTCTTGGATTAAATGTTTATGGGTGGTATCCAGCTTTCCTGTTCCACTAGCATGAGAGACTGTGGACCAGAACCGCCCCCCCCCCCGTGCAGTCACCAGCACACCCTCAAAGTTAGCTCTGGAAGGCTAGGAGGGGGGGACCTTACAAAGATGATTTGGGGCACAAGCAGGGCAAAGACAAGGGGGGCTTTTTTTGCTGTGCAAGCAGAGCTCTATTTGCAGAGCACTGGGTACAACCCAGGCAGTTAGTTCAGTTGGTTAGAGCATGGTGCTGATAAGGCCAGGTTGTGGGTTCGATCCCTGTACAGACCAGCTGCATTTTCCCCTGTTGAAGGGGTTGGAATAGTTGACCCTTGTGGTCCCTTCCAACTCTACAATTATATGATTAACCCTTCATGTTCCCTTTCCTTGCTGTGGATTTCACCACTAACCTCTTCCCACCCCACCACCATGTATCTGTAAATGGCACCAATGACTACAGAACAGTTTCCCACCATCAGTAGATTACTGTGGCAAAGCAGGTACGCTGTCACTAGGCCTGAGTCAATATGCTGCATGAAGAGCTAATCACCTAAGCGAGCATGGATACATCAGCAGGTAAATTCCTGACACTGCCACTGACTGCACGTTTGACCTTGCTGCTCCCTCAAACTGCTGTAGGTTATGTTTGGTTAGCCATCAGGTCCCTGATTACAACGCCATGTCATCTAAAGTTGGGTTTTCTCTCCCAACCCCTTTACAACTGTGGACCAGGGATGATGGGAGTTGGAGCCCAACATCCAACTCCCTAGAGAGCTACATGCTCCTCCTCCCTGCTATAAGCTCACAAGATCTTTGTCTATGCTACCCAGTGTCTTATACTGAACCTTGTTTCCAGATTTGCCTTCTCCAATAGGCAAACACACTCCGGTTATATAGTAAGCCCACAACTTACACCAGGGTTACATTCCAGGGATTGCACCTAAAGCCAAAATTGCACATACAGTAGTCAAAACGCAATGGATTCAATGGCAGGTGGGATTGCCAAAGTCATTTTCCCCAGGCCCCTTTCTGCTCCCTTTCATCATCATCATCATTTTGCCATGCACATAAAGCTGAATGCACACAAGTTGTGGGCTTACTGTATCCTAATAAATGCCCCTATAAATATACCATACTTCAATTGTACGGTAATTTAACAAAAGTATAGATTATTAAGGAATTAACATTAAGAATACAGTGAAGGGAAATAGAAAACAAAACAAGAATCCTTAAAGAGGATTCTAAACAAGAGATGACAGGTTGAGAATTAACACATCTACCACTGTAATAAAGTCACATATGTTATGAAGCCTAAAGTCTGGTACTTGTATCTGCTTAGCAGTGTGTTCTCTGTGGTATTAGGAATATAGGAAGCTGCCTTACACTGTCAGACCATTCCAATGGCCATCTAACTCAGTACTGTCTAACTGACCAGAAGTAGCTTTCTACAATTTGTGATAGGGTATGATTGTACTCAGAAAGAATTCATGGGCTTAGTGAGCTTATTACACTGCAAAATTCAATTTATATATGCATGCAGAATAGTGACAAATGAAAACCTAAGATAAAATCTTGCAAGAGAAGCCAAACATAGTGGTTCAGCTTCTGCAGATGAAAGCTATGGAAGGCAGGTTCACCTACTACTTAACACCCCTTCCACTTCCAACTGCAACAGGCTGGTAATTTAGCAATATAAATTCTGTTAAATGCATTTTCCTTTACTTCTCACTGCACAGACACACAAAACAACTAATTTATTTTTGCATGGTCAGGACACAGTCTGCCATCACATGCTTGGTATATTCATCACATGGTATGAACGTGGTAGGAAGGAACTCAATTGGAGAAGAAGTCCAGCTGGAGTCCCAGCAGACTCTTCCAGTGAACAAAATGCCAAAACAGGCCACATGCACATTACTGCTATTTATCATTCCTAACATGGGCATACACTCTCAACTCCCATAAATGGCTTCTCTCTGAAACTGCTTGCTGGAAGCAAAAGCCATGCTCCAAGTGATCATACTTTTTCCAAAAAATATATAACCCAACACCAAGGGTTTTCAGGAACGCTGGTAGAATCAGATTCAGAGAACAAGAGATGCTAGATTGTTTGGAGCAGACAGAGGCATGCATGCTTGTAGAGTGCCTTCTCTCAGAAGAATTGAAACCGCTGAAAGACCGCATCATCAAATGGGGCTGAACAGGATCAGCAAGTGGGTGGGGATGAACACACCCAGAAATGAAAAGCTTTGGATGGGGGGTGTATAAGAGGAAGAGGGTGGAGTTAAGGCAGGCAAAAGCATCAGGGCCCATTTTTACATGAGGGAACGCTTCCCAGTCTGCAGCCAACCCAGCGCATGAGAGACAGGGCTCACCCATCTCCAGAACAAGCAAAAAGTGCTCTAGCCCACACTGGCATGGGTGGAGGTGACAAAACGAGCCCCGCCCCGTTATGAAAGATAATGTGGATATACCACAGAAGAGGGAGTTAAAAAATAATCACGGGAAAGGGGCTCATTCTGAGCCAGATTTGATCAGAGCGATTCCTAAAAGATTCATATGCCACGACTAAGTGGGGAGGTCCTATTTCCCTTGCTTAAACCCAGGACCCCAGCCAAGTCATAAATACCCCAGTTCCCCACGGAAATAAGTCCAAAACTGCCCCAATGGTAGTCTAGGAGACACCCCCCCCCGACAAAACCCTAAAGCTAGGACTAGCATGTCTTAAAAACCTCCAGTTTAACGTATGCGTTATGTCGAGGCCCTCGATAACTTTTTTTGTCGGGGGTGGAGGCCACCCCCAGATCTCTGAACTGCAGTGGCCCTGACCCAGCTCCCCAAAGCCCACCTTATGTCACCGTGTCACTCGTCTGGCCGCCACCGCGCGCCCGGGGCCCACGCGAGGAGCCTCTCGCAACTTCGCAAAAGCTGGAGCCAGATGTTCCGCGAAGCATTTCCCCCTCCTGCCCCCGAAGCTCCCTTCCGAGGGCACCGCTTCCTGCCCGGTTCCAGCGCTGCCTTCGCCCTCCTCGCCTCCCAACCCCAGGGCCATGCTAACCCCGGTTTCCCGGTCGTGCTGGCCGGTGCCACCTCCCTATGCCGGCCACGCCGCCTCCACGTGTCCACCCAGCGCCAGCCAAATGGGCTAGCCCAACTCTCTCCCGCCCGCTACCAGCCGCCAGACCCGGCCATTACCTGCGTGGAAGAAAGGCCATTGCCCGCCACGGGCTCCGGGCCCCCTCGCAGCGGGAGGGTTCCCCCAGCCCCGGCATGTCCCGCGCCGCCGCCCCACAGCGCCGCCATCTTGGCACCTCCTCGCAAGCAGTTTCAGCAGCCCGGCCGGCACGCTAAAACTCTGTTTCCCAGAAGGCAGCGCGGCGGGGAAGTGAGCTTTTCTTCTGGCGCGATGTATGCTGAGAGCTCCGTTCCCTAAAGCATCATGGGCGTTGTAGTTTCTTCTGCTGGAGGCGGGCTCAAACAATAATCAATCACTTCAGGCTTGCAGTAATAGCGCGGACGTTCAGTGGTAATAGCATTGCTTTATCTTTGCATTGGTCTGAGGTAATGCTACAGTTTTTAGCCTATTTGTTATGCAGTTAAGAAACTGTACAGAGGAGAAATCGTTTGGCACTGGACTTCAGTGCAGGGTATAACTAAGAGGTGTTCTTCAGCCTTCGCCTGTCTGAATCTGATGCTTGGTGATGGGATCTCATCAAGCTGCGTGGTTGATTTTTTCCAGCAGCTTGATCGGAGGTTCGTTTTTATGCAAGATGCAGACCCTCAAAAGTTGCTCTCCTGTTATTCTACTACGTCGTTAGCATGCAGGAGAAAACGATGAGGAAAGGCTACGGAGATCAGTATTGCAGCAATTATTCTGTTTAGCCTTCTCTTTTTTGTAACAGGTCCAGATCCCAAGAACTATTTTTTTAAAAAATGATATATTTTTTAAAATGATATTTATACCAGATCCCAAGAACTAAGGTTGCAAAAATACTGCCAACTAGCGTGCCCATTGAACACAGGGAGATTTCATAGGTCCGACTACGCACGCATAGGATCGCGGTGCTTAGCACACTATGTGCGCGGTAGGCAGCCTGGTGACTGATTTGCAGATTCGGTGACGCACAGTCTGTAGTTTTGTTCTAGCCTTGGACCCCGAAAGACGTCTCGGTACAAAGCAGTATTAAATCATTTCCGACAATTTCCTTTTTATTGAATGCGGCATTTCCTTGCTTACAGCTGCGATGAATTCTATATTCTTCTTATGCGGCGCGAGAGAAAGCAGACTCTTAACAAAGATTATTACATGATTACAATACAATTATGCGAAGGAGGAAGACATTTTACAGTTGGGCACGGGCTGCTGCCTCAGCTCCTTCTTAATAGTAGGCGGCCCGCCCTTCGACTCCTGGAGTTGGTGACGTCACTCAGCCCCGCCTCTTTGTGGCCTCATTTTCCCGCGGTTAGAGCCCGGAAGTTTCCTCCCACAAGCTTTGCTTGGTGCGTGCTTGGCTTCCATGTGGGCAGCTGAGCTGCTGCGTGGTGAGTCAAGCTTAGCTGCAGCTCTGCCAAGAAGGAAGCAGACAAGAGGCCGTGGTAATACTCCAAGCCTCAAGGGGCGAGCGGGCTGAGCAGCCGGCACTCTTAGAACCACCCAGTCCAGCTGCAGCCACTTGGGCTCAGAGGATTTACTTGTTTGTTTATTATCATTTTTTGCCGTTCATACATTTCATAAATATTAACAGTATACTAGCAGTAACAACAAGAGCATCAAAGAGTGCAAAAGTGTAACATGAATTGAGTTCAGCATGTATAAATCTTAAAATATTTTCAGCTGAAGATTCCAATTCTAAACGTAGCTAATCCTTCCATCCGTCCTCTCAAGGGGGTGTGCAACTAAAGCTATGGAGCAATAAAATGCCATTAACTGAAGCAGAAGCAGCATAAACATTTCATTGAATTACCAAATGAAAATTAAAATATATATCAACACAACAGCTTATAAAATACAGGCGGCCATCTATTCTGTATGCAGAAGGTTTCAAATTTAATTTTGGACATCTGGTAGGGCTGCAAATGTCTCCGGCCTGAAGTGCTGCTGCCAGTCAGTGGTAGACATTACTGAGCTAGATGGACTTTATTCTGGTCCATAGGCCCAAAGGAGGGCTTGTGGGAGCGGTTGGGTGCAGGGATATTAAAGAAAGATGTCAAAAATGCCAGAGTGATCAGTTCTAGGGACATATTAAAGAGAAAGGTGTAGACTTACAGAAAATCAACCTGCAAGGTCTCCCAGTTTTTACAGATGCAGGGTGGACACCACATCAAAGAGATTGCTTATCTGTGCCCAAGCAAACATTCATGCATTTTTTTATACACAAAGCAGCATACATCATTTTAGCCAGGACTTCCCATCACTTCACCTGACCAGATGAGGTTATAGGTGGCAAATACCCAAATCATACAGATAGTTCCTTTTCTGGGCTCAGAGCCCAACACCCGAAACCCACAGATAAGGATAACACCAAAGCAAGCCAATTAGCTTATATCAAAGCATGTGAATATAAACATATATGAGCTCATTGTTACAACAACTACCACTTAATTGTGGGGTTATCTTGACTACCAAGATGGTGTTGCAGAGCTTCCAGAACAGTTCAACACAGTTCTTTGGTTCAACACAGACCTAAGGTCTGATTCAGCATGAGAAAGGGAACCCGAGGTATGTCAAAGCCAGGTATTTCATAAGGATGGGATGACACAGAAGAGCCCTTATCTCTTGTGCCTGCTAAGCTGATAAATTTTAAGGATGGGCTTCTTGAGCAGGACCTCTGCACTCTTTCTTAGGACATGGACAGGTCATAGAGGTGCAGGCAGTCCTTCAGAGATACTTTTTCAAGGTTTCTGCCACTTTAAAGGCAATCACCAGCCCTTTAAATTGAGTCTGGAAACACACTGGCAACTAGTGCAACTGATACAGGATTTGGATTTCCAACCACCTTGTCCCTGCAAGCAATTGGGTGGCTGATTCTGCAACAGCTGAAACTTCTGGACCATCTTTAAAGAAAGCCCCATGCAGAACACATTACAGTAAAAGGTAAAGGTAAAGGACCCCTGACAGTTAAGTCCAGTTGCAGACAACTCTGGGGTTGTGACGCTCATTTCGCGTTACAGGTGAGGGAGCTGGCATTTGTCCACAGACAGTTTTTCCTTGGTCATGTGGTCAGCATGACTAAGCTGCTTCTGGCACAACAGAACACTGAAACCAGAGCAGTGCGCAGAAACGCTGTTTACCTTCCCACTGGAGCGGTACCTATTTATCTACTTGCACTTTTTGGCATGCTTTCAAACTGCTAGGTTGGCAGGAGCTGGGACCAAGCAACGGGAGCTCACTCCGTCATGGGGATTCGAACCGCCGACCTTTGATCGGCAAGCCCGAGAGGCTCCGTGGTTTAGACCACAGCGCCACCCGCGTCCCAGCTGGCTGCAGATATAAGTCCAGTCCAGTCCAGTGCCAGAGTGAGGCCACATACAACAGCACTATTCTATATGTTTGTGTGCAGAAAGCAGACATGGTCTCAGTTATACACACACACTGTTTAAAATCTAGGGTAGAGTATTGTAATGCTACCTGATGGGAGCTACCATTAAAGAAAGTTCAGAAACTTTATTTCATTTTTTATTATTAAATATTTTTTCTTAAAAATCAGCCAGCAGATACTAGAAGAAACTAGATGGCCTGCTTTGCTTTACCCCATTCCTAAATGAATTTTATTGGTTACCAAGTTGTTGGTGGGCTCCCATTTAAACTGCTGGTCTTGATTTTTACAGCAGTAAAAGGTTTGAGACCAGATTATATTGTTATAAGAATTCTGTAAGGTATCATAAATAAAATGAATGTTCATACGTGCACGAGGTAAACACACATATATAAATACATGTCTGAAATAGTATGGGAGAGCAATCCTGAAGCCACCTGGACACTTAATGACCCCAAATATTTGCTCTGCAGAAGGAAGCATCTTGGAAAAGCCTCCCCCAATAGTTCTTTTCAATTGCAAACCTTTCTAATTTTGTTTTAAGGGCATATTTTGTATATGAATAGGGTAGGCCTGTGACCTGGATTCAAGAAATAAGGTATTTACCATCTCAAAAGAATGGCCCAGGCTGGCCAGGTAATGCAATCAGTGAAACATTATCAGTTATCTTAAGATCTTCCTTGTTTTCCTTCTGCTGGTTCCTTTCTCCATTCAATTTTCTCTCACCGATAACGTAAGTAGGGGATACTGAATCCCTTGATGGAGAGTTGGGCTGTAAAAGCCAACCCCATTTTTTTTCTATAACAATATGAATTAATTACTCGTACATGTAAATCTGCCTAAGCCTGGTGATTGGCCTCAGTAATGATGTACGAATTAGAAACCTAGGGTGTAAAGGTAAAGGTAAAGGGACCCCTGACCATTAGGTCCAGTCGTGGCCGACTCTGGGGTTGCGACACTCATCTCATTTTATTGGCCAAGGGAGCCGGCGTACAGCTTCCGGGTCATGTGGCCAGCAGGACTAAGCTGCTTCTGGCGAACCAGAGCAGCGCACGGAAACGCCGTTTACCTTCCCGCTGGAGCGGTACCTATTTATCTACTTGCACTTTGACGTGCTTTCAAACTGCTAGGTTGGCAGGAGCAGAGACCAAGCAACGGGAGCTCACCCCGTCACGGGGATTCGAACCACCGACCTTCTGATTGGCAAGTCCTAGGCCCTGTGGTTTAACCCACAGCGCCACCCGCGTCCCTTGACCCAGGGTGTAGGATTCTGTTTTTTAAAAAATGTTTCAATATTAATTGCATTTAACCTTTGGCTCGGTTGCATCCATGAATGATTCCTGCATGCCAGCATTTTGTGACTCTCATGCCTCCCTCCTCCGCTGCATTCCATCTCTCCTATCTGACCCTGAAAGTGGCACAAAAGGCAGGATGTTTTCCTATGTCTGTTGTGAGTTAGCCCCAACATCTCCTTAGGGGTTTCAAGGAACAGATAGGGACAGGAATGTCAACAACCCTGTCAAAGCCTGGGTTGCTAAGGAAACAGTGATAAAGTAGCACATTTGAGACCCAAATGGCCTGAGCAGTTAGGAGCACCCAAAGGTAATTGTGGAGGTGAAGTTACCTGTATGGAGCCATGTGTGTTTTATTTCTCATGACCTGTAAACTTTCTTGATGTATGCAGAAAACTGCTTGATGTTGTATGATGCTTTGTTTGCTGTGTTTGAACTACTGTATATAAGTTTTGTTCTGATTTGTCTCTGGGCAGCCTTTTTGAACTGGTTCTGCTGAGTAACTGATTGGCAAGACTGTGCTATTGCAATAGTAAATAAACCAGGTCCCTAACTGAATATGCTGAACCAGGTCCCTAACTGAATATGCTGACACTTGCTGTAATTCTTTTGGTTCTGTGTTTTATTTAAAAGGTGTTCCCTCACCTGGGTAACAAACAGGTGGTGTAGAAGCCAAATTCTTACCACAGTAATCACATTTT